GACACTGACTCAAACACACTTGAACAATAGTCACTTCACTTACTTTGTACGGATATTCTTCGAGTGGATTCGGAATGGCGACGCATTCGAACAGCTGACGTCTTTAAGGTACTTAGGCTGGAAGAACTGGGTATCGGGCTGAGTGTATGAAATCGTTCGCTAAAATTAAAGAGTTTACTCTGCGCGAAAAAACTCGTCAACGACGTACTTCTGGCCGATTTTTCCCAGGACAGATTCGCACGAGCTGACGCCGGACGTCGTCGATTCGGTAATCGAATTATCGCGATACCGATGCGGCACGTCTGAACCTACTTTAAATTCAACCTTATCATTCGGCTTTCTCTCGACGATTTTTAATGCGTCAAATGTTTTTGATTCTGAGAGTGATCGTTTGTGCTGAATCGCGGATGGATTTTGATTGCTCGGAAGCGTAGATGATTTTTGATGATGATTTAAACCGAAAACTATCAAGATATTATAATGAAGCAACAGATGGCGGTCGCGAGGCTTACCACGATCGACGGGCATCAAAAAGTCTTCGTCCGTCGTGGTGCTATCGGCGTCGGGGAGGTTAACGCTGTACTCGCCCATGAAAGCGTTATCGCTCGACGTGTGCTCGGAGTCGGAACCTAAAGGTAAATTGAACAGCTGTTCGTCTTGCACCTCCTCCTGCCAATTCTCTTCCTCTATGACCGGCCAGCGATTGTGACGGTCGTGTCTTGTACACACCCACCCTGCAATTAGCGTACTTTGGGTTTCAGCGACCAGGACGCGTAGGCTTACCTAGCTTGAATAAGTAATCGGCGCCTGCGCGGTTTGTGGCCACTAGCGATAAGGCAAAGAAGGCGGTGGCCCTAATTGAGTAGACAACGCAGTGTTGCACCAGTCTTATTATGGAAGCTAGGATTCCCTTGCTGTTCAGTAATTCGGTCCCCTTCAACGAACTACCCAAATGACCTAAACTCCACAACGCCACCTTTAACTTTAGGATGTCGTCGTCAGTCTCGCACAAACCGTTGTCGATCCACTAGAATATTTTCAATACAAATATACGTCCATGAACTGGGGAGGACAAGTATGAGCTCAGTGTTTTATTACTGTTTATAATTTTTGAGTTCTTGTGGTTATTTCAAAAATTCAATTCAAATGTCTCTTGCTGAATAGCAATACCGAATGCAAGGTGCCACAAACAAACCCCGCCCAATGAAAAATAAAGGCCAAATAAATAAATAAAGACGCATCACTTTGAGAAAGTTGAATTTACTGATACAGGGTGTTCCCAATGAAATGGCAAACTGCCTATTTTTCCTAAATGGAAATGTTATTTCTCTATTCGATACTGTTTTATGTTCTCTTCAATTTTTAAGGTTATTTTTCACACAAAAATACCTACCCATTTAATTACATGTTTATGCATCAGAGTAGGTCATGATAATAAAAAATAAAAGAATACAGGAAAGAAAACAATGGCACATTTTTACAAGGTATGAGCTAGAAAATACCGACAAACTGTCTGCATACTACTTAAAACAACTCCCCCATCGTTAATTTGTAGGCGGCGGATTGAACTACAGCAAAGGGACCTTTAAATTAGATTTGTGTAACCACAACGCTCATAAATTGGGAATGGTGCTACAACATTGACTTATGAACTAACTATAAGAACTCGAAAATTGCAAACGGTATCGTTGAACAATTTTTGAACTATATTAGGCGACATCAAGAGCTTATACAAGTCAATTCCATCCTAGTATATCTTAAGGTTGCTGAGAAAAAAATTCAGGAAGAAACTCAAATGCTGGGACTTTTAGAGCCCCACTTCCAAAGGAAAAAATTGGGACCCCCTCTACCGCCAATATTTTTTACATATTTAATTGTTTCATCTTGTATATGCTCACTTTTGTTTTTCATTGTTTATTTCACATGCATTTTTTAAAACCTGCGTGTCTTAGAAACTGTGAAAGACATTGATTGTGGATACAAGGGCCCCAGGCAGTGGCGTACCTAGGTATTTTCCGAAGCGGTGCCGGATCAGGTTTTGGCGCCTTATTGGTTACGATTGAGCTCTAAGTACATTTTTGAGAGAAACTTTACACGAAATTTTAAAAGCAAATTTTAGAACAATGCTTTGAATAACGAAGTCTTTCACTCAACGAAGAATAGAAATACATTTATTTATCATGTTTTCAATTCTCGCGTCAAAGTTAGCTATGACATAGGGTACAAATCGTAGAAATGATTGCGTCTTAGAATAAGGGTGCAAATGCTGGTCACACTAACACAGACTATTGTATAGATCACAAATAAAGTATTATTATTATTAGTTTAAATTTGCAGCCTTTTCCTACCGCTGTAACTTTGTTCTACAAGGGCCATTCAGAAAGCAACAGACGTTTTGAAATAAAAAATTAAGAAAGTGTAAGAAGATTATATACGCTCTTAGGCTGTTTTTCAACATAGTCGCCATTCACATTGAGGCACTTAACATAGCGTGGTACAAGTGTTTTGATTAAAACTTTGTACACATCCGCCGACTGTCGGGGCGTCAGAAGTGGGTACCGACAAAGGGAATATGGTAGCCCCCAACAAGATCTTATCGATTGTGGAGTCAAAACTGGCTAATAAAAGTACTGATCTGCCACACAAAAATGCCTTGGATCTCACACGGTGACTTTGATAATTTTTTAACAATGTTCCCTTCATCCTAAAGGAGCGTAAATTTAGTTTTCATTATATTTCAGCGCACCCTGTAGTCGACTTCAACAAACTATTAGAATTTAACTGCCGTTCTTGTTTTTTATGACTGACCTATACGGTACACCACGTACTGCCCATCTTGACTTAGTGCCCTCGGCACTTCAGCGCCTCTGGCGCGCCCTCCCGCCTTCAGAGCGCGGTGCCGCGGCATCTTTGGCACCTACCTAGTTACGCCACTGGCCCCGGGTTCGAATCCCAGGTGATGCATGGCTGTATGTGATTGTGAGTGGGCGGAGTAGCTTCATCTAATACTCCGCCCATTATAAAATAAATTTCTACACTATCAATAAAAACAAAAGATGAAAGTTGTATGTCAGGACCCTCAAAATGGCAAACCGAATGGGTAGATTGGTTTGTTGGTTTTTTTTATCTGTTTTAGTGTTTCCGAGAGTCTTCTACAAATTTTTTAATCTGTCAAAAGGAATGCCCTTGAGTCTCCAGGTTGAATAAAATTATGAAATGATTTAGATCAGCGGTTCCCAACCTGTGGTGTATGTACAGGGTGGCCAAATAAGAATGCGAGGTACTGTATCTGGGAACTTGTCCATCATAGAGGCTTGCGGTAAAAAAATTTATTACTAAAACGGCCACGAGAAAAACCTGGAAAATATTTTTAAGTTACTGCAATGGCCGCTAGGTGGCGTAACTGCAATCTGGAATCTAAACATCACAATATCCGGTCTTTGAAGTTGACGATAATCTGAACCTTTGTTGTTTGACAATTTTTCCTGTAACTCTAAAAAATGAAGTGGTGGGGAGTATTCAAAGGTTTCCGTAAAGAACACCCTGTATCTTCGAAACGACTGAGCCGATTTTAACAAACTCGGGTTAATTGAAAAGAGTTATTCTTCGGCTACAAATATTATAATATTTGAAGTTTTATTAGTTTCACATATCGCCGCTTGAGGGCTTTTTTCGACATTCCGACAGAAATGGTTGATTTTCTCAAAAAAATTAAATGCGTTGGTTTGATTTATAATTATAAAATGGATTTTGGGGTTGAGAACCGCTGGTTTAAATCATTTCGTTTTAATAAGAGTGAATTAAACCGCACCAGTCAGTTTTAAAAATTACCGAGACTTACAATCGATACGATTTACATATTTTTCCATGTCTTATTTGAATTTGAATAATAAAATTGAAAGTACACACCTGCACGTATTTATCCACAGATCCGCACTCCAACAGAATCGCAAACCCCTCCGCGTGCCTCGTCAGCTGTCCGTAAATGTGCGGCGGTAAGAATAGGTCCTTGCGACTCGTCACCTTCAACGAGCTCAGCCTCTTGTCGTACCTCCCGTCCTCGCCGCGCTGGTGCAACGTCAGCGTGTCCGAGATTTCGTTCTCGACGATGTGCACGTACCTGTAATTGACGAATTCGTCCCACCTTCGTATCTCGTTACTGATAAAGCCGTTCTTCTTGAGCTTGTTGAAGCCGTTCGGCGACGACAAGAATCGAATTAGAAGCAGCACGCCCTTTTCGCCGAGGTGCAGTAGGTCCGGATGAAATTTTGATTAGCTGTTCGAGGTAGTTCGGTACCTCGCACGCCTCGTGCAAGGCGGCGAGGGTGGTGAGGCGTACGGTGCGCGATTTGTCCTCCAACTGTGCGGTGAGTAACTTTATTCCCCAATTGTGGAACTGTGGCAGGCCTGCCCGAAGTAGTACTTGCAAGATCTGGGTGGCGTACAGTCGGGAGCTCTCGACGGAACACTTCAAGACGGACGCGAAGAGATCGCGCGCGTGGCCCGGCTCCTCGTAGCTTAAAGATGACACGATCAGTTTGACATAGCAATCGTGCTTTGAGGTGGTCGCTAGATGGCGCAATTGTTCGAAAATTTTCACGCTTAGGAGTACGCTCGTTCCAATTTTGGTGGTGGCGAAACGCCCGATGAACAAGAAGTACGTTTGACATTGCGTGTTCGACATGTGCTGCGGGCTGAAGAGGCAATCGTGGGCGCTCTTGCTAGTCGTTATCGCCTTAATGTGATTCGAGATGTCCGTAAATAAGTCGATGAGCAATTTGGTAGCGTCGGGATCTTCTAACCGCGCGAGGCAGTGGATTAGTTCGATTCCGACGAGGGTGTAACCCTGCGTGTTTTTGGAGGAGGTTAGGTCCATGTGAGAGTAACGGTTATTCGAAGGCAAATAGAACTCGACTAATCGCTTTAAAAACGTTAAATGAGTAGATTCGGCTAAATTGAGTTTCAGGTCGCTTTTGCCTTTGAGAATAATTTTTATAATACTCCAGTTCCACGTGAAAGCGTCTTTACTTAGTAATACGCCGGTGTCTTTTACTATATCGTCGCTCTCTTTGAGTACCAGCTAAAATGCAAGATTGAGTTAGTTAAGATGCCAAACACCATAAGCAAAAAAGAAAGGATTTTTTGAATGAAGGAAATGTACCCAAACTAAAAATCCATTTAATAACTGATGTACATTTTAAGAAACCATTTTCACTTAAAATTTCAGAAAAAAACCGCTCATAAATATGAAAGTTGGGTCTGCGCATGTGCAATTAGCCATTCAAATACGAGTATTAACCGGAAGTTATTATTACGTGCGGCCCAAGATATTTACGAGAGAACGTATCATAAAAAATTGTTGAATATCGCAAATTAATTAGAATGATTAATTTAATAAGATGGCTAAATTTCGCTATTGTCCCAGTATAACAAACATATGGATTGCGAAACAGAACGATAATAAATAGCGAGTTATAACAAAAGTTTTGAAGCAAGCATTTTTGCCTAGAAAAGATATTAGTTTCAGCGGATGATTTATTGGGGTTTAACTGCACCTGCATAAGTGAGACGAATGGGTCGTAGTGATACTTTCTTTTGTGAGCTGCGGAAAACTTTGTGACTACCAGTTCTGTAATGTTATATTTGAATGTCACTTAATTAATTTATACAGGGTGGTGACTTGCGTAACGCATCATAGGGATTTCAATGTAAAATTCATAACATGCGATTATTGGCTCCCCAAATTACTTTAGAGCACAAATGTATTCAGGTTTTTTGTAGAAAAAACTTTTCACGTCAATCAACCGTATTAGTTTTCAATTTTGTGCATAATAAAGACGGAATAAGACGGAAAATAAAACCCCCATCTTTTTTAATAATCTGTGATGCCATGGAATTTTATAATACAAAAACTACACCAATATCCGTCATGCCATGGAAAGTCTGCTATAAAACAAATCAAATTCTATCAAAAAGTATTATATTTAGAACAGCTTTTGTTTTAAAAAATTCCATGGCATCACAGATTATTGAAAAAGATGCAGGTTTCATTTTTCCAATTTTCCGTCTTTATTATGCAAAAAATTGAAGACTAATACGGTTGATTGACGTAAAAAAAATTTTTCTACAAAAAACCTGAATACATTTTTGCTCTAAAATAATTTGGGGAGCCAATGTTATGAATTTTACATTGAAATCCCTATGATGCTTTACGCAAGTCACCGCCCTGTATACAGGGTGTCTCACTTATCTTAAGAACATGGATTATTGCGGCAACTAGCGGGGATATCAAAACACGTTTATACAAAATACTCTTCATATGGAGGGGCCGATTTAATGACGCTATGCACATTTTCACAACCCGTAATAGTCAAGTGTCGGGCAACTTTTTTTTTTCAAATAAAAACTTATACTTTCTATTGAATATTCTTATTCTACATCGGAAAATAATAATCTTTTGTGTGATCTAGGAAGTAGTTCTGTTAAGAATTTGGCACATTTAAAAAAAAAGGGAAGAGAGTCAAGTTTCATGACAACACCCCCTGTCCTTCACTACCCAAATGGCAAAATGGAATTTACCAATTATGTCTTAAAAAGAATTGATATAGCAAACAAATTCTAGTGACCTTTCATACTGGTGACCTAATTCTACAAAAGCAAACCGTTCTTTCAGTTCAGTAAACGAGAAAATCAACACAAAATGCAGGTATTTCGTGGGCAAGCCATCCACCAACAGCTCCACCTTTAACTTACCTGATGCAACCGTGACTTAGTGTGACTAATTTTGTACTTTTTGTTATTTTCCAAATTTCGAGTTCGTTTCATAAAACTACTAGACTGGAGTATATAATCCAGGTATAGACTGGACGATGCGGGCCTCCGTTTCAACAGCCTGCAAGAAAGATAAAAGTAACGAGTGTACCAGTTTTAGGCGGCGGCTTACTTGTGGAGCTGTTGTAAGGCGGTAACAGCACCGAGCGCTTGAGGTCGCTTCGTTGCATATTCCAATAGATTCGGTAGAGGCGGTGTAATGTTGCAGCATTCCGGTGGTAGGAGGATTTGTATTAGGCGTAGTAGCTCACCTAAAATTAAAGTGTTTGATCATTATAAGCAAGTTAATTGAGGATGATGGAATTATACAACCGAACAATTCAAATGTTGAACCAACCACTTGTTTCATGGATTGCAGAGCTGGGCAGTATTCGATTTTGTAAATACTTTTTAGTATTCAAATCCTTTAAAGTATTGAAATACTTTGTAATTAAATACTATTATGGAAGCAGTAGTTGTTTTTGTAACTCAAATACTTTCACAAATATTTAGTATTCGAATACTTCGCATAGTATTTGAATACTTAACCTTCCTTTTTTTACCAAAAATCGACTACTCCAAAATTTCTCGGGAAAACACTTTTTTTATTAATTTTGGTGCGTAGAATCCAAAACAATTCGTCCTTTTTCGATCAGACTGCTCAATCAAAAGTTATAGACTAGAAACCAATTTCGAAAGAAAATTCAAAGGACTGTAACTTTTGAACTAGTAGCCCAATCTTGGAACTGTTTGAAATTATGGATTCTACAGGCCCCATTCTATAAGAAAATTTTTTTCCCGGGTCGATGTGAGACAATTTTTTCTTCGGGGCTCAAAAAAAGGCAGTGTAAACTTTCCCTTTTTACCAAAAATCGACTACACCAAAATTTCTCGGGAAAACACTTTTTCTTATTAATTTTGGTGCGTAGAATCCAAAACAATTCGTACTTTTTCGATTAGACTTCTCAATAAAAAGTTATGGACAAAAACAAATTTCGAAAAAAAATTCAAAGGGCTGTAACTTCTGAACTAGTAGCCCAATCTTGGGACTGTTTGAAATTATGGATTCTACGGGACAAAATCTATAAGAAAATGTTTTTTCCCGGTCGATCTTAGACAATACCTAATAAAACCGTAGCTCGAACACTTATAAACGTGTCACTAGTGGCTATAACTTCAGCTAAGGCGCAGAGAAGGCCAGTTTCCAAGAAACAATACAATAATAACGACAAGTGAATATCCGTAATGTTAGGAGTAGTTTTCGCTAAATGAGGCAATACGGAGCGTCCTTCCGCGGCTACAAAACCTTCAGTTAATCGCCACGACGCCTGCGGTTCGGCCGGATCGACCGCACTCAGTGCCACGGACAGTTCGTCCGTCCACTCCGGCTGAGGTAGTCCTAATAGTTCGTACAATAAATCTAATACGGCCTTCTGCAAAGAACGACTTAAATCGATCGGCCGCGGCGGTTCGACACTTACCCTAACTTCTAATTGATTTAAATATAAAATATCGACAATCGCCTTTAAGCCTAACGAGTTGGTGGGGCTACAAAAATGCAGTATACCCGGCCAGCTCCGGAAAACAGATAACAGCGCCAATCGACTACAATTAAACCGTAATTCCCTTTCGTCCCTGCAATTGGCACAATCAGAACAAGGATAACTCGACGATTGCGCTTACCTATTTTTGTCCATCCAACCGTGACGATAGTGGAAGTCGCAGTAGGGAGCTGCAATACAGTGCAAATCGACAGCTGCGTGGTTTCTTGTGAAAGGCCTATCTAATAATAAAAGTAGTACTCCGCAGAGCGATTCGGCAATCCGCGGGGTTTGACATTCCAATAGATTCCTGGTGATAGCTGCCACGCCGCCACTTGCAATGAACAACTCGGCATTTAGCACGCCCAATTCGCATAAACAAGCCAGGCACGCTCTTAGCATACGATCCTTCTCCTCGATGCCACAATTGGCTAGTGCAACGAGACTCCGCGCCATCCCCATGTCGAAATCGACAGGCGACAGTAACAGAATCTTCTGCATGAGACTCAGCGCTTGTATTCTCTCCATGTCATTCCTCAACGACAAATCTAGCGACCGCGCGACTAAACATGGAAGTTTGAGCTTATTAAACTGTTGAATGTCATCTTCGGTCATCAACACGTGCCTTATTGCTTTTAAACCTGCCGATCGGACTAAACTCGAATTGTTAAACAAAGTAATACGTAAACTGTAAACAATCGTTTAATACAAGCATGCCGGTCGAACAATACCAACCAGCACAGAATTTCGACAGTTGTATACGATATCTTCGACAAATTACCCTCAATATGCAGGTATAGTTTAATAAACGCATTTATACAGTTAACACATTTTCCTTCCGTGATTCCGTCCAATTTACAAATGTCTAAAAGAAGTTCCTTGGCGGTTTCTCGTGGATCTGCAACGAATATTGAATATTTTACGCAGTAACGTTTGCAATTACCTCGCTTTAAATCCAATTGCACAATATCTTCCTCATTGACGGGTGTACCTAGAAGTAATCAGCTTAGAAGTAATTGGTGTGATGTGTATACCGACTTCGAGTATATCTAGAGGATCCGATGTTTCGATTCTTTTTTAACATCCAACTTGCAACTGCCATTATTGTACCCTGATATTAGTCATATTTAGGTAGAATTGGTTCAATGGAAATGGTTTATTTAATTTTTATTTGTATAATAGCATCATAATTATGAGGTATTTACGATTGCAATAAAACGTCAAACATTTTTCATACTTTTTAGGTTATCTTTCCCAATGTCAAATTTTTGGGGACTTTTGGTTTATTTCTCTGTACAGGATGTTGAAAAATATTGAACCACGACATGCTCGGCAAAGAAATAAATAAAACCTCCAGCATACAAGGATCTTAGTCCACTTATATAGCTATCGAGACTCTTTCTTCTTTCGAATGCTAATTTTTATTGCTAAAATGTAGAAAAGAACAGAAATAGAGCAGTGTAGCGGTCAGCTCTCCAGGTTATATTTCATAAATATTCGTTTATTGGTCGATATACATTTTAGAGCCAAGACTGTATGTCTTTCCTTTAATATCTATACATTATATGTACTCGCCTATTTCCCACACCATCCCCCTTTAATATCGAGACAGAAATCGCCGCGCAGTAGTCTCTGGCGACTCTTGCTTCTTTTATTTTGTAGTACAGATTCCGTGCCAGTAGTAAAGCTGATGGACCTGTATGAGCCAGGGTCAGTTTTGTCCTCTTTTCGGGATGAAGTGCATCAATTGAATTTTTCAACATTTGGGAAACTCGCCCACCTTACAGCATGTGGATAGATGCCATTGTATATTATACAGTATACACCATGGTACCTCTAGTATAGATGCCTTCCTGTTGCAATAAACCACGGGCGTAGTACTATAAACATCCTGTAAGTCCTGGGTGTCCTAAGACGATCATCTCATCAACCTGTTGACGCCCAGAAGCATGAGCCAGCGTACCATACTATAATTGTGTAGGATCTCCCTCCCCCAGCCCCCCAGGATGAATATCAAACTTCAAACAGAATTTTTTTGGGTGATTTTAATAAGGGATAGTTGAGGATTCTTAATTGTAGCATTTCGAAGTATAATACCTAAATTAGGCCGGCCTGGTATGAAATATTGTTCATAAGTTTCTTATAAAGTTAGCCACAATTACCACAAATACAAGATGCAGAAACGAGTGTACAACTATCTACAGATACAACAACTAGTAGAATACAAGATTAAACCCAATACGCAGTAATAAAGATAACAAACAAACATTCTAAAGAAAGTACTATAAGCAAAGGTGTCTTAAGGAGATAATATTTTGGCAGAAAATACTGAATGTGAAAATCTTCAAAGCTTTCAAATACACTCTTTGCGCCAAATATGATTTGTGGTCTTCCAAACGTTGATTGGCCCACATCAAACTTTGTAAATAAGCCAGGCAATGTTACATTAATAATCGTCGCACCTTCAGGTAAAAGAACCTTCACGATCGCATCCTTAATAAGCACATCATCGAAGATATGATCAACTGCTCTCATCTTCAATGAAAACTCGTCGACATGATTCCACAAGTAATGAACGGAGGGCACACTGTATCTGATGACGTAACTCGTTTTCCACCCATTTAGCAGCGGATAGCGGGGTTGAAACTTTAAAGTTTTGTAATTTTTGTAGTGTAGAAGCGTAGATTTGCTGCTATTTCCCAGTTCGTCAAAGTATCCCACGTCATCTGCAGTTGCAGGTAAGTGCGTATACCACCACCAGTCAAAGTTGTTCACGTTCATGTAAGGAAATGAAGAATTAAACCTTCCTAAAAGCAAATTTTTAAAACCTACTTACTACGAAAGTAACTTACCTTCGTTTTTCACACTCACTTGATCAGAAACAAAAATTTTGCCAAAATGTGAAACCGTGATAAGTCGCTTCAATGATAAAATCGTAATGAGGGGGGTATTATCTTGATAGGCAACTGTCAAGCGTGTAAGGCTAAGAGGGCTGATATTTTTTGTGATATACTCCACACTGCCCTCCAACTGGTACAGTGGAGATGGGCTAATCTGTAACGCTTTCATCCCTTCAGGTTTTAAAGTAAAGGAACTTGTTGCGATAGACGTTTTGTAACCGGAATAAAAGCCCACGTTTCCTCTGTACACCACAGACTGATGAGGACCCATCAGAGTATTTTGCACGGGAACAACTTGACCGAAACTGATCAAGTTCACTACTACTTTAAGCACGTGACCGGGTTTAAAGTTAGATTGTAAATTGACACGAAATTCGTCAGGTGCTTCAGTTGTGGTTTCGTGAGTCAGTGTGCCGTTTTCACCAGAGAATTTAACAATGAAATTGACAACATTAGGATCTAACCAATAACGAAAATGATCCACGGATTGCGTCCCATTGTTGAGCATTATGATACGAATTTCTTCTTTGACATGTAACCCTCCGAAGAATCGAACATTTCTAATAACCGATTTATTGATAATCTCACAATTCGTTGCAAAAATTGCAAGTGTCACTAATATTACGCACTTCATTTTGTGACCAATTCTCTTTTGTTTTACCAGATCACCTTGATACTTTCTTGAACCGTTCCAAGCTCACTCGAAGTGCGAGATATAATATGCGAAAATTCCTTTTGTACCACTCAAAGTTGTACGACACGTGGGATTTCCAGTTATCGTCGAGGAACTTCTTGTAAAACTGGCTCATTTCGTCAGAGGAAAGTGGCTGCGCGCTTTCGGACGATTTCACGAACTCCTCCTTTTGCTGCAAAACGTAAATTGAGGATTTTTCCCCCGTAAAACGACATACCTGCAAAAATTTAACGTTGTGTTTACTCCAAAAGTCTTCGTTCCACGCCTGAGTTTCATCTTGAAACGTTCGCAGTTTTTGCTGCAGAACGGTCTCCTTGGGCAATTGCTGACGTATGATCGGACGTAAATTCGATTGTGAATTAGGTGGTCCTATAATGTCGACCTTGTTGCTTTCCGGTATTACTATAATCGGGCTTCGGATGCACTTGTCCAAGAATTTAGCGTAGGGATTTCGGGAATTTTTTCTAACCTAAAAATCGGAGAAAATTACTACTATGTAGGAGAAAGTATACGTACAGAGTTAATTAAATTTGATGTAGACGCCGTTTTTACATGTGAATTAATCGATTTTATATAATTCATCGCTTTAGATGGCGGACGAGGCCCTTGGATTTACTTAGTAGATTGAATAGCTCAAGGTAGTTCATTCACAAACATTAGGCTTTATTGCAGCTACAGTACAATTGATCTACTTTTCAAAAAATTAAGCGGAAAAATATTTTTTGCCAAAACAGTTTTAAATAATTTTACTCGTTGTTTAATCATTTGTAGTTGTTTGTTTAGTGCTTGTGTCCTGTAATTTGCGCAACAGTTGGCCCCTATATCATGGTTAGCTGCACAGTGACCGCATCACTAGACAGTTAACGAGTTGTGGCCAAAACCGTTTTTAATAATAATTATAATAGGTATAATGTTAATGTATAATCAAAATGAATCAATTACAAGCAAGACAATGCACTTCTCACTTCGGCTAAACAGGCATCTACTATAACAGGATTATTTACACTTTTTAACGACTTCTTCAGACACTTCAAAACTAGTTTATGCAGCATACTACACTGCATTTTGTCTAGCTTCTTGAAATTATCCGAATATTTTTCGGGATTACTTTTAAAGTCCTTTTCAAACAGTTTCAAATCGTCCACTGTTTGTAGATTCAGTTTCGTATCCTTCTTTTTCTTTTTCCGACGCTTTTTGACATTGGAATTTTGCAAAACTGGTATTCCCAAATCTTCGGTGGTCCTTTCTGGTTTATCCTCCACAGAATGGACGGGTGTAACTTTCTCAATGTTAGCACGATCGATGAAGAGCTCCTCGTCGCTATCTCCCATGTCACAATTAAGCAAGGACAGGAACGGTTTGTCAGTTGGCACATTTTCAGGAAGGTCGTCTAAACATTCTGTTTCGAGCCATAAATGTGGATCTTTGGGTAAAATGTAACTTTTGGGTAACCAATTGACAGTCGAATTTTGTAAGACAGGCACAAACGGAAGTAAAAGTGAGTACAACCGGCAAGCGTACTTCACAATATTGCGTGACAAAGTATAAATTCGCGAGACAATACCATAAGCGAGAAAATAAATCTTCCACATGTGTCCCAAGGTGATCAGTTGTTCCAATGTCGAGGCGGCAACTTGAGTAGTTTCAACAAGACGTACCATTAGCTTCCCAAAGCCTTGTAGCCTCACTAACAAGTACAGTAGCATATTACGAGCAGGCATATACATAACGTCCGAATAAGTCTCGGGAAGGGCGTGTGAAAAAGTTTCTAAATGATGAAGAACGTTCATTCGTAAATACCGCAATAACGCTTGATTTACTTTGGCAATAGTTTTGAGACCCTTACAGTGTCTGAGTTTTGTTTTCATGCAATACGTAAATCTCGATAAAAAGGCAGCTTCTTGCTCGAAAGTCGAGTGATTCTTAAACGCCAGGCATGCTTCAGAAATGATGTTCCTTAAAGTTGTACCATCTGCAATTCTAGTTTAATCGAAGGTTTTGTTATACAATAGCCCAAACCTTTCTCTTGAATATTTTGTTTAATTGTCATTACAGGAGGTGGTTTTAAATTTTTCACATTCCACAATTCAGAACTCTCCATGGTGCATGAAATGAGGTTATGTTTATTCAGCAAATACACAAACAAACAAAACTCATACGCGGTCATTTTTCATACACTCGAAAAAATTGTTATACAGGGTGTTTTCAAATGAAACTAAAGACCAAAAATAAAAATGGGCATTATCAGAGTTACGAATGAGTTAAGAAGCAAACATACATTCTGAAATATTTACGATACATAAACCGACGCTAGGGGCTACAGTCCCTCATAAATTTTGTAATTGGACACGAAGCCAAATGTATAATTTTATATTATTTTTGTACAATCGTTTTTATTTTTTAAAAATCGATTGATAAGTTAGAGAGAAATCGAAATCTCGAGTACTTGCTAGCTAAGATTATTTATAGTAGGGACCTCCGTCGATTGGTTTGCAAAGTACGTTTCAAACCAGTTTAGCAAATTCTATTAGTTATATCTCAGACACCAATAAAAAACCTAGGGATGAAATGAATGTGTAGACTCAATCAAATAAAGTCGTCCAGATATTTCAATAGAACTTCTGTTCAGTAAAACGATAAGGAGCATAAGCACGGTAGGAATGGGTAACTGGGTCACCTTTCCACCTGTCATTTGTCCCCATTAAATTAGAATGTTGGAAATAAAACTTCAAATTAGAAAAAAATCTTATTAATTATAAATGTACACAACAGATAAGACATGGATGACAGCTTTTGAAATCAAAACTGTATAATATAAAAGAGCTTTAGCACACATCACTGTATAAAAATCACAATGTTTTATTCTGAATTACTAATACAACCACCTTAAAACTAGAAATTTGTACACGCAACGCACATTAATTTTGTAAAACTACAAAAATTACAACTAGGTCATATTTCTACATTAGGTATTACAACGAAAGAGTTAGTTCGTTAAGTCCTAGATCGATTTTAAAGCTTACATACAAGTATAAACACGGAACGTTTAAAATCAAACTAGAAGTACACATACTAGCCATTCTTGATCATTTACAATGTTACCGCTAATTTATTTACGACTACTTATCAGACCCGATCGTCATTACGTTAACTATAGGACATTTATCCCTGAATAAGTAGTAAACCTGTCTGATTTACATTAAATGTTTTGTACAGAAAAATGGCCGCCCATTCCACATATGGACATAATTTTGCGACGTCAAATTCAAAGATTAGCAAAATTGAAACGAAAGAAAATGGTCCCCTTTTTTTTGTAGCAACTGTTTTAGTAATTTGAGCAAAGGCACATCTTATTTCTAACTGTAAAAATTGCAATTCGTTTGCACGATTAATCGACAATTTTGCAAAGGAATTGCCAAATACTGCTAAAGAATTTCTATTATCGGAGAGGTGTAATTTGAATATTTTTGGCAGATGACCTCTCCGACAATGGAAATCTCACAATCTACTCTACATGCTGCCAAATGATTTGAATGGGAAATGAAACAAAAACTAATTATTTGTTAAGTAATGTAAAAGAAAGCTATATACATTATCACCACTTTTAACACAGCTTTTCATTTCTTATACCTCAAAGTTTAACATTTAGTTCAATCATATCGACAACATAAATCTAGTCAGACTTTAATTCGTAACAATAAAAATAAAATAGGAAAATACTTAAAGTTGTCGGTATAGTTGAATCAAAAACATAATCAAAATTCGGCAACGGCAAATAACAGAACGTTTACATCATCGAAAAGTGTAACAGTTCCGGCGGCCGCCGTAGCCGCTTACGTAAATTGATTCCGATACAAAAATATACTATTAAAATTATAAAATAATTCTAATAACAGCTATTAAACTTTTACAGAGACCTTTAAACTTTGGCTAACCGAACTCGCTAAACTTCATTATTTAGTCTTGTAGATAATAGATTTTTCGTTTCTTCCCGTTCACAGCACAACGGCCGTACTCCAACAGTTCTTTTTGCGCTAACGCCACTTCCACCCGCAACACTTCCTTGTCGTTTTCGATATCCATTTCATCGTAAACTAATTCTGTGTCCTGTAAAGTAACGGATTAGTACACTATCGCACTATGAGATAGTCTGCGGGCAGCTACTTCACGCAATATTCTTATAAATAAGAAACTCAGCCTTGCGTTCACCTGATGTTTAAAATATGCGATATGTTTGCCTTTACTAGAAACATCTGTGATGAAAATTTCAAGAAATATCTCCACAAATAAGAAAGTTGACATTCTACAGTTTGCTGAATGTTGAATGCAAAAAAAATGCATTAATAAATAATATCTTGAAAACATGAGTTGGAAAATGCGTAAAAAAAATTAAAAAAAAACGCGGTTATCAACTAACCATTACTTTTTAAAATGGTGGTAACCCCCAGTTTATCTGGCCCTGAATCCTATTCCCCTCTTTAAGAAGCGAAATCCTTTAATCATTTCACACTTTCTTATGGAAACTAGTGACACAAACTGACCATTAAAATATAAATCTTATCTCAAATTATCAATTCTGATTAGAACAGTGACTTCCTGCCGATATTGTGACGTTAAACCAAAAAATGTTTAAGTGCAAATATAAACAATACTTGTTTACTATACAAAACGTACAATAATTTAGCTTGTTCCCTTTCTTTTTCTATTTTTTCTCTTTTCAATCGTTCATCTTTTTTTTTGTTCTTTGTTGTTCTTTCTGTCTGTACCTAACTGGATGCTTTCATAAAGTTATTAAGGTTAAAGTAGAATATCAGATTAGGTTTTACCTAAAAAATCTGAACTTTCACCTAATTGATATATGCAGTACTTATTGCAAATGTAGAACTGCTAATCAATAAAGACATTTATTATTATTATTATTATTATTAAATACAAGCTTCCATAAAAAAGCGTGGACCATTCTGTACCTCTATATCGATGTCATCATCTTCCGATTTGATAGCGCTAATATCAAAAAACTGTGGTTCACTGTTGTAATTATGCTCGACAACCTCCACATCCGCCTCGGCGTCGGACCCCTCTTCGCTCTCCGCGCTGCCGCACGAATCGCCGAAATTATCAGCGTCTTCGTATGTGAACTTCAACTCTCCCCGTTCCAGAGACTCCAGATTTTCTACAAAAAAATGCATTGTAATCCTGAAGAAACCAGGAATTAATGAGGGGACAAAATTGGGAGAATAAAAGACTCGGGATCTCCGGGATACTGGACTGAGTAGTGTCACAAACCTGGGTTAAGTAAGGTCAGCTAGGCATTTTGGAGCCTTTGGAATTCTTAGCGTCTCCAGGGTTCTAAAATCTCTAAGGTTCTGCTTCTGGGGCATTTAAACAAAGTAATCTGGTTCCTTGAGATCCATGGAATCGTGTTGGGTAAAAACAAATAAAATGGCACTTTTTAGGAAACTCCTGTTATTTATTAACGAGCTCATTCATAATTTTTGACTTTGTCCGTCCGTCTGTGTACATGGTGTCCTACTAATAAAGGTCACAGCCCATATCTATGGAACTGTTAAATGGAGAGCTTAGGGAAAAAAATGTGTTAACAAAAGAGGCCAAGAAAACTCGCAGGAAATTATTTTCAAGTTTGTAGGTTTGGCGCTAGAGGGCGTAAGATTCATGGTTATGTTAAAGTCACGGGTGAGTTCCAGAATTAACCGTACAAAATACCGATACATTTTACCGTGACGTCATCGGTAATCTTAAGGTATTATAGCGGTTGAATTAGTTCTTGTATAATCTGGAACGCCGTGGTAGCAGGCTGGTTGATTTCTATTTATAACGTTATAATATAACCACACTTTTAAGTATTGAACGATTGAACGTACGGCCTTTTTACTGCATTATAATGATGAACCTAGAATGCGAATATTTAAATACTCGGTTTGAAATAACAGTCGACGCTGAAACACACGCAGCACTAATGCAGGGTAAATTCATTACTAATTAAATTAGGTAGTCACATTATTTTTCTACTATGTCTAGATGAGGAACAGAGGAACAATTATATTAAGAGAGTGTACGAAACTAGTATTAACCCATACACTCAATCTGAGGAAATGGAATCACAGCCGTTGGAAGGAAAGCCTCATCAATGGAAAAAGGAAACAATAGTGTTACTGATAGAAACTAGGCTCTCTCGGGAATTAGAATTCAACAGGCCCACATGCAAAAAAAAGAAGTTATGGCAACAAATTGCAAAAATTATTAATGAAAAACTTCGAGTGAACGTTACCAGCGACGAGTGCGATTTGAAGTATCGTAATCTTTTAAAAACGTATAAAAATAACAAAAAGAAGCAGCAATCTTCTGGAGAAAGTGCGATAACCTGGGAGTTCTTTGAGCGTTTTGATCATGTTTTAGGCTGCAAAGCGGCAATTACTCCTGCAGAAGGTAATAACAGCATTGTATGGTTATACACCTCTGTACATTATTTTATTAGGTTCCCTATACGACACGTTGGAGAATGATGATTCAGAAAATATTGAACCAGACTCACAACCATACGAAGAGCTACCTGCTTCTCCCAGCACATCAGCAGGATCCGCAGGTACAGATGTCAATACTCAAAAGAGTAAAAAACGAAAAATGCAGATAAGTGATTATTTACTAAAGAAATTGGAAATGGAAGATGAGAAAAACAAAAGAAAGGAGTTGTTTCAACAGCAAAAATGGGAGGAGGAAAAACTATTAAAAGAAAAAGAAATTAATGCCATACTAAAATTAGTACAAGTATTAGCTTCAAAATGTGAAACTTAGTTTGTATTTTCAAATATTTTTATGTAGTTTTAGAGTATTTTACACATCGTTTTTATATAAACTAGTTTTTAACAAATTAACATTAAAATTTCATTTGACTTAATATTTGATTGCGTAAACGCACACCACAAAGATCTAAACCACTCTCTTCTATTTCTTGATCATAGTGCTCAATATTATTATCACCTTCTTCTTCATCTATGTTTCCACAATATTCAGGATCATCCTTGACACCAATGTTGTGCAAAATGCAGGCTGTGGTTATTACGTAAGGTATTTGCTGTATACGTAGCATCGGTAAGTATTTTAAGCGACGAAATTGGGACTTGAGTCTTCCATACGCTTGCTCAATTACAACACGGGTACTGCTTAATTTGGCATTAAATCGACGTTGTCTTAATGTTAGCGTGCCATTGTCTTTAAATGGCACCATCATATATGGTTTTATTGGGTATGCAGTGTCTCCTAACAGGTAACAGCCGGGCAGCAACATTGCATTTGCACCTTCTTCCAATTTCTTGTAGACTTTTGAATTTTGCCACATTTTAGAATCGTGCACAGATCCTGGCCATCCACAATACACATTAATAAACTCTTGCTTTGCATTACATATGCCTTGAAGTAACACGGAATGAAAGCCTACAAAGTTGAACATTACAAACTATCCTTATATTACACCTACAAATAATTTTGCTACCCTTTCGATTGTAATATGAATTGTCAGCTAACGGACCGGGAATGGGAATGTGTGTGCCATCAACGCAACCAAACACATCTAAAATGTACCTATATAATTCGAATGCCATTGCACACTGTAACGTTACAACTCTTACTTGGAAAACTATTTTCTCCTCTTAATGTACTAAACTCAGTTACGGTTTCTTGAGCTTTTGCTCCTTTGGGCCATTTAATATAGAGATGGCTTTTTTTATGTACTTTCTGGCACATCAAAAGGAATATACGATGTGCATGACCTTTTCCAATACCAAATCTATCCGCAATAGACCTAAAACTCTCTTGATTGCTAATGGTCCATATCATGAGCAAGACAGAGTCTAATAAAGGCAATGCGGGTCTGCCTACTGACGAATAGTCTTTAGTACCCAGGCACTGCATTACTTCCTACAAAATGACAATATAAATAGATACTGTACTTAATACTAGTACTAATTAAAAACCTCCACTGATTGTCTTGATATACGAAAATGGGCCCGAAAGTCTGTAGGATTGTACTTTAGCACAACACATTTTACATAATGTCGCACCTTTGGATGATCGTCTGTTCTGAGTAAAGATAAAAGTACATCATCGTCATCATCACCTTCATCGCTGTCACTTTCATTTAGCTTTGGATGTGTATCTTTAAAAACCCATCTATTTTTTATGACGGTATACAGCAACAATTCCATTCTTCGACAAGTGCAATAACGCTATACAAATAAGTCAAAAAAGTAAGGTTAGCGCAAACTGGTAGCTTAATAACCGCCAAAATAATTCGGTGCGTATGGTAGATCACCGGTGATACACCAATGGTTTGTAGGTTAAAAGTGGAACATGCGGTGGTGCCCCACCGATTAATTCTGGAACGATCGAAGTTTCTACCGGTAGTTACCCTACATCTACCGGTTAATTCTGGCACTCAACCAATGATAGAAAGAACCTTAGACTATGTTCTTTTCCTTCTCTAAGGAAAGAACCGAAAGTACCGCAATCATCCGCCATTTTTGGGCAAAATTGCTGCCAACTTAAAAAAATTGACAAATAAAATCTGAATAGCTGTCATTTTTTATAACCTAACTTCATAGTACTGTCATGTTTTATAAAAATATCATTGAACTATAGGCGTTTTCTTTCGGCTGCTTAAATCATGATTTCAAAATCGGAAAAATTTTCCATTTTACAGGGAATCTGTCTGATAGATATTCTCGCGTGACTAAGACGTTGTGCGCGGGTGCACCATCCTGTTGACACCGACACTTTCAAACTTTTTTAGTGTGTGCGTGGTATATCGTTGTATTCGTAATAAAAAATACTACTCAATAATATAGCGTGTACTTTTTTCAATGCTCAAGTAACATCAGGAAAAAATAAAAACGAAATCGGTCAATTTTGGTTTTTCTGGGATATCTTCGGAAGTAACTCGAATTTTCCGGTTTTCTTTAAAGCATGACAATAATCGTTTAATGGCGCAACTTTTATTTAATTTGACCATTGTCGTATCTTCCATGGTTTCTGAAAACTCCATGATAGACAACCTTATCTTGGATACAAGTGTATTTTGGAGGAAAAGAAACAATTCTCGGATTTATGGAGTCCATTTGGAATTCTGTGTTCCTAGACTCATTTGGATCAGAGTATAGAGTCAGGACATCTTAAGTTTTAAGCCCTCTAGGTCCCTAAAGACACAGGGTATTTTTGACTCGAAAGTAGGGTCACCTGAGGATTTAATTTTTGGAAACTTGAAGACAATTTGGTTTTCTTAGCTACAATAAAATTTAAAAAAAAAATTACCTGGATTGACCATCGCCTTTTTGATCGCGCTCGGATCCTTCCTCGACCACTTCTGCACCTCCTCGTCCATTTTGACGATCTTCGCCGGATTCATCGCCCAAAGGCAGCCCTTTCGTTGCGCGCCGTTTATCGCCGGCTTCTCGATCTTCTCAAAGCACTTGTTTAGGGAGAGATTGTGTCGGACCGAGTTCTTCCAGCCGTTCGGCGCCGTCTTGAAGTAGGGAAAGTGCCTGCACATAAAGTTGTATATCTCCGAGACCGGCAGACTGCCGGTGTGACTGTTCTTGAGCGCCATCGCTATGAGACAGCTGTAGCTGTAGGCGGGTTTCGGGTAAATGTGGAGGTCTCCGCATAGTTGATTGTTGTTCAGCTGCTGCTTGCGGTGGTGCGTGTTGGTCGCGATCGTTCGCACGTTGCCGATTCCGTTGATGTGAGTGACGCCGACCGACGAAATGAAGTGGTGTTGTACGGTATTTTTAAATGAGAGCAAAGTCGATTTGTTATTTACAGTCTTTATTATAGGTTTCGCCAGAATTGGGGTAACTTTAGTGGTTTTTATCTCAGTTTTCTTCTCATCTAAATTTAATTTTTGGAGAATGTCCCTCTTAAAAGCGGCCGCTTCCGTTTTCAAGCTGGTTATTTTAATACTAGACGGTGAAAATGTTAAATGACTCTCTTTTAACGTAGGAGACGGAGACCGTATGCTTTGTGCCAAAGAAATTGGCATCACAGCGTTTGGATTGACCATTGTGGAACCATCTTCGCCATTAAAATCTAAATTGAAACTCGAATTTGAATGGTTGGAGTTAGACGATATCCATCTTATGTTTGTACTTTCTTCTATGTCTAATGGTGGAAGATCGGAAAAATTTAAACCGGAAAGATCATTGTGTCCCCCCACTAACGTTTCGATTTCTGATTTAATGTCAATATCCAACATTTCTTGAAGCGATACAGAGTCACTCGCACTTAAATACATATCCATAGTGGAGAAAGCTTAAACTGGAATTAAAAAATTCAATTAGTATAATTGCAATTCAATTGATTCATTTGTTTTGAAACAAAAGTGTTCCTACAACTTAGTTGTTTAGCTTTAGGGCGTTAGTAAGTGAAAGCACAGATCTAAGATCTGTGATAAGTCTAATCGAAAAAGTACGAATTGTTTTGGATTCTACGCACCAAAAATAATAAGAAAAAGTGTTTTTCCGAGAAATTTTGGTGCAGTCGATTTTTGGTAAAAAAGGCCTTTTCTTGAGGCCCGAAAAAAAAATTGTCTCAGATCGATACGGAAAAAAAATTGTCTTATAGAATGTGGCCTGTAGAATCCATAATTTGAAACAGTTCCAAGATTGGGCTACTAGTTCAAAAGTTACAGCCCTTTGAATTTTCTTTCGAAATTGGTTTCTAGTCCATAACTTTTGATTGAGAAGTCTAATCGAAAATGTACGAATTGTTTTGGATTCTACGCACCAAAATTAATAAGAAAAAGTGTTTTCACGAGAAAGTTTGGTGCAGTAGATTTTTGGTAAAAAAGGAAGGTTATACACTGCCTTTTTTTGAGGCCCGCAAAAAAAAATTGTCTCAGAGTTTTTTGGGCGTATTAAATGAAAATTAAATCAAAAAGCTTATTGAGTTACAAATTTAAAAAAAAATTCACCTGTTGAGTAGGTACCTCGCCAAGCACTTATTGTTTTTATTATTTCTTTATATAGTGTCTAAATTTCACAAACACGTTTTATATTGAAACTGAAGTTGTCTATCTGTCTTTTTAATAAATTCTTCAATAACCAATTCGTTAAAATTTGGAATTTCTTTAATCATTTGTTTCTCAATAGATAACATTGCGAGGGCCGTCAGTCTATCCTCACACATTGTACTTATAAGAAAAGTTTTTATCCGATTTAATGTAGAGAAGCATCGTTCGGCTTCGGCGGTTATCATGGGCATCGTAACGATTGCTTGTAGCACTAGTAATGTCTCTGAGAAATCTATTTGTAAATTATTTTCGATTAAAAATTTAAGCAAATGGACTGCTCCGGATACTTCTCTAAAATCTGACTGTTTGTATATTATTTCCAATTCTGTCTTTAATTTGTTTTTATTTAAAAAGGGAAATGTGCGAGTTGCCGAGTCTAATTGTAATACTGGAAAATGTGAAGAATATTTTTCGAAAAGTTCTACCGAAAATAAATTTGCCATTTCCACATGCCCTGTGAAGAAAAATCTTCTTTTGGTTTCTGATATTATCGTATCACAAACTTCCTTAGCTTGGACAGTCATGGAAACGTAAGAAGTCTTGTCATCTATCTTCCTTCTTTTCCTAGACTCAATATCTTCTAACTCGCTTTCCCTAATGGTGTGCATGTTCTCTCTTTCGTTTCGAATACTTCTTTCAAATTCAGTGATGCATCTCTTTATAATTAGGGAATCGGTAGTCCTGTTTTGTAGTTGTGAATATAAAATATCGGCGTGGGGCATAACACGATGAAACACTGTTACCCAAAAGATAAATTTAGGGTCGTTTAATAGCCTTAAAAGTGCACCTGCTTTTCTTATGGTATCCGACTGTCTGGATGTCGATTGTATTCTTTCCATACAAGTTATAAGGGCATCTCTATTTTCATACACCGTATTAACTGTTGTAATTTTAAAATTCCACCCTGTAGCAGATGCTCTAGGAACCCGACTCTTAACAACTTCATCCAATACGGCAACTCTTTGTGGGGAATTCGAAAAAAAATTGGTTATGTCACTTAAATCGGAGAAAAATATGCGAACATTACTATTTATGCTTGTTGCTTGAGATATTAATGAATTAAATTGATGAGCATAGCACTGTATATAATTGGCGTACTGAAATTTATCCTTAATAAGTTTTTGCACACCACCATGGGTCCCACTCCTAACATTTGCTCCGTCATAACTTTGGGAAATTAGCTGATCGGAATTTTTTAAAACACAATTTAAAGATTCTTCTATGCAGCCAGCTAAGGAAACAGCATCGTGGTCATTTGGTTTTAAAAATGTCCAAAATCGCTCAACAGGGGTACCGTTTGGTAAAGTATAACGGTAAACTATGACCTTTTGGAAGACATTTGAAATGTCACTTGTTTCATCACTTATAACAGACACGAAATTTGAAGCGGCCATTTCTTTCTTGATGTATGACTGACACACGGAAAGCATACATTCTAATAAGTCATTTTGAATATCTTTCGATGTACCTTTAAACACGGTACTATGCTGCAAATGATCTTTAAGTGCCAAGTCCAATTCGGCAGAAAAATTGATGAGACTTCTAAAAACTCCGGGGTTGATTGAATTTTCTCGTTCGTCATGGCCGCGGAGAGCAAGTTCAAAAGCGCCACAAAACTTTATACAGTCTATAATTTTTGATAAAACATATCTGTTCTTTTTCACTTCCTCATTATGTTTTTCGATACTCGAACGATACGCGCTATTTAACTGCTGCCGTATATTTTGCTTACCTAACAAATTAAAATCCAATTTGGCAGATATATGTGTCTTTGAAAAATGATGTTTTTTAATTTTTTCCGATAAATGCACTAGGTCCGTAACGCCATTCTTGGTCCATTCCGATGCCTCGTCGCCAAACAACAAACATGGAAAACAAAAGAGACTATTGCTAACGTTACAACCGCACAACCAGTCAGTTTTTTCATATATGTCTATTTTAAACGACCGTTTATAATCACGAGTTTTTCCTTTATTAATTTTCGTTATTTCCAAACTTGGTTTGGGGCGACCCGCATTTTTTATTTTAATTTTGTCTTCTAATTTAAGTAAATTAAATTTAATTGTCTTTAAATGCTGAACGGTAACGTCACAAGCTTCCGCCATTTTCACAATTATCTAGTATTCGTGATTTTACTTTTAAAACCGAAACCATAAGCACTACTTCGTAGTCCGGCGAATACTGATCACAATTACAGTGTGCTCTTAAAGTTCCAGAAAAGGGATACTTTCTGGGCTAAAGTTTACCTACAACGTGGCCTCTCGCGGGGCGCACGGGGATAGGCCTTAGCGTTTGAACGAATCAGAGATCGTAGCTAATTGTGCACTGCACGCAGAGGCGGAATATTCCTTCTTTCAGATAAGATAAGTGAACTATTTTTATAACGGGACAGGAATGTGCAAAAATGTTTTCTTTTTTTTTAATGATTTGTGGAAGTGCACGTGCTCATGTGCACTTATAAAGAAACCGCCACACAAGTACAGAGCGGTTTGTAGACCCTGTAAACATATCAACAAGGAAACAAAAACGTCTGAATTACCACACAAATTACAGCTCGTTATTTGTATCTACACTGTGGTAATACTAAAACAGAACAGTAAATTTACATTTATTTCCGATAACAATCTGATGGTTTTCCTTTTTCCCCACCCAGACAAATACCTGCCACCCTTTCTACATCGTTCTGATTCCAGGCCGGTTCTAGTGTTGGTTACGCCACTGTTATTTTTCTAATAAGTGAACTTTAGATTTTAATTGTTCGATTTATATGGACGGGCGATAATGAATATTGTTATGAAAAGGCTGTACCGAAGCAGATGTCCACGTCGAGCAGGGAGGGATACCGAACCAAGACAAAGGGCGAGAGGGGTTCGGCGGCCGGGGCCGGGAAGGAGAGGAAATCAGAAATCACTACCGGCGGCCGGCGAGGAGGACAGAAACGTAACGTAATCCGACCGCAGCTTCGTAGAAGGCAACATCAATCAGGCGTTAGTTTAGATGATAACAAAATGCAGTGCGTGAGAACGTTACGATTATGAAAGTTTTTTTGATAAACTAGAATAAACACGAAAGATTATAAAGAGGAGCGGAATGTAGTTTAAAATCAATTTGAAGGATCAGTCAACGTTCTGGAACTTGTTTCCGAGTTGTTATCAAACCTTACTTCCTACCTTACAATATGGCCTTGAAAGAGGGAGATGCTCCTGCTGCCTTTGCAAAAGTGATGATTTATCGCTTTATGTTATCATTTGTTTATGAAATTGATTTTGACAGCTAATTGTACCGGCATTATCGCTTTAACAACAACAATAAACAATATTTGCAAATTGAACGTCAAAATTCAAGCAAGTGGGTGTACCCTGCGCCGAAACAGATTTCAAATTGGAAAATGACACATCGATTTGGATAAGTTTATCGTGGAAAACAACTCGGACATCGAGTCGAATACGCTTTAAAATTATAACCTTAAAATTATACTTCCACACGCGCCTACACAAAAGAGCGGGCTCGTAACGGCGGGTGAATCCATTATGGCAACAGTACTTCTATACAAAAAATTTCAAGCCGTTCTTATGAGCTATCATAACAGAAATACGGCAAACAAAATTTTCTAAAGATAAATATTCACTTACCGATTAACTTGCTCGGTACAAATAATGATGTCCTACCGTATTTTCATTAATTTTCTTTAAAATACAAAGCAGAATCGCTAACAGCACAGTACACTCAACCGAATGTATACAAAGTTAAAGGTAAGAGCACAAAGAATGAGAGGGATTTCAAATTCGAAGCCTCCCATTGGCTGCCGGCTGTCACGAGTGTTTCCCGCCTAGACACCATTGGTTCATTTTAGCCGCCACAAGCCAGTCTTACACAGGAATATATTTATGAACATGCTCACGGGGGAAAACGACCAAGACCATTAACCAGAAAATAAAATACGAATTTGTCGTTTCTATTTTCTGCATTCTCTAAACGCAGAACCACCACCTGTGAACGACGAAATTTTCGCAGATTCAAACGGAACCCGCCGTTATCCTCAAGACGGGTCGTAATGGCGGTCACGGTCTTATAAGGGAATTGGCCTGGGTATACGCACAATTTGCATTAAAGGCGTTTGCAAAATCCGGCGTATTTAATCGCCGATTCGAAATAATTATTTCCACCAGGAAAATCAATGGTGGTGGAATATTCCACTTTTCCACAGAGGGGGTGTAAGCCACTTGACAATTTAAATGGTTCAATACAATGTATATTTCTTTAATTTGTTTTTACACAGTCTCTCCTATAATTTTAACCGATTCTAGAAGGCTAATCCACAGAGGCTCTCTTTTCGTATTTTCACCACTGTTGCTAATGCCGTTTCGACACCTGCAATGCGAAATTAATGCTAACGGATCACGGTTCAAGTACACCTTGCCTGGTCAAGTTAATTCGAGGGTTTTACAATTTTCTCACAGTCTTGCAATGGTTTCTATTATACAGTTTGAAAGCTGCAAAAGACTGTGTTTAGTAGTTTTTCAGGATTGTATATTATACTTACTCAGCCTGGCTGGGAATTGGGTGTTCTTGCCACGGTCGATAAATAAATTGATTAATTAGTTACGTTCTGTTTTAAGTAAAATAATCAAATACTAAAATTCGTTACCAGCTGATTTAGCTTTGCTGAATGTCACTCACGAAATGTTCACAGATGTCGCTGTTAATGTGAAAATTAATGATATACGGGGTGTACGTATTGTAGAACGCATGGAAAATTTACATTTTTCCATTAAATATTTCAACGACAGTTATTTCCGATTCGTAAGGAGTCCAGAATATACAAGCTTACTAAATTGATAATCTAAGGTTTTGAATTATCTCGTCGTCCAAACTGTATAATGAAACTTTAGTAGTGGTCGTAACTCGTATACAACTTAAAACAGATCTTCTAAAGACTAAAAATTGACTTGGTGGCATCCTGAAAGTGCTTTATAAGTAGGTGCTTTACAATTAACTCCATAACTCATCCAAATTTTTCTAATTCGACTTTCGGAATTCAAAATGTCCATTATAAGGCGCGCAATTCGGCAACGTTGCCACACTGGTTGACGTAAATCAGCTGTTTACCACAAGGTCGCGTAATAACAACAAACAAAAAGAATTAAAAAGTGATTATTGACTTTATCGCCTTGCGAATTGCGAATTTTCTTTAGTTCTAAACAAAATGGCAGACATCAAATCTTTGGAACACCCTACACTCAAGGTTGTAAAAATCGTGGAAAAGTTCAAATGACCTTCTAAACTCCTTATTGACAGGTTCCCTACGAAATACTAAACAAGAAATTTCGTTCTGCACAGAAGACGTTAGACAGGGAGGTTTCGCACGTGCAGCAGGCAGCAATCGAGATTGAAAAAAGCATTTCCGGAGAGAGTGTTAAAAGTAACGACATTACGAAACTCCTAGGCGGAATGGTGGAGAAACTGCAGGTTTTGAAGCGTAAAGCCGAAGAGAGCATAACGGAGGAGCTGCAAGCGACTAACGTTTGCAAGAGGCGTCTCGAACATCTGAAAGAGCACGCGACTCTAACGTCGTCCGGCGTCGTATCGCAAGGTGCCCTAAACCAATGGCGAAGGAAACGATTGGATCGCATGGTCGTCGAGTACTTTCTCCGAAACGGCTATTATAACGCCGCGATTACGCTCGCCGAAAGATCGAACATTAAGGATTTAACGAACATAGGTCGGTCGACAACTAACCGCCGGCGATTTGTAACCAGTGTGCGCTTTTAGATATATTTTTGACGTCTCGCGAGGTGGAAAAGTCGCTCGCCAGTCACGAGACGTCCAAGTGTCTGTCGTGGTGCCACGACAATCGGTCCAAGTTGCGCAAACTTAGATCGAATATGGAGTTTAACTTGCGAATTCAGGAATTCGTCGAACTGATTCGATCCGATCGGCGGATCGATGCGATTAAGCACGCCCGAAAGCATTTTCCGACTTTCGAAGATGAGCACTTGAATACAATTAAGAAGGCGATGGCTTTACTTGCCTTTCCAGTTTCGACAGGTAAGTTTATATGCTTGATTTATGAGTATTTCTACAAAGGCATGGTTGGGGGGGGGGGGGGATGCATGTAAATGTCAAGTTGCCCCGTCCTGCTGAAAAATCAGTTTGTGCTCAGTTTAAATTTGGTGATTAAATCTGGATTTAACACTTTAAAGTATGAATTTAGATGATAAACTCTAAATTCAGGATTTTGGGAACATTTTTGATTCTACAGCACCTCCTACCTTTTAAAGGCCTTCTAAATCTTTTCCAGACTCATCAGAACTTTTTTTGTCTTTTCCAGAGCTTTCTTGGTTTTTCTAGCGCTCTGGAAAGGTGAATGTATCTTCACAAATCTAAATAGCATGTTAAGTTCATGAAAGCCCGATACAGATTTTGAGAGCCTTTTAAGCGTTTGTTCCCAATACATTCTTTATCCCTCCCAGAACTTGATAGATCCCTTCCAGTGATTTCTCTTCTAAAATTCTACACATATCAGAGCCACATGGAAGCCTAAGAATCTGTGGAAAGCGCTAGAAACGTTTCTAGATCTTCCTCAGAGCATTCTCCTCCTTCCCAAAGCCTCTTAGATCCTTTGTGAAGCTTTTTAATTGTCCAACAGCCTTTCCAGTGTTACACTTTTCAGGAGGGAAGTCGGAATTCAGAGTTTAAACTGTAATATTTTAAAGTGAACACAAAACGCATTTACCTTGTTTTTCAATTTTCAGAAATACCTTCGTATAAAATGTTGTTCGATGAAGGTCGATGGGACACGTTAATCGAGGAGTTCAGGCAGGAGAATTACAGATTGTTTCAGTTGGCCAGCCAGTCGGTTTTTACTGTTGCACTACAAGCAGGCTTGTCCGCACTTAAGACACCATATCCTTTTTGATTATTTAGAGCCGGGTGCTTGGCTTATGCGTATCTTAAAATTCATGGCAACAATTGTTCCTGTTAAGTGAGCTATTTTTAGTATTTTATTTAATAGTACAAGATCCCACCTTCGCTCATTTGTTTACCTAGTGCAGGGGTCGGCAATCTATTGAAAGCCAAAAATTTACAAAATTTCCCAGTTTTTAAAGAGCCACAAAAAATTTTTGATTCAATTGATTGAGTAGGCTGCTTTAATAAAAAAAACAAAAGAATACCAGAATGTAAACAAGTGTCACAAATTAGATAATTGTTTTGATGCAAGTGTGCTTTTGATTTCGTAAACAAATAAAAGTAATTAAAAAGGCGAATTTCGAACAAATGAACTAATTTCTTTAGATAAATATGGAGAGCCCCAACTTTATATCGAAAGAGCCGCAGGTTGCCGACCCCTGACCTAGTGAAATACATTTTTTAGCAATCCTAATATGCAAACAAACACATTGCAAATGGTTCCTAAAATTTTAAGATACGCCCAGAGTAAACGGCTATAATTAATTTTTACTTTACAGTCTTGATTATTCCTTAACAGTTCGCAATCAGTGTTACTCTGAGAATAGTGAGAATCGGAATCAAAGCTGCCCGGTCTGTCAAAAGTACTTGAACCAATTAGCCGAGCATTTACCGTTTGCGCACTGTTCCCAGTCGCGCTTGTACTGTCACATTAGCGGTTTGCCGTTAAACGAGAATAATCAACCGATGATGCTTCCTAACGGATACGTTTACGGGGAACAAGTAAGGGCCTTATTTTCTCATATCGTTTACTATCCTTCGTACCTTTCAGGCATTGGAACAAATGGCCCGCGAGAATGAGGGGCAGGTGATTTGTCCTAAAACGAAGGAAATATTCGCTTTTAAGAAACTGGATAAAGTATTTGTTATGTAAGCTATGCCAAATTTGTATTGAGTACTTCAATTTTTTCGCTAAGAGTATTTTGAGCTTATCTCATTTTAGTAGTGTTCCTAAAACGGAATGCTTTAGATATTTATAATGCCATTATCTCTTTTGTTTAATAAATTGTGTTTTCCTAATTAAATTGTCTATCTATTTATATATACTCTTCTGCACCCCGGTAAATAATACGCAGTGGGGAAGAGATTTAGAGATGCAACAGTGCTTTCAAGTGACTACGAAGATTCTAGAACCTTCTTAGTTTTGATCTTTTCTAGATTTGTGAGCTGTTATGGAGTGGGTAGGAAAGCGCCAGAAGACTTAGAAAGATTTATGTTGCTCAGTAAAGTCCCTTACAGTCCTAGAAATGCGGAAATTTCCAAAGTTGGCGTGGTTTTCATGGCTCCAGTGACAGCCCGGAATAGGCGAGTCAAAAGCCAAAAACTCTTTTGCAAGCCCATAGACATGCAGTGATCTTTTTGGTTATTCGCTCAATGTGCCCTTTTCAGGTCAGGTGGGTCAAACCCAATTGAAGTCCTCGAAGACTGGTTCCATCAAGCTCAGTTCTCCTTCTTTTCGTAGATAGGCCTGTCTAGTACGAGGCACAACAGCAGTGGGAACAACACTCTACCCTGCGGACGTCCTGTAGCAACCGATAAGCCCATCTCCGTGGTCCCTAACTCCCGATTGATGATATAATGGCTCTGCCTCCGAATATGGCCGGATCCATCTTACGATTGGCTCATCACCGTTGTATACGAAGCTCAAAACCGTACTGTTATATTGGTTGCCTATCCTATAGTTTTGATTTGTTTGCGGAACCTGTTTAGTTAATTTGGCAACACCGTCATTCCTGAAAACGGAAAAACAAATGAAATTAAAACACCTGTGATTGATTCCTGTGAAAACAAAACACTCAAAACAATTGTCAATCGTGTATAACTTTATGTAATCGTGTTCGAGACAACTCACGTTGAGTTGATAAGCATTTACTGTGATTTTTTTTATTTTTTAAGAACAAAATGGTAAATGGCATGCAGTTTGTGCATATTTACATTTAACCTTTTCAGACACTTTCCATTATAATTCTGCTGCTAATAGCTGCTAGGTCCGTAGTGATAACCAACCAACAATCAGACTGGATCGATCCGCACGATATGAATAACGGTAAAGACCTCTTCAGAGACAACACAGAATTCCTGCGACCCACACAAGCCCAATGTGAAACGAAACTGCCATCGGACTGTCCACCGACGTTATCTCTCTCACACTACAAGCGATTGATAAGCCTCATTCTCAATCTTGTCAAATTGGACGAGGCCTCCTCGTACAGTGGACGTTTAACTCTTCGGCTTTCAACTGCCGACTACAAATTTCTGCTGGGATTCATCAGGGAGAGCGGGGACGTTGAAAATGTGGTATTACTACGTAAAATTGAGCAGGTCATGAGTAGAGTGATGACAAAGTCGAGATGGGAGCACGCCGCCGACCTCTTGGTCACGTGGACCGATTCTCTCTATTTCAATTTTTTTAATCGTACCACCGCCATAACCGCCACGTGCATGCTGGTGCTCGTGATTAGTTATAAGCTGCTGAAGGCGAGCTTCACAATTTGGCTGGTGATGAAGTGCTTAATACTGCTCGGGTGGATTGTCGATTTTGGCTTCAGATGGATGAGTCTTATACAGGTATTCGTTTTACCGACCCATGTGAAATTATCTATCGCTAATTGCTATGGGTTTCTTTATTTGAAGACAAAAGAATATATTACTTCATGTTGTTAGGGGGCAAAGATCATCCAAGAGTTTTAGACTATAAGTACTATACGAATTTGTCATATACAGGGTGTCCATTATGTATGGAATATAGTAAATATCGACTGTATACAAAATTTTTCTATATGAAAGTTGTTTACCATTTTATTTCCCATAATAAGGTAGCATTCAGTATCTTGATTTCAGAAAACAGATGAGTAAGGAAACAATTGAATTTGTTTAAATAGGAATGCGCCCTTTCATTACCCTCATTTGATAGAAATTTTGTTTCTCCTTTCGATGATGTGTAACCCTTTATACAGGAAGTTTTCAAAAAAAAATTTTATAATTACATGAATGACATTAATCTTGAAGAAAACAAAATTAACAATAATCGCTGCAGCAATTTCTCGCAGAATACTCAGACATTCATTCCAAGCATTTTGTGATAGGTTAGTCCACTGCCTTGCATTTAATAATAAAAATATTTTGAACACGTATTGCGATGAAAACCATTTTATTGCTAGCTTAATTTTGTCTTCGAGGTTTAATAAGAAATGTACACTTCATTTGTTTTATTTTAATGTAGGATATCTAGATTAATGTTATTGATGTAATTATAATATAAAAATTCAATTGTTTTTCGATACTCATTTGTTTTCTGAAATAAAAACAACAGAATGGCTACCTTATTATGGGTAATAAAATGCTAAACAACTTTCATATAGAAAAATATTGTATACAGTTGATATTTATAGAGGTATATACTATATTCCATACACAATGGACACCCTTGAAATCTCCCTACTTCTTGAGGTAATTTTTTTGAGATAAAAGTTCGCGGCTGATTCGAGGATAACTTCACACGGGTGTTTTGTACCACAATTCTTACTAATCGGACTGTTTAGGATGCGGAGATCAATCAGATGGCGGATATGAAGCGGTACGAGTCGGTACCTCCGTATTGTGATCCTAGCAAAATGAACTGGTTCCAATATTTAACGTATACGATTAGTAAGAGTGTCGTTGCAAAGGTGTTCAACATGCCAATTTTTCTGTTCTAGGTTCCGATAGCGAGTGCCGGAGGTACCATCACACTATGCACAGAAATGTGTTTTACGACGTTGCACCTCTTCAAGTGATGTCGAATCAGCTTGGTATTATCGTGTATACACCCGCGATTTACATGGGGAAGGCAGTCGGGACTTTTGTGTCTGGAATGTTAGGTAAAGGTAGAGGTTACGGATGGAAATTGATACTTAAATTGTAGACTCTTTGCCTTGGGGTGTCAACGTAATCTTACTGCCAGTACTTCTACTATTCACATTAGTCTTAATATGTATCATCTTGTCATTTTGTACAGAAACATCGTTTGGACTTAACCTCGCGTATTTAATACAGTTCCATTTTGGGAATAGACAGCGAGAGGCGATCGGCGATATGCTTTCCGGCAGAAATCTGTCTGCTATACTAAACATTGCGCAAAGAAACATGATTGAGGATGTTAGCCCTCAAACCGTAAACGACCAGAAAACTGAACCGTGTTCTTGCAGAGATAGCACTGTTGGTGAGGTGGAGCCTAAGTCTCCAGAAACCAAACCATCAGAGGCACTGCCTCCACTCATGCCAGACGCAGCAGAAGGAGGTGAATAATTAAGCAACTATTTTAAAACTTTATACTAAAATAAAATTTTATGACCAACCTGTGTCTATGTGTACATAAGGTAGGCAACACGCAATGCCAACCAAAAATTATTTTGTAACAGACAGGGTGGATTTAATCGAAAAAAATTGTCTATTGCATAAAAAATAAGGATTCGGGTGATCTCTCTGATACTATGCTACAATAAACTAAAGACAGTAGCATTTTTCTATGCTCTCCATGAAGTGCAACGCTTACCATTGTAACAAATACACAAGAGGTAGGTAATTTAGTTGATTAAAGCCAAATAAGATCAAAACCTACTCGTTACTCCATGTTATTTTTAATTCAGATTTCTTTTACATTATATTTTTGTTTAAAAAAAGATTGTTATGGTTACTGCGTTTTCAATAGCATTTAGATTGTACATTCTAATGACATCTGTCATTTTTATTTCAAATGGGACGCGAAGCACGATATAAAATGACGTTCAGAATATATGACAATGCTGTTTCTATGGAAACGATTGCGAACTGCAAAACCTAAGTTTACTATTTTTGACGTCTAAATTAAATTCAGAATTGTCAGAAGCTTTACACTGATTTATATAGCTTCTGCTATAAAATAAAGTTTTGTATTATGCACGACGATAAAGGGAAACTAACCATATCGTGAAAGTTAATTCACTCGATGGTTAAAATATCCCTTTATCGTCTTATATAATAAATAACTAATCTGCAGCAATATTATTCTTTCTGTAAAACAATTACAGAACTAATGTTCATTTGTTTTTTTTTTCGTTGTGAAGTATTTTCCTATTTCGAATGCAAATCACACCATATTAATATTTCGGTTTTCTAAATTATGCGAAGAAACTCCATTTAAGTATTATAGAAATAAGAATTGCGTTAAACGTTCATTTCTATAATATTCTAAAAGCTATTGAGCCATTGTATAAGTGCCCAGGTTTGATTTACCTGCTACCTACCAATGTATCACAAGGTTTGTCAATATCAGGGTGTTAGATCATACATTAGAGCCACAAATAAAAATCAATGAACGTATATTAATAAATGCAACCTGTAAGGGGCTTAGTTTTCCGCGTCGCCGTTAGAGGGCCACATAAATTTATAAACATTCAATCAATACAATATTTTTTTTAGTTATGGTGATGACGTCATGGTTTTTCTGTTAGTTACTTACTTTTAATTGCAATATATAATTACATCACTCAATTTTCCAACAAAAATGTACAATTTTGTAGATGTGATCATATAAAATCCCGAATACGAACAGGCAGCACGGCAGTAAAATGCCAGAACAAAGTAATGATTATAGAGTGGTCGTTTTTGGGGCCGGCGGCGTCGGTAAGAGCTCTCTGGTTTTGAGATTCGTCAAGGGAACGTTTCGGGAGAGTTACATTCCGACAATCGAGGACACCTATCGACAAGTACGTTGCCGTCGTCGCACCTGTATCCGGCTAATGCTCGTTTATTTAGGTGATAAGCTGTAATAAGAACATATGCACACTTCAAATAACCGACACGACGGGTTCACATCAGTTTCCGGCGATGCAAAGGCTGTCGATAAGCAAAGGGCACGCGTTTATATTAGTGTATTCCGTATCCAGTCGGCAGAGCTTAGAGGAATTGCGACCGATTTGGGAACTGATTCGGGAAATTAAAGGACCAGATTTAACTCAAATTCCCGTTATGTTGGTCGGAAATAAATGTGATGAAAGTGCAGAATTAAGAGAAGTATGTTTCTTTTCTTGTAGAGACCAGTCATTTTTTACAACTAATTACGGCTTTGTTGTCAAATTTTATACAGTCCAAAGTGATTTAATATTTTGAATAGAAGAATAGTCCACACTTTATAGATTACTAGACAATTGAATTTAAACTGAAGTGGGCCCCAGTTTGATCCTTGAGGACTCCTTGATTAAAAATGCATGGCAAACCATTATTGTATTATTTTTTTATGTATCTGTATTCTGTAGCGTATTGTGATGGTGAAAAAATTGAGCACCACATTTATGTAAGTGACACAAAGCGCCTTTGATGTTGGATCTATCGGCGCAAGGTAGTGGGGGATTCTTCAGTTGGCATACCCCATTCCTTGGCCTAGCAAGTTTAATGGCAGGAATTGTTCTTCACTTCCTTCTGCCAGTAAAGGCTGTATAGTTTGTATCATTTTACTAATTTTCTTTCGTGCAGTTCTTTCTCTTTTATTATTCCTTCTATAAACGTCAGTACTAGTATTTTCCATGGCAAGTTATTTGTGAGCGCTAGCTCCATTACGTTGTCTGGTGTGCTTTCTCTTATTTTCCCCATGGCTTCTTCTTATCTGATCCAAAACTGTCAAGGTGCTGGGCTCTTCCTTCTCTTCCCTCAGTGCCTCCTTGAAATGGCCGCATTTTCCGGGGCCCCTTTTTGTCGCATAGGACGTAGAAAGGGTCGTTTGGGTACTCTTTTGCCTCATGGCCCTTTTCACCGCAGGCCCTACATAGTTTTGTTCTGTCTGAGTTTCTGCACTCTCTGGACCTATGCCCATACTCCCAGCATCTCTGATACCGCAGTGTTAGTCCTATTTTGATACTCTTCCTCGAGAAGCCGGTTACACTTTTTCCAGAACAGCTGGTCGTAACCTGCAACCCGCTTTGGGTTTTCCTCGTGAAGATTCTTGCCTCCCTTTTCAAATGCTCCGTTCCGGATAGGGAACTTCTCACTTTCTCCTCTGTGACTGTCATTAAACAAATAAAAATTTGACGTATTGTTTCAACGTATTTATTCCTAAGCATAAAAATCTTAGAATCAGTGGCGTCGCTGGGCAGGTGAGCGCTCTCTTTACTGCAAAGGAAATTGGGTACAATTCTATAACGAGACTGTAAGAGGGAGTGCCTCAAGGTAACTACTGGGGGCGCTGCTGTTCCATGTGAGACGTAACCAATAGGTGAATTACACGTGTTGTAGGTTTCCACGTCGGAGGGCCAGGGCGAGGCGGGCTCTTGGGGCGTAAACTTTATGGAAACGTCGGCAAAAACCAATCACAACGTGAAGCAGCTCTTTCAGGAGTTGCTAAACATGGAAAAGACGCGCAACGTTAGTTTACAATTAGGCAACAAGGCGACGGGTCGCGTCGCCAAAGACAAGTGCGATCTAATGTAAGCGGCTCACCTTTTTAACTTTGTTGTCATCCTTTAATTGTATCTATCGTACGGGTAAACTATTTGTTGGTAGATAATCGGCAAACATTTATACTGTTAACGAGGTTTATTTGTTTTAATCTACTTGCAAATGTGATCTGAGGAAATTATGTACAGAAGCTAGAGAAGTGCGTTGTAACCATTTGTTAACTGTGAAGTGCCCATTGGTGGACAATATTAACATTTAATGTGTTCCTGAATAACGTACCATAAGTATACTACTATTGATGCTCGCTTAGATTCTGTACATAACAGGGTACAGAGTCCTGCACGACAGCGTCCTGTACATACATCACCTATTGTTAATGTAAAGCAATATCCTCCAATTAAAGCCGCAGATGTATTATCGGCATGTAGCAAATTTTCTTCTCTACAATTCATACATATGTTAATAATAGCATATCAATTTCATAATATATAAGTCTGTAGATTGCTGCAAGTTTAATCTTAGGAAATTTTTAATATATCGCGCGCGGCTGTTTTGATTTGGGACAGCCTCTTTTAGACTGGGTGCTGCTATGCAACATCATTTGTTCATGTTATCAACAACCGTTTGTTATTCACAACGCTGCTTTATAGTGTTCAGTATATGAACTGCAATTGTGATCGACTTTATTACATATTATATGCAACGAATATACAAGACATAATGTAGAGTTTAGGCGACTATGTACTCAAAACAAACAAAAACAAGATGATTTCGTGCTAAATTTATATTACGTGCCATTTCGGAGGTTTAATGAAAGTTAAGGGCGTTGCGGACTTTGTTACTGCATTTTCAAGTCTTCGTTGTGTATGCATTGTACGGAAAAGAAGAATGTTTTAACGAAAATAAATGTACAAAAATAACTCGTCTTAATGTCAATTTGTCAGTATCGTTTATTTATATGTAAGATCCTTGAAGTTGGAGTACCAATATTTAAATATTAATAGTATTTTTTTTTGTTAAGTTACTCGTGCTGTAAAATTGGAAATTTTCTCTCTCCGCACTTTTCACTATTGTTACCAATAAATGCTTTTTAGAGTAGAACTGCCCCGCCGCTTTGTCTATTGGTTAAATGTTCAGGTACGGCCAAGAGTTCGAAGTCATTCAGAGATTACTTAAAAATTCTTCAGAAACCCTTTCAGAGATTTTTTAAGGGTTTTGAACCAGGGGCGGGTTTATACATCCATTCAGGGGGGGGGGGAAAATAAAAAAGCTACAGGTGCGCGGGAATTTTTTTTTAGTAGCTTTGACCCAATTTCAGCTATTTTTTGTTAAACTATCTATTGCCGCATTAATTTCCGAATACTGACAAAGGCAGAAAAAATACCAGAGGCGATAATGATAGTGCTAAAGTACAGTCGTGAGTCGCAGTCTGGACAATACACGATTCCGCCCCCACCGGCATTATTTTGTGTACCTATTTTATTCAATTTCACTTTTCCGTCAGGTGGTTTGTGGTTAGGTCTATTTAATTCGATTATTATGTAAACCTAATGAAATAAAAAAACAATTGAGCAGTATGTTTAGGGGCCCCCCCCCCCAAACCGCCCCTGTTTTGAACATTTTGACATATTCTTGGAAAAATCATTTTGCGTGATTCTGAGACATTCTCTAAAAATTTCCCAAACTTTTAGAGATCAACAAAAATTCGTGGTAGATTATTCAAATGTTTCTTGATCCTTGGAGATTAGAAACTACAACGCATTTTAAAAAAAAATCTTGCTAAGAATTTTTTAGAGCTAACATCACAAATTGGGCATTTCAATATTGTTACTCCAACGTCATGGGTGTACCACCATGTTCCTTTGTGACTGTGTGTTGGTCCCTAATTTTTCAATTCACCCTTAACTTACATTGTGCAAATACGATTGTTATCAATTAGAAACCTAAGGATCAAATTTGTATACATGTAGACAACTTTTAAACTCAAATGTATTTTTCGTCACAATTTTGACACTTTTTCAACACTTCTGTCGTACCAGGCAGGTATGACCGGAGTAGACTACGTTAAGTGTTATTTATTTTGTGATGTTTTCTTAAGGTATTAATATCGAACATACTTTTCTGTCAGCGATTTTGTGTCTTATATATGTTAGTAATGATATATCTGCCTTACGTAGACTATCCCGATATTGCTTCTTATTCATGTTAAGTTTCAGCTCAGTTATATAGGTATATGATGTAAGATAGAGTTGTTTATAATAAATAGCCTGCATTTTTTAATGTTAAACAAATATTTTTTTTCTAACTTCAAACTTTTTACTATTATCAGTAGAAGATCCTGTCATTGATTGGAAGTGCCAAAGCTCAAGATAATAATAATAATAATACTCTTTATTTCCATCGACTAATGATAATAGTGCATAGGATGCGTCAAAAAGGTAAATATTGTTCCTTTTTGCCACCATTTTCTAAACCCGTCCGATTCCTGGGAACGGCGTTCTCCGCTGGAGTTACCTGGAGCACCGCCGCTCCGAATACTGACTCGAAGCAGGGATTTCTGAACTTTCTGGTGACGCCCTTTCCGCATTTTCTTGCCGAGAAGCTTTCCTTTACCTCTTGTGTTGTAATGACATTTATCCTGTTTTTACCAAGAGTTGAAAAGACCTTCTTTGCATGGTATGGTTGGTGTTAAAATAAAGAACTTTGTAATTGTTGTATTGTACTGCATACTGTATTGAGTAGCAGTTTTTATTATGAATACAACGATGTACGGCACACAAAAAAAAAACAAAAGTTGGAAACTGATGGTTTCAACAGGATGGTGCGCGCGCGCACAACGGTATAATCGTGGGTGTGCATATCGGACAAAGTTATCCATTTTCCAGAGCATATTCTCACACTATTAGAGCGTTGTGCGCGGGTACACCATCCTGTTGAAACCAACAGGGTTTTAAACTTTTTTTTGTACCGTACATCGTTGTATTTGTAATAAAAAATGCTACTCAATACAGTTTGTACTTTTTTTGCAGGTCATATAAAAAGAAACTCGATGATTTTTCCGAAACGAAACGTTGTACTTTCCCAACTGACCCTCAACCATTATAATGACAATATTAACAAAATATGTAGCATGTGGACTTCCAGAGGTGACATAAAGATTAAAAACAAGTTTTGGGAACAATGGGTCAGGTACAAAGATTGTAAGAAAGGGTGAAATACACATGATATGACTCATCTTTGGTGCCAAGATAGATAACTCGCCCCTCAGCAGTTCGTCAAACCTCTCTTACAGACTGTTTACCTGTAGCTGCAGTAACCTCCAATGGATTTTTTTGAATTTCCAAAAAAAATACTTTATTTTTATGGATTCATAGAAGTGTGGAAGATTTTAACAAATTCTGTTGTTATTTTTTAAGAAGTTAAGTTTCCATAGTTTGTGAAGTGGTTCTACAGGATGGTCCAGATTGTTTTTCTTAGAAATGTTCTTTAGGGCTCAGAATTTAAAGATGGCGACTTAATGAAAAACATCGATCAAATATCAATTTATTAAAAAAATTACTTTGGTCGTTAAGTACATTTGTAGATTTTTCAAATAAAGGTTAATAAGCATCACTTATTACGGAACACAAACATGGTTGTAATATTTATTTTGCCATAAATAACTTACAGTGTTTATATTGCTAAACTCCACTTGTAATCCTTTCACGATTTATATACAATTTTTCAAAAGTGACAACAGACAAGCCGATATAAAAATTAGTTTTAAATTTAATTTCTTCGACAACGACACACAATCCAACAAGCGCTTTTCATTTTTCATATAAATATCATTTTTGTAACAAATTATCGAGAATTAAAATTGAAACTACGTCATAAAATCGATAATACGTATCAACAAACATCAATAACATATTCACACGTAAACAAAACTGGCGAAGAATACATTTGGTTAAAACATGCCATGGTTTGGTTGTGGTAAACGCACACTACACTCTGGAAAGAGAGGGAAGGAGGGGGGGGGGGCTTCGAAATAAGATGAACTAGCAAATAAAAATCAAACTCTAATCAGTCTTAATTCGTTAACGCTTAACCTGTAAATATACTTTGGTATTAAACTTAGAGAAATTTTTATTTACACTAGAGCTTGGTCGAAGTATAACGTCCCGATAGCTTGCAGAGGCGTGGTTATAGAGAAATTCGGGTGTTAAAAAGTAGAGGAGAATGTGAAATGAACATACATATTTTATATACAAATGTTTATATCGTCATTTTCAATAGTCAACATTATTTCGAATAAACGAACTCAGTCTATACATGATTGTGCTAATGTACGACTCGAAACCTCTCCGATATTTATATATAATTCGCGTTGGCGATCGACAGATTTTTAATTAAAACCGTACCTGGAAGGAAGTTTCAGTGTCATACACTAGACATTTTTGTTAAATTCCGACGTGCTCGATGAACCACGGCCAGATAAAGGATACCATCACGCCGGAAAATATTCCGGTTATTAGTGCCGCCGCCGCGAACATTCCAGCTGTCGCCGCGTATCTGGGCTCTACAGATCTGAAATCAAAAAATGATGTCACAATTTTACAAATAAAAGAAAAACCAAGAAACAGCAATAAACACATTTATTTGATCAATAAAACGAATTTTAAGTGATCTTTTCATATACAGTGTGTCCAAGATTAGAATGCACAGCATGGGGAAATTGGAAACCATAAGAGATAACCAGTTAAATTAGAAAAAAGTCGTGTATTTTATGACTTCGTAAAATGATGTTTTCAAAATTCGGAAAATATTCGAAAAAAAAAAACAAAATTAACCATATTAGTTTTTATTTTTTGAAAAAATATCAAACAAACACTTCCTTATAGCCACCGTTCAAGCTCTTCAAAATGGTGCCCGCTGCGCGACCTTTCGTCGTTGAGAAACCATCACCAACTTCATATATGAACCGGCAAAAAAGTACATACTGTATTATGTAGCATTTTTTAAATTATGAATTATGAATACAATTATGTATGGCACAATATGATTCTTTATTAAGTATGTCATTTACAGGAACAATCAATGAATTATTTTGACATTTTGTCAACGCCTACTACACCAAAATTTAATAACAAACTTAAATAATAAATAATGTCAAAATAATCCATTGATGGTTTCTTTAAATGACATAAAGAATCATACTGTGCCATACATCGTTGTATTCGTAAAAAAAATGGTACTCAATACAGTATGTACTTTTTTTCCTGCCCATATAATAATACGAAGTTGATGATGATGTCTCAAAGACAAAGTGTCGCAGTGAAAATCTATGGGCATCATCTTGTAGAGCTTAAAAAGTGCCTTTGAGGAAGTGTTATTTGTTTTTTGACATCTTGTCAAACAGAGTCGGAAAAAATAAAAACGAATATAGGTAATTTCGTACTACTGTACTGTAAAATATTACTATCAGTTTCTTAGTAATGCTGTGGTCCAATTTTAAGCAAAACTTACCTAGGCGTGTACATCATGCCCAATGCGCTGAGGTATCCACTAGTTAGACCCATAGTAACAGCAGTAAACCAGTAGACCCAATCATTGGTTATTAGTACGGGTAAAGCTCTCACCCTATTTTCTCCCAGTTGATAGTTTGACAAAAGGAAAAACGGTATGTAAAGTAAACGTAGCGCCACTGGAATCCATAGGTACTTGGCCGAAGGCTGTGAAATTTTATTGTTGTTAATTAAAATTGTGATGCTATTATTTTGTTAGGAAATAAAATTGACTTGATGATACAAATTTGACAATTCTGGAAATTGTTGGGACACCCTTTATAAATCATTTATTCTTTTATTTTTAAATTAGCTAAACAAAAGATTTAAATCAAATGATTTTTCTACATAAATCGACTGATTAAATCAACTCTGATTATGTGACAAAGTTCTAAACTAAAAAGCAAGACATACCCGAGTGCAGAACGTTGTTAGGTAACTTCCAATCATCGCGCACATGTTAAACGTTAAAAAGCACGTAACCGACGTAAAGTATTTGGTACCGAGAAAGAAATCGGGATCATTAGGTTGCACGCCTGAAAACATAACGATTTAGTTTACGCATCACGACATCCGTTCGCGCTTACTTGCTTGTACGGCTGGAAAAATGGAGAGAGTGACGAAAAATACCAAAAATATGTTGATCAGTTGCGGCAGACACTTTTTAAAAATGTAAAAATAAGGAATCTTCTCCACCGCGCCCATTGATTCCATTTTTCTGGTGCGGGCCTCTTGTTGCTCCTTCAACTCGTGATGTCGATAATATCTCTGAAAATCACCGGTTAGTTGTTGAAACATGCGAGAGGTAATTCACGGTACATTGGTCTCTTAAGAGATCAACAGAATCTAAGGTTGTAAAACTATAGTTCAATTGACTGACTGAATGAAGAAATTTTATTGGTTAAAATTCAAAAATTATGCATTCAAGCAATTAAAATGTTCTCAATAAGAATCTGAAAAGAAATTTGAAATATCTTCAATACTTTTGAAGATATCACAAAAAAACGAAAATTTCTGATTTTCGTTTTTAATTTTTTTTATGATAAACTAGTCGTAGTAGACATTTCTAATTAGCACATTATTTGGACACTTTTTAATGGAGATTTCAAATATGGCATCCTGTTTTTAATTACGTTCAAGATGACGGAGAAACACGTGGCAACTTTAGTTTTTCTTATGGGCGCCATATTGAATTTTGACATTTTGGGATTACGTCTTTTTTTCTCTTTAGAACGATATATCACACATACTGGTTCAGTATCACATTTTTCCTAAAAATACAATTTTTCATTTTTTGAGAAGAGTGCTTTGGAAAAACAAAACGATTAGTTTATCATAAAAAAAATAAAAACGAAAATCAGAAATTTTTGTTTTTTTGAGATATCTTCAAAACTATTGAAGATATTTGAAATGTCTTTTCAGATTCTTATTCAGCAAGAAAATTGGCAATTCTGCCCCCATTTAACCAACTTTCTATCTCTTAAGATAAGCGAGATCCCCATAGTGACCCTCGAAAAATGGACACCGTGTATATCTTACAGTACAAATATCTATGCCCAAACCCAGATTCGAATCAGGGATCATAGTACCGCAGTCCAGCTTCAACTGAACTTCGTCACATGGGCCGGCATTAGAAAATTATGGGGAATTACAAAAATCGACTAAATTCGAGAAACGCCCCATAGCGGCCATAAGATTAGAGATAACTGAAGTGATTTTCTCTTTAAAATTGAGCTCCAGATACCTAGGCCCATCTCTTAAACTAAAGGGTGTCCAATTTGGTCCACCCTGTACAGTTTGTAACATGTTTGTAATATTTTACAGAGACTCAACCATAAACGACATCTAGGAGAGACTTACATTTAATGGCAGTGCGAAGTATGTATCGAAGCATAACAGTAAAACAAATAGCGCGCTGATAAAGTAATATACCGCCGCCATTCGGACACTCGAAGTGAAAGTGTCCGAAAATATACGGACCACGGACGTAAAAGTACCGCTAATATTCGATCCGAGTACTACGGCTCCGGTATACTTCAAAGGCAACTTGGCAGCCATGCCGAATATGGTGTTTTGGTATACGCCATTGGCCACTGAAATTATACGCTCGTTACCGTACACGCGCCCGTTTGCGTTTCCACTTACTATTTAATACAACGACCGATACCATCGTTACCCAAAAGAAGGTGCCGGGCCACTCGTGCGTATCGGTCATTGCCAAGGCAATCGTTAGAATAATTATCACTACTTCTACTGAAATACTCCAGATGATTCTCGTCGTAAGGTTACCTCTGAAAACAAAAGATGTCGTTAGTGTTTTTTTTTTTTTTGGGGGAAGGTAATCTTATCTAGCAATGACAATTTTACACAATCAAAGTTGCACATTGCAATATTATCTTCATGAATCATAAGGGGTGTTCATCCAATTACAGATGCAGTAAGTTAGTGTGTATGGACCCTCCACAAGTGCTCTGCCAACTGTTCAAAACAAATTTAGGTCTAATGGCAGTACATTTTAACTATGAATAGGTAAGCAATCATTGATTTTGTAGACAGTGAATATTGTTATTTTTTTGGGAGTATAATTTGCATTATACAAAGCTGGGAAACTCTCAAATGGGATTATCAAATAATCCTTCTGTTTAAATGATTTATAGTAGCCAGATTTGTCCCCTTTTGATTTTTTCCTATGGGCACACTTAAAGAGTGAAATCTACTACTTCTAACAAGATTTTGAAAGAAAATTCAACATCAGTTAATCTGTTGAGGACTCAAAATACCAATAATAATCATGATTACACTAATCAGTTGAAATTTTCTGTATAGCTACACCAATCAGAAACAGTTGAATAACTATTAGAAGTGCCCCTTCTCATGTTTTTTCTCTGAATTGTTAGACATCAGGATTTTTTTTGTTTATAAATAACTAAATGGATTTAAGTTCTAAAAATAAAAACTCATCAAAGGTACTACTACTAGAGCACATATTTTTAGAACAATGGATTAGTGTATGATGTTATTAACCTTATGTGGTTTGTTTTCTTGGTTTTCTCTGTCTCTGTCTGTATTAACAAAAAAAATGCTTGAAAATGTAGTTGGCCATAGCAGTTCTAGAGCCCCTCCCCCTAGGTTAGAGACTTATTGATAAATCTTAGACAAAATTCCAAAAATTAAGTCATTAAACAATTTTGAAAATAGAGAGGGGGGAGGGGCAAAAATAAGAATCCTCCATTGTTTTCTGATTATATAAGTCGCTCTTATTAAAGAAATTTTTAGAACTCTTGAAGGACAATCTGGAACTCTAATCAAAACTTTTACCAAGAAATGTTACCAAATATTCCTTCACTAATTGCGACCAATTTATCTCAAATTTTGAATACGTATGACTCTAGTGGTGCCATTTGAAACTTGGGGGGTGGTAGCGGGCCCAAACACATTCTACCCAGCCATTTTTAAAAGAAATAACTATTTTAATTAAGGCCACAAAGCTGGCCTTCTAAAAACGATAGTTTTGCCAATATATTTTCCTTAAAATCGTGGCATTATCAAAAATTGATAATAACCACATCCTCTGTAGCAATATATTTTCATAATTATTTTTGCACATAATGTTGTGGATTATATAAGGCAAATTGGTTTACCCAGCAACTAAAAGAAAGGGAATTCACAGAGAACTATTCGAAGGTCAAACTCAAAGAATGTTATCTTTGTTTGGCTAACAAGCAAATATGCTCTTGACCAGATAGTGGGTCTTTGTTCGTGCCTTTGCCCAGTCATTCCTGATTAGATGAAAATATGCTCTACCTAATCTACTTATTTACTTTAAGATTGATACAGAGCCTCTGTTTTCGAGTACCCACACATTAAGATAAAAGAAATCTGTAGATTACCCGATAAACCCTACTCACCCCATTTGTACAAAAACATTCAACCAATTGAATATCAAATTAGGAACTTGAGCTGCAAATCCCACAAACTGCAGGTAACTCGTCCCGTAGACTAAGTTCTCCCCCGTATACTCCTTTCCAAATTTGTGCTTTACAAAATACTGAAAACACACAAAATGAGAGGTCAACTTGAAACGAAACCGTATGCTTACATTTTCGGCAGTAATAAACATATTCCAAGGCATCAACACCCCGATACCGTGCAGAATAAAAGTCAAGTAAACCAATCTATACTTGTCGACGGGCGCGTGTAGCTGTAAACTCGCTTCCTCCATCGTTAAATTGCGAAAGTTAAGCTCGTCTTCCGGCAAATTACTTTCCTCCCAAGAGGGTTGCAGACGGACCGGTTGCTGGTGTTGTAAAGGTAGTTTCTCAGAGTCCTCGCCTGTTAAATAGTCGAATTTTTGAAGTGGCAAGATATGAGATACGCAGATCTTTGATTAGATTTGACAGGCGCCAGGTCGCCAAAAAGTGGAGGAATGCGACCAGGCAACAAGTGAAGAATGTAAAGAGAACAAAAAAAAAGCGGTACAAACCTGAATGGGTGTCTGCATGGTATCCATTCCGTATGAACCCAATTTCTCGTTTCTGGCTCATTTTGATTGAACACAATTTTAAAGCATGCCCTGCAAAAAAAAACAATTGCTGTACTGTTCTTATGGCTCGCCGACCTCGGCAATTTTCACCTGATCAACACCGAATCGTCAATTACGAAAAGTTAATCTTAATCGATGTCAATTTCGGTTGGACCTCTGACACGATGATAATTAACACTAGATTCAACCAGATCATAAAACAACACCGACTTGTAAATGGTATAATCATTTAATTCACTCAATGAAGCACACGTGCTTTGTGTTTTTACCGCCAAAAAAAATGAAAATCTGGCAATTTTGAAACAAATGAACAAGGTAACTTAATTTCGTTTAGGTAAAGGTGAATGTTCAATCGAGCATAACAACCCCCCAAGCTTTAATAATAACTAACCCCTAAATCGCAATGCGTAAAACAATACCGATATTTCTTACCTTAAAAACGTTGAAATTTTTTTTTTCTATTACAGGTTACGCAGTGGCAAAATCCCGCACATAAAAATTAAATCAAAGACGGAAGGAACGTGGGAAAAAGCGTGATTGCTTATTGGCAGCCATATTTATTACTTTAACCCTCCCAACTCCCATTTCCTTTTCCTTTCCAGCATCCTTAGGAAAAAAAAAATGGAAAATGGGATTAGATCAATGATTAAGAAACGTTCAAAGTTTACTGTTGCGAAAGTTAAGTGCATTCTTTGTTGCATATGTGGATGCTGAAGTGGCGTTTCGAATTTTCAGTTTCAATACAGATGCGCCTTACGATAGGCAACCCATCGAACGGGAAATTCTACCTGTTTGTTGGCAGGTATCCAGAGATCACTTGGGGCCCCTGAAGGGGGTCCACGTGGGTCGTTTTCACAATATTCTTCTCGTCAACAGTACGGAATGCCACCTTCTCATTGATCAGATCGACGCAGATACGCAGAACCATCAGGCTTCGGAGTAGGTAACCTGATGGTAACACATAAGAACGGGAGTTCTCTTTTCTACTGGTCCTGATAAGGTTTACCTTGGAGAATCCTCCATGTAGGATGCCTCCATCCGTCAACAACTGCATTTAATACAGTCACAATGCACATCGACTGAGGCTCAGTTATGTCCACCTCCGAGTGCCACACCAGAACAATGGTCACCCTGACTCCGTCGCACCCGCAACTTTGGGTGTTCCAGAACCTTCTCAGGCTGCCCCGAGCCAGATCCAGGAGTGCTTCCTCCGACGCTTTATGGTCTCTGACGTCGTGTTGGCCCCCCTGAGCCAATGACCCAGACACGTCAGGAATTGGCGCAGATTTTACCCTCGAGCCGGTGCTTCCTGGTCATCATCTTCGCTCTGCGTGCGCCAGTCCCATTCTTTTTGTGAATAGGAGCTGGCCCACCCCTTGAATAAGACCCTACGTTGGAGCCGTCGCCCCTCTTTCGAGGAGCTTGCCCCGTTACCGGACCAGACTGGAGGGCCTGGTTTATTGGTCCCCAGAAAGGGTTCGTTTGAATTATCTTCCATACAATTTCCAGGAGAAGTGCTAAATTGTGGATCACTCACCTGAGTGCTAGGGCAGGTCTTGGAACAATCTGCGGTTTCAAGGCTGCAGGTCAAACCAATCAGAGCCCTAGATTAATTTTTGCATGTGATTAGGTCATTACGTAGGGCCTCTGTAAAATTTACCTGTTTCATTTGATGTATGGAACCCGAACTACATTTAAAATTGGCGCCTTACGAACTAATACGAAGGCGCGATTTATAACACGAAATTACGCGAGCGCGTACAAAAAAGCTGCATCAAAATGTCTTCACTCGCCTAATAAATTTCTAATAAATTCCTAATAAATGTGAATAAAAAACATACTGGGTGTTCAGTTAATCAGTGTTTTGTGCTACATTTCACATACTAAGGTAAGTTTGTCGATGGACAAAGCATTTATACTTTCACCTACCGTGTTAAGCGTTTATTATTTGATATTTTAACAAAAAAATCTGTTAGGTGTCGATGTACTCCCGGTGAATGTCTCGAAATTGCTTATTAAAGGGCTTTCGCAAAAATTGCGGGTCAAAAACACGTGTAGAATTTAAAATCCGCTACATTTAATTAATGAAAAGAAGAGCGCGAGGGGATTTAACAGTTACGTGACCAACCAAAAAATGCCCGTATTAATATTTTTTGCGATCGGTGCCCCCAGGCGATATCGTCGAAAATTCCTCGAGCGGCTTTGATCCATTCATTCTCAGGTGTCGATTGCAACCCCCTTAGCTTATGAGTCACTTTTTTTAGGTGCCCGAGCGACCCTCCGTGTTTTTGTAATAAGGGCGAGAATACCTACGCGTACCTGCTGTATCGATATTTGTAAGGTTTTAATTACTCAGGTAGGACACCCTTCTATTCAAGTTTAAAATAAAAGAATTTGTCTCCAAGCGCAATCATAAATATTTATTTCATTTGTTTGTATTCATTGACGTGCATAATTTAAAAGTGCCTTCCTGCGGCCTTGAACTCATCCATTGACCTTGGAAAACGCAGGATTTGTAGTTTCCCTTTTTTGTTCTGTAATTACAAATTTATATGCAAAAAAGTAAAATGAAAACTACCATGAAAAAATAAATGTTGTTACTGTTTTTTATTTCTCTTAAATTCAATTTTCTTTATTATTATTATTGCGTTTATGTTTTGTAAATACCTAGGTATTGGAATTCTTCGTTGTTTGTGTGGTTTTTACTAAAACACTTTTATTACTATTCAATTTCCAAAAGAGTGCCTTGAAAAAAAAAAGCTGATTGTCGAACGTCGTTTGTTTTAGTTTTTACCTAGGTTTTTACGATATTTGTTAAATAAATGAATGACTAAAATGCTTATTCAAAGCGTGATATGTTTGAACAATTAGGATCTATCGAAATATTCATTTTCTGAATATAATCTCATTTTATGCCGTATGATTTTCGAGTTATCAGAAATTCGAAATCTTCCCAAACTTCCATTTTGTGAAAATCATGCCTTGTGCCCTGTGAATCAAACTAATTCTACAGGGTGTTCTTAAATGATACCAGCAAATGTAGAGTTAAAAATAAGATGATTACAGTTGAGGGAGGGGTAATCCAGTTCGAAGATATTCTACAGGGAAATGCAGCTTGGTCTGTCAGCGAGCTGTAGATTTAGTGAAAATAATTCGAGGAGGGGGGGGGGGGGGGTTAAAACACGGAAATTTGATGATTCCCCTAAAAGTAGTTCAAAACCGCAGAAGTGGGTCCGGACGGACGTACAGACGGGCGGACAAAACGCAAACAATAGCACATTTTTTTTTAATTCTTAAAAAATGCGCTAAAAATTAGCACGAAAGTTTGACAGAAAAAAAGACTTGGAGGAGGCGTAAAAAATCTAACGAAGTAGAGGCGCATTTTGTTCACCTCGGTTTTGACCGTCCGTCCGGATCCACTTCGGCCATGTTCAACTACTTTTAGGAGAATCTCGAAGGGAATGGTTCTGTGGTCCTCGAACGTTTTGCAATAGGTGTATACCTTGAAGGTGTGCCAGAGGGCCGTCGAATTTCGCTGTCTTAAGGGGGGGGGGGCATCAATTATTCCTGAGATGCTGTTTTTTGGAAGTAAAACGCGCATGATATGCATGATTGGTCTCCGATTTTCATACGCATGTCAAGTAAAACTTTTGAAAATGGGCGGGGGCGGTGAACATACGTTGAGATCAGTGGGTGATTGGGGGTGGGGGTAGAAATTAATGTTATCTTTCATATTTTGATTAGAGGTCTTAACAAAAGGGACTGTTTTTTACCAATTGTCGTTCTTCTTCCTGACCCCTATCAAAAGAGGGTGTTGGAGGGGGGAGGTGTGTGGAACGTGTCCTTCATGGTATTCTAATGAAAGGTTCCAACGAAAGGAATTAATTTCTACCAACCCTAAGGCACAAAATATCCGCACTACTTCATTATAGTTATTTTTTTCAGGTGCAGCGCAATGAAGCATTGGCCACCCGATATAATAAACAAAACTTAACGATTATGCAGTCAAACAATGAGCATATCATCCTTAATGAATAGAAAGCTTTATATAAATATTTTGATTTTCTTATCATTTTCGCCTCTACTTTCCCACTCTTACCTTTTAATAGTAAATGAAGACCAACCACCGGGGGATGTCATATTTAACTCTTCGGTATACAGATTAGGCTCGGAACGACACTACCACATAAACAATCATCGAACGGCCGCCTTCGTTAGTACATTACTAAACGTAAACCCCCACAATGGACAAGTGGCACTACGACAACAGCTCAGATGCAACGGAATTTTTTATCCGAACTTATTTACCGTGTACATCGATTCGACATCTAATAGACTCCGAGACATAGAATACTACAGTCTCCCTTTGAGAATTTTTATAGTGGGACGAGACTGCGAGTCTCAAGATGGCGACAGGAGACGGCGATCCACTCCCGACCTTCTGCGGGACGTGCATCATTCGATCGCGTCAAAAATATCGGAGGCGAGGCAGTGGATATCGGAAACTTCGGCTTCGTTCTCAATACCAACGACTGATAAGTGGCAGAAAGTGTGCCTGCGACAATCCCAATTTATCAATTCCATATCCGCTTTCTTACCGAACACCATTAGTAAATTTTGCTCAATCGACTACATCGACGTCAGTGACGATAGGTTTAGGATTGAAAAGTCCCAAGGCGACCTGGTCGCGAGTCGCGACGTTTGCATATCGGAACCGCTCTGGAAGCTGGTCATCTTTCTATCCGTCCACTGCGGTGGCGGCGTGCAGATTTTGGACGCCGACCATCGACTGAAAATTGTGTACCATCATCAGGAATTCAACGACACGGACATCGCGCGGCGGGTCCGTCGCGAGCTAAGGAACCAATCGCCGTTTTTCGAACAGCATTTGTACGTCGCGAGCGTGTTGGAAGAGTGCGATCCCGGTCTGGTCGTGACGACCGTTAAGGCCCGAGATCCCGAAAATAGCCCGATCGCTTATTCCATGACGAGTCTGCTGGATTCTCGAACGCAAGCTATGTTCGATATTGATACTAAAAGTGGAGTAATTACGACCAAAGTGAAACTGGATAGGGAATTGGTGGACGTGCACTATTTTCGCGTGACTGCCACCGACGATAGTTTCCCGCCCCGGTCTGGGACCACCATGTTGCAGATTAACGTTCTGGACGCGAACGATCACTCGCCTTCATTCGAAATGTCGGAGTACGAGGCCAGTGTAAGGGAAGGTGTCAGTGTCGGCTCGACCGTGTTGACCTTGAAGGCCACCGATCAAGACGCGGGGAAAAACGCCGAAGTCGAGTATTCAATCCAGAGCATTAGTGGAGGTGGTATGTCGACTGACGAGGAGAACAATCGCGCGTTTAAGATCGACGCCAAGTCGGGCGTTATTGCGACTAGAACTTTGTTGGATCGTGAAACGACCGAAGTGTATACAATTGTCGTGCAGGCTACAGATCTGGCAACACCCCAAAATGCGCGACGGTCGGCCAGGTATACTAAACTTGTTGTAGAAAAAATTACACGTTTTGTTTTAGCGCTAGTGTCATTGTGAAGATATTGGATGACAACGACAATTACCCCCAATTTTCAGAGAGGACGTACACTGTCAATGTAAATGAGGACGTCAACTGGGGAGAAAATCCAGTAATTGCGCATATAAAGTATGCCAAAATATGCTATTGTTTGCATATTTTTGCGTATTAAATATGGAAATCTTTTGCAGAGCTACGGATGTCGATCAGGGAAGTAACGCAGCAATCAGGTACGCCATAATCGGTGGAAACACGCAATCGCAATTTGCAATAGACAGCCTGTCCGGAGACGTCTCCCTAGTGAAACCTCTAGACTACGAGACGCTCCGCAATTATCGCCTAGTCATTCGCGCTCAAGACGGCGGTAGCCCCGCCCGTTCGAATACCACCCAACTATTAATTAACGTGAAGGACGTCAACGATAATGCGCCCCGTTTTTACACCTCGTTATTTCAAGAGAGCGTCTCGGAAAGCGTACCTCCAAATTACAGTGTTGTCAAAGTTCAGGCTTACGATGCAGACGAAGGTCCTAATGCAGATATTCGATACACGATAGCGCCACGCGATTCGATCGGCGCCAGTACTGAGGAATTTCCACTTTCGATCGACGCACATTCCGGTTGGATTTATACCACGAGAGAATTGGATAGGGAGGAACAGTCAAAATATGTTTTTCAGGTAGGGCTTTAAATTTCAATAACGCTCAAGGTTATTATTATGCGCATGAATAAAATGCCAATATTCCGCTATGTTGATACTAATTTTGCGCAATCTAGTAACTAGTTTTTCTTGCGAGTAAATGCACCAATTAATTTCTTTAAATTTCCCGCCGTATGCCGTTGTATAAAAAATATATTTATCACACAAGACGATGTCCAATGACGTCACTCAGTTTTAAAGAACTTTTAACCAGCCGTTACTGTTAGCAATCCGAAAAAATCTTCTCTGTTTCTCACAATGAGTTCATTTACTCGCGGTTTGATTTTAAAAGCGTTCCAACTCGAAAATGTTACTTCGCGTAAATTTTATCACTCACCAATGAACGGCCTTGTTACAAATTAAGCTAAAACTACCGTCCTAAAGCTTGCAGATAACTCGCGCTTTGTCTCCAGTCCAATCTGATCTTACACTTTTTAACGACGCGATTGAAATTTAGCAACAACTACTTGGTTTCTGTATTTTCGTCCAAAACAAACTACTTACACTATACAGCGACTATGAATTCGCACGTAAGAATTGTGCGTGGTGACTCTTAGATTTTTTCACGGTAAATCCTCGCAAACACATGAAATAAAATTGCTCGTACACAAAATGGCACGCGCTTGCTTTAATAACTTCGCTAAGAATTTAATTTTAACGATAGAAAAATTCATGCAAAACATTACTCGCGAATTAGTCTTTGAATGTCATTTTAAACGCACCCAAATAGTACGTTTAGCCTTGGGAACTCTAGCTCCCCCACTTTTTTCGCTATTGGAATCTTGCCCGCGAGAAAAACCGAAAAAGGACTTATTTTTGAAAGGAAATGATCTCGACTGGCGTGCCCTAACAACCAATAGAAAATCCGCATTTCCGCCACGTGCTCAGCTTTAAACAGAACGGAACGCAACATTTAGGTTCCGCTTTCCGCAATACGTTTCTGGTTATCGCCAACCATAATTTCGTTCACGTTCGCTATAAAGCGGTACATGTGGAAATTTCCCCAAAATTCAAAACCAATTTTATGAAAACGTCCGAAATAAATATTTTGTAATAAAATTTTCTTGTATTGCGTTCAGGTAATAGCAAGCGATCAAGGTGTCCCACCCTTGTCAGCGAGTGCGAGCGTTATTATAACGGTACAAGACATAAACGATAACGATCCCGTATTCGAGCCTAAGCTTTACGAGTCTGTAATCGCCGAAGATGACCCCCCAGGTATGATGCTTATCCGACAGATCAATTGCTACATCTCCGTTTAGGTACCCAGGTGGCTACGGTCACGGCCACGGACGCGGACGAGGACAGTCGCCTGCATTACGAGCTGACAAACGGCAACGTGAGGGGGAGATTTGCGATAACATCGAATAACGGTAAAGGTCTAATTACGATTGCGCAACCGCTCGACTACAAGCAGGAGAAGCGCTACATTTTGACTGTTACCGCATCGGATTCGGGAGGACGGACCGACACCGCGACCGTATACATCAATGTGTCCGACGCGAATAACTTCGCACCGGTGTTCGAAAACGCCCCCTACTCTGCCAGCGTAAGAGAACAGTCGTGTCGGTATCGATCTTTACAAATTCTGTAGGTTTTTGAAGATGCACCGGTGGGCACGACCGTCGTAGTCATCTCGGCAACGGATAACGATGTCGGAGCAAACGCGCAAATAACTTACATACTTGGTGAAGAACTGAACGATTCCGGAGGTACCTCGGAATTTTCCATCAACCCTCAGACTGGCGCAATTGTAACCACGAAACTTTTGGATAGGGAGTCGGTTAATGGCTACCTGTTAACTGTGACCGCTCGAGACGGGGGCAATCCTCCACTTTCGGATACGACGGATGTAGAAATTTCTGTAACCGATGTCAATGATAATTTCCCAATTTTTAAACAGCCGCTGTACACGGGGAGTGTTTTGGAAGATGCGCTAATAGGTTAGTCTACTACAATTCACTGCAAATTGAGCTCGGGCCCATACAGTTTGAATGGATTGAATTAATGATCTCTTCAGGTCTATATTGCTGTGTACCCCACTCAATTCCTTAATCCAAACAGATTTTCTTGTATAAACTTTACCAACCACAACACAACACTTGACTATATGTACAGGGTGGCCAACTAAGAATGCGAGGTACTGTATCTGAGAATCTATGCATCATAGAGGCTTGCGGTAAAAAAATTTATTACTAAAACGGTCACGAGCAAAACCTGGAAAATATTTTTAAGTTTCTGAAATGACCGCTAGGGGGCGTAACTGCAATTTGGAATCTAAAAAAGTGATGTTTCTGTGAATTCCGCTATATTAACCTAACAAAAAAATGTCGGGCCTTTGAAGTTGACGATAATCTGAGTTTTTGATTGACAATTTTTCCTGTATCTCTAAAAATGAAGTGGTGGGGGGTATTCAAAGGTTTCCGTAAAGAACACCCTGTATCTTCGAAACGGCTGAGCCGATTTATACAAATTCGCGTTAGTTCAAAAGAGCTATTCTTCAGCTACAAATATTATACTATTATACAATAAAAATAATTCCGAAAAAAATTAGCTTAAAAAAATAAAATTTTGAGGGTATAAAATTGTCTTTGGCGTAAATTTTAGGTTAGGAACAAGATATCGAGATGCGGTTTTCGCGAGCTTGTTTAGGCATCATTTAGCTACTTTTTCATGAGAAAAAAAATCAAACCAACGCATTTAATTTTTTTGAGAAAATTAACCATTTCTGTCGGAATGTCGAAAAAAGCCCTCAAGCGGCGATATGTGAAACTAACAAAACTTCAAATATTATAATATTTGTAGCCGAAGAATAACTCTTTTCAATTAACCCGAGTTTGTTAAAATCGGCTCAGTCGCTTCGAAGATAGAGGGTGTTCTTTAGGGAAACCTTTGAATACCCCCCACCACTTCATTTTTAGAGATACGGGAAAAATTGTTAAACAAAAAAGGTTCAGATTATCGTCGTCTTCAAAGACTGGACAGGTTCCCAGATACAGTACCTCGCATTCTTATTTGGCCACCCTGTACATTCGAAAACTCCAATATGCCGCGGGCAAAAACGCGACTTCCCGCAAACGGCCAAAGGTGAAAAGCGAAAGGCCACGTTAAAACAATCCCTCTTCTATTTAACAGCCCCTTCCCCCTCTATTTCAACTCCGTTTCCAGTTCCTTATTATTTTGTTTTATTTCATAGGTACCTCTGTAGTGCAAGTTTCCGCCACAGATGCAGATATAGGATTGAATGGCAGAATTCGTTACACACTAAGCGAAAAAGACTTAGAAGACGGTTCGTTTGTAATCGACCCAACCAGCGGGGTAATTCGTACCAACAAAGGTTTGGATCGGGAATCGGTCGCGCTGTACGAGCTCGAGGCGTACGCGATAGATCGCGGTTCTCCGTCGCTAAGCAGCTCGGTACCGGTCAACATCCGAATTGAGGACATTAACGATTCGCCGCCCGCATTCGAAAGCGACAAAATCATTCTTTATATACCGGAAAACAGCCCCATAGGCTCCACGGTCGGCGAAATTTACGCGAAGGACCCAGACGAAGGCGTGAACGCCATCGTTCAATATTCCATCATCGGCGGCGACGATTCGCAAAGTTTCTCGCTTGTAACGCGACCCGGATCCGAAAAGGCGGAACTCATCACCATGACTGAGTTGGACTACGAGTCACCGAGGAAACGGTACGATCTAATCGTGCGCGCCGCCAGTCCACCTCTGAGAAGCGACGCGCATGTCGAAGTAATCGTGACCGACGTAAACGACAACGCGCCCGTTTTGAAAGACTTCTACATACTCTTCAACAACTTTCGCGATTGTTTTCCGACGGGTCCCATTGGTAGAATTCCCGCGTTCGACGCCGACGTCTCCGATAATCTCCGTTACAAAATTCTATCTGGGAACAATGCGAACTTGGTCGCTCTCAACGAAACAAACGGACAACTGCAGTTATCGCCGCAGTTGAACACAAATGTACAGAAAATTGCGTCGATGGAAGTTTCTGTTACAGGTATTTAATTTGCAAAGAGATACGATGGTGTAGAAGGGCCACAAGGTTCGGTTTAAAAACAATTTTTGATAAACTGGGAGATTTAGATCAGTGGCATTGCTAAGGTGAATGGCACCAGTAAAGTCACTAAATATAGAAAGTACCGCAATCTATTGGGCTCGCGTGTTAAAGAGAGAACGCATGATTTTTGCCCAAAAATGGCGGAAGTTACCAGATTCTAGTAACTTTAATGTTAGGGATTGTTCCACCTGTTTTGGAGATATCTGTATATATTTTTATAAAACATGACAGTACTATGAAGTTAGGTTATAAAAATGACAGCTATTCAGATTTTATTTGTCAATTTTTTTAAGTTGGCAGCAAATTTGCCCAAAAATGGCGGATGATTGCGGTACTGTCTATATTTAGTGACTTTAGGCACCAGTATCTCTATCCGCCACCGGGGGACCCGGTATGGAGTCACCCTATTTTTTGAATCCTTGGTATAAAACTGGAATTACTGAGTCAGAATTGGCCCTTCTACACTCTTCGTAAGGAGCAAAGTAAGTTAAACAAATTAAAATTGTAGACGGTGTAAACGATGTGAAAGCAATAATGCAGCTAAGCGTCCGTCTGGTCACCGAAGAAATGCTTCTAAATTCCATAACTGTACGCTTCAATCAAATGACAAAGGAGGCCTTTCTTTCACCTTTACTGGGATATTTTATCGACGGTCTTGCGGCTATAATTCCCTGTCCTAAAGAAAACATCTACATTTTCAGCATTCAGGTAGATCACACTTCAGTGTAGCGAATACAGTAATTTTCGATCGGTTTTAGGACGACACGGACGTTAGCGCGAAAATACTGAACGTCAGCTTCTCGGCGAGACGACCTGATATTCCCAAGGAGGAGTATTATACCCCGCAGTACTTGCAAGAGCGCGTTTATTTAAATCGGGCGATACTGGATCGTTTGTCGACTGTTAAGGTAAAGTAATAAACTAAACTTCCGTCAATAAATGACTACTGTGACGTCATTTGATCTAATTGAGTGCGGCGCACCAATAAAAGGCATCGTATGCGAATAGGTCAAGTGACGTCACACGCTGAAACGAAATTATTTTTCCAAGCGCAACTTTAAAGTCTTGAAAATTTTTCATTTGTCGAGGTGTTTTAATAAATCGTTTACATTTTTGTTTCAGATTCTTCCATTTGACGACAATTTGTGTGTGAGAGAACCGTGTCTTAATTACGAAGAGTGCGTTACAGTGTTGAAGTTTGGAAATGCCTCTAACTTTATTAGTAGCGATACCGTGTTGTTTAGGCCCATTTATCCTGTAACGACTTTCACATGCAGGTGTCCTAAAGGATTTACAGGTGAGTAATCGATGATTTCTTTGGCGTTTTGACTCATAGTTTGATAATCCGCTAGGATCACGTGAGCATTATCTCTGCGACACGGAGGTTAATTTGTGCTATTCAAATCCTTGTCAGAATGGTGGTGTGTGCAAGGTTAAAGAGGGCGGATACACGTGCGTTTGTCCCGGTGGCTATACAGGTGAGTTTAAGGTATGGCTCGGTGCCTTCTTGGCATTAGTAAAATTGCTAGGGAGATTTACAAAAGTTGGCTGAAGGAATTCCAAAAAGTTCTTTAAAACGTTTTCAAGAACCATTAAGATTTTAAAAAAATTCAAAGAAAAGTTCTTTTCTCCAGAGTTTGTACTTTTAGGTATTAATTGTGATATTGAACTAAACGTCGATCCCTGCAAACCGAATATATGCAGAAGTGGTTCCACGTGCACACCTAAGCTGAACGGGGGCTTTCAATGTGAAGATTGCTTACCGCTGGCGGGTTCAGAACACTACACATCCCTATGCGAGCTCCGAAGCAGAAGTTTTATAAAGAATTCCTTTTTAACATTTCCAAGCCTGAAACAAAGACACCGCCTGCATTTACAGCTCAAGTATGCATTTAAAACGCTTTCAGATGCTATAACGGTTGTTGCAGATTCGCCACACAGGCTCCGAACGGATTGCTGCTTTACAACGGGAGATACAACGAGCAACATGATTTCATCGCGCTTGAAATTGTTAATGGAAACTTGCAGTTTTCGTTTTCTTTAGGTAGCTCCGTTTCGAGAACGATTGCGTCAATTCCAGACGGCGTTGTTGACGGACGTTGGCACACTGTGACGGTGATATACTTCAATAAGGTAGGTGGAAACGGGTCCAGTAGATGGCATGCAACAAAACAAATTCGTAAAGTCACTAGATATAGAAAGTACCGCAATCATCCGCCATTTTTGGGCAAATTTGCTGCCAACTTAAAAAAATTGATAAATAAAATCTGAATAGCTGTCATTTTTCATAACCTAACTTCATAGTACTGTCATGTTTTATAATAATATATACCAATTACAGATATCTCCAGACAGGTGAAACAATCCCTAACATTAAAGTTACTAGAATCTGGTAACTTCCGCCATTCATTAACACTTATTAAATAAGAGCCTAGTGTAAAAATTTGGCGCTACCCCAAAATTGAGGTTACTTTTCTCAGGAAGCTGACATTTTTAGACTATACGTTCCTATCCTTCTTCTGTCGAGTGCAAAAAACACAAGTTGATATCTCAAAAAATCAGGAAGTTAAGGCGTTTGGAAGGGGGTCGTGTTTGTTTTTTTGAAGTCTATAAAATTATAAACAAAAGCATGTTCATAGTTCAATAATTATGCTGCTTATTGCTGTGTGCAATTGCGTGCGGTCATTACACGACCCACAAAACACTTGTTCAATTATAGCTCTTAACAAAACAACCTTTAATTTTACCTGGTTCTCATTAGGAAGAAAAATTTCAACGTTGATACTTTAAATTAATAATAAAACTACACAATTTTTCATTAAAATCTGACATCTTTGATACGAAAAGAAAAATCTGCCATGAAAATTCTATCCGGATCGCACAATGGATGCGAATAAACACACAATTAAATGAATGACAATGACAAAAATTCATTTCAAAAGGAAATAAATAAAACAAAAGCCCAATTAACACCTATTGGTAATTGGAATTCCCTCATAACGGTCGCTTATCAACCTGATATCGGCGTAAACCTACATGGCCTTGCAGTTTTAATGCTCGCTAAATTAATATAGGAAACCTGCTAATAATGGCTTAATGTGGCTGAAATTCTAAAATATTAATTTGCCCTCGTCTTCGAACGCATGAAAAATACTTGATATATCTTGACGGGAACGGTTACAAACGGCGAATTAACTGCAGTGTTATGTGCGGTAAACCACAAATTAAATCAATTACCTTAGACACTTAACTTCTAGAACCAACACAAATACTTTCGGTACGACACTTTTCGTAATAAAAGCTTCTCGATACCGGGTGTTCAGCAGAGCTGGTCGATTCCCCAATTATACAGTGTGGTCATAACTTCGGGTATGGAACTTCAAGCGGGAAACCGGGTGCTTCGTTACAGGCTTGCCTTATACACAAATGAAAACACTGAATTTTTTGTTACTATGCAGATTTTGACTTGCAAAAACGAAACCGGCGCAAAATTGAAATTCGCTACTGTGGTGACAACTCACATGTGTACATTTAAAACGATTTCTGTGACAGAAACAGGTTTGTTTATCAAAAACATGTCTATTCCTTAGAAACAGCTCTGTTCAGTAGAAATAGGTCCGTTCAACAGAACTGGATCGAATGACCTTGGACTTGGCGCATGTGCAGATTTTAAGGTCAAAGTGCGTCAGAACCGGTGTTGTTTATATGCTTGATAGTAGTAGATAGTTGGCAAACAAGCCTGATTCTAGCCCACTTTGACCTTGAGATTTGCGCAGACCTGTTAAATTTAAATTAATCAAGTGGAATAAAAGAATTAAGTACCTATACGTCTTTCGCTATAGAAACCGTTGCACGTCATTGATTTGTGTATCAATTTTAGACATATGCTGCAACACTGCAACATGTACACAAAAAAAACAAGTGTGCGAAATCTATAGAAAACTTGTCTGAAATTGATTCATAAATCAATGACGTGCACCGGTTTTTATAGCGAAAGACGTATACCTAATTATTCATTAGTACCACCTAGGGTTTTTAGTAACCGTCGTGGCACCACGCTCAGAAAGTCCCTGACAGGGCGTGTCCGAGGGCGCTAGAAATTCAAACCGTACATTCTGATGCAAAATTTAAAGACACTTTAAGGGAATTACATACCTTATCAGAGCGTAGATCCAAGCTATATGCGCCTTGAAAAAGAAGAGTGTGCATAAAACTGGAGACGGAAAACTTAAAATAAAGCAATTACAAGAAGCAATATGTGTAAACTAAAATAACGTGAAGCGTCAACTGTCAAAACGGAATAATTAATAATTATGGCGCGGAATGTATCGCGTCGTTTTGCAGAGGTTCTATTGGCCAGCCTGAATTATTTCAAAATTAGTTCGCATATTTTCCGGGGCTTTTCTGAGCATGGTGGCGCTTGTACTGAAGTATAATGATGAATTACAGAGCGCGACGTTATCGATCGACGACTGCGATATTTCCTTCGCTTTAAAACACGGCGAGGAGGTCGGCGGGAAATGGAATTGCGCCAGTTACGTCGAGCACCAATTGGAGCCTCGTTGCACCTCGCTCACCGAAACCTGTCATCGATTCCTGGACTTGACGGGCCCGTTACAATTGGGCGGACTTCCCGCTTTACCGGCGACTTTCCAACCGCACAATCACCACTACGAGGGTTGCATATCCGATTTTAAAATCGACTACCGCTTCATCGACTTGAATAGTTACGTAACCGATAACGGCACTACGGCGGGATGTCCGGAAAAACGCTCCTACTGCAACTCGCGACCGTGCCGGAACGGTGGCGACTGCCACGAAGGATGGTCCATGTATCAATGTACCTGTCGAGAGGGATACGGCGGACGTGACTGCAGTGAACGTAACTCTTACTTCTCCACTTTTAATTGATTGTAATTCCGTCCCGTTGTAGTTATAAGCCAACCGTGGAGATTTTCGGGTGATGGCACCTTATCGTTTAACCCGCTCCTTCGTCCAATTCAGCTACCTTGGCTGAACGCCTTATCGGTGAGAACTCTACAACCGGATACGTTTCTGATGTCGGTTCAAGTGGGACAAAATAGTTCGGCGGTTGTTTCGGTAAGCGACTCTCTCTATAAATACTTTTGTCACGCCTTTTCTTTCCGTAGCTCAAATCCGGGATTCTACACTACAGCTATAACGACGAATCATTAAATTTGACCTCGAAAGTTTTATCGGACGGAGAGTGGCACCGAATCGAGGTGACATGGATTGGAACTGAAATAAAGTTGTCGCTCGATTATGGCGAAAGGTCGGCGGTTATATCGTTCTCTGTCAAAATTCAAGGGTTGTTTGTCGGTAAAATCTTAATCGGTGGACCGGATAATAGCTACAGCAGTTTAAACGCCGGCTACAATTATTTAGAAGGCTGTATCCAGGACGTACGTATCGGTAATCATCAGACCACACTGAGTAGGCCGACTGTCAGGGATAATGTAATCGACGGGTGTGCTTCGTTGATGGACTGCCAGAGGGACTGCCCGTCGACGGCGGAATGCGTCGTCGAGTGGGGCGATTCGTATTGCGAGTGTAAAAAGGGGTATCTCGGTCCGTTATGCTTGCCAGTTTGTAAGATGAGTCCTTGCGAAAATACGGGCACTTGCGTGGAGAATTATTCCAAACCGAAGGGATACGAATGTAGGTGCAATTCGACCGACTATTCTGGTATGTATCCTGTTAAGGTTTTTAGTGTTATTTTCTGTGTATTTCAGGAGAGTATTGCGAGAATAAGGTGTCGCAACCCTGCCCTGCCAGTTGGTGGGGCTATCCCGTTTGTGGGCCCTGCAATTGTGATACAGACGCGGGGTACAATCCAGATTGTGATAAGAAAAATGGCCATTGCTACTGCAGAGAAAATTACTATCAGCCACCGGATACAATACAGTGCATTCCGTGTGATTGCTACTTAACGGGGTCTTACAGTGCACAATGCGATCATGCAACTGGGCAGTGTCGTTGTCGGGAAGGGGTTATTGGGCAAAAATGTGATTCTTGCCCAAATCCTTATGCGGAAATCACCTTGAGGGGCTGTGAAGGTACCTGTAGTTTTTTATTGCTCAACTTTCATATTTTGATTTGTAGTTTTGGTTGTCTATTCTTTTGTTTATTTACAGGTATATCCACAAGTAAACTTTTGATGATCACAGGTCATATGACATCTACTTCTTTCTTTTTTGATAACGATATCTAATTGATAGTATCAACATCATAAGTAGAACACCGACACCAGCCCCCCTCCCTCCTCCGGTCGGCCTTCAATTTTGATCCAAGGTCGTTCAAAACGAGCAAATGATTATTTCAATGAGATTAATTCAATTATTGTTATTATTATTGCACATTAGAATTAGTAAAGTATTGAATAATATAATAATAATAATCTTTGCAAAGAAGAAGAAAAAGTGAAGTGTTCAAGCAACACAAAAGGCTTCTGTATTTACTTTTTATTAGTTGTTCAAAAACCTTATTTTTTCCAAGTTGATACAATATTCACACGTGAAAGGGATGAACAGTTAATACTATCACTACAATCGTGTAAACTTCAGAAGAGATGAGAGGCTGGATAACATTGGTAATGATACGGTAGGCAATGTTAACGCACGCGTTTGTGGACAATTGCAAGTATCTCTATACAATGAGTTCAATCAGAAAAAAAAAACAAAGACGTAACTAATGAGAAACCTTGTTTTGTAGTGCAAACTAGTGATCTTGGTGTTTTATTTCCCTGGCAAAAAATTCGTGACTTTGATGAGTGGGATATTCCGGTTATGAACCCTAAGGGGTGACCTTGTTTTGTGTTGCAAGGTCGGGTCATTAGATTTCCCAGGCAAAAAAGCGCAGTTACGTGGTCTACTCCTAACTCCACGACCTTGGTACAGAATCCACGCCTTAGTTACGTAACCGGGGAAATGCTCCGACCTTGGGCCGAAACTGGGGGGAGTAGTGTCCGTGTTCTACTATTATGTGAACAATACCACTACTTATCAAATTATGCTTAAGTGGTATTTGGAAAAACCTGATTAGGAATCTTCTTAAACCAAATTATTCCTACAAATCTTAAGAAGAATCATCCTCAGTATGAGCTTATATAAAAAAATTCCTTAATCTTTCTTTGAAATCTTCTTAAAAATATCTTTATTTCAAAATATTCTTTAAAACGTCCCTAAGGCGTGATCTTTCTAGAAATTCTTTCTTAAAAACTGATTAGGAGTTTCTTTTGTTTATTTATTATATAGCAGAAATCTTGTTCAGTGCGGTATCCCTAATCCTCATTGTTACTTTACAGTTATATACGACGGTTGTCCACGCAGCGCATCAAATGGCATTTGGTGGCCTCGCACGAATTTCGACAACGACGCCCTTGAGAATTGCCCTAAGGGTTCCGTCGGCAAAGCGTCAAGATCGTGCGATAATCTTCTGGGCGGGTGGCAGAAACCGGACATGTTCAACTGCACTTCGGATAAGTTTGTCGAGCTCCGAAACCAGGTTAGTCGGGAATTAAAATCGCAACCATCCGAATGCAAATTTTGTTTTAGTTATCCTTAATCGAGGAGGGAGAATTAACGTTAAATTCGTTCGTTGCGATTAAGCTGGCGTCCGATCTGCAGAAGGCCACAAATTTAACTCTGAACTTGTACGGGGCGGATGTGTTGATCACGTACGATCTCCTGCAAGAGTTGCTTAAGCACGAGTTCGCCATGAATGGGCTGAATTTGACTCACAGTCAAGACAAGGACTATGTTCACGTAGGTGGCACTCTTTCGATTGTGAACCGACTAACACGTCAATTGTTCGCTATACTAATTTTGCATTTTAGAATTTAGTAACATCCGCAAGCGCTGTGCTGGATAACAAGTATTTCTCCCACTGGAGTAGAATTAAAGAACTAACAAGCGAAAGTGCTGAGCATCTCGTTTCCGCTATCGAAAATTACATTAACGTTCTGTCATCTAGTCAACATGATACTTACACTAATCCCTTTGAAATCGTTTCCTCGAATATGAGTGAGTACTTTTTCGAGAGGGGGAACAACAAAACGATCCTGTTTGACAAGCTCTCAACATTGATCTAGTAGCTTTTGGTATCGCAAGCGAAAAATTAAAGCTCTTTTTAGTCGGTAGGAATCTAAAGTTTATTTCGGGGTGGGCAAGTGGATTCGGCACTCTCACCAATTAGATTTTATAAAGTACGAGTCCTTTTAAGATTGAATCAATGCTAGAATTGATCCTTACTAAACCATGGATGCTAAAAAAATTTTAATTCAACCAAAGGAATGGTATCACTAAAATTGCCGTTTAATGAAAAAATAGTCCTTTCTTTGGATCCGATTATTATCGTTAACATGCGAAATCTGTTTCATGCAGTTGATTTTCACAGGTCGGTTCCTTTAGGAATATTATGATTACGTTAAATAATTCTTTTTATATAAATTTCTAAAAATAATTGACCAACATTTCATACAAATCAAAAATTTAAAGTAACAGCACCATGCAGTCTGTCCATGATGCCCGTTGGTGTCGCCAGGTTGATGATGAACTTACACTAAGAATGCGTGTTCTCCGGTTGCGTTGGCTATGTGTATTTTGCCCGCTAGAAAAACCGAAACGGCATACTCGTGAAGCCGGCCAGTTCTCTGTTTCTTATACATAGACATCCATACGGTCGAATGCCCCCCTACCTCTCTGCAGCAGCCGTTTTTAGAACTGGCAACACCGTGGTAGCGTTTTTCAACTAAAAACACTCACGCGCAGTTTTATCGCTCATATCTCCAGACATACTTTCGTTCAAGTTTACTATGAAGCGGTATATGAAAAAATAATTTTTGAAACTGCAAAAGCAACCGCCCGTTACTTATGTAAATAAGAGTGTTAATTAGCTGCTATTTTATGCATAAAATTCTGACTTGAAATCGGTAAAGGGCCGCAGAGGAGAGGAGCCGATAATAAATTTCAGATTCTTACCAAAATAAGCGGTCAAAAATCGCGCGTAATTTCGATGCAATTTTTGTTATTGATTAGTAAGGGGGGAGGGGAGGGGGGGTTGCGAGAACGTTTTGTTGATCCCTAAAGTCATGAAACCTTTGAGTATTACAATTGACCCCGTTTTTAGTTCTGGGGTTGGATATAATAACACCCGAATCCCTATACGGGTATGAATCGGATCACACCTCTCTATTATCGACTGTCACCGAACGGGTGGTGATACCAGACACTTCGCAGTTTTTGCAAAACGCCGCCGGCACCTCGTCATCGAACGGACCTACCGTCTCCTTCCCGAAATACAACAATTACATTAAGGACGACTCAAAATTCGACGTCCACTCGAAAGTCTTCGTACCACTGAAGCTACTGGGAATTCAACCTTTGGAAATGGGGGAGCTGTCCACCAAGCATACCTTATCCGAAAGTAAGGCGGTGTTCAGTTACGTTCAGTATAAGGAAGCCGGCCTGTTGTTTCCATCCACGTACGATGACTCGGTTGTGCGACGTTGGGGTGTTGATATAGTGGTCGGTTCGCCTCTTATCTCGATTAGCATTCTGGTACCGGAATATGTGCTGCCTATTCGAAAACAACCCGAACCTAGGCCCATATTTGAAGATTACAAGCCCAAAGACGAAGAACTAATGAAGCAGCTCAAAAAGACGGTTAGCGAGCCGGAAGTGAAGATGCACGAGAACGACGCTCAGTATTACAAGTTTGAAACGCACAGAATGAAGCGCGATCAAAGCTCCACCAGGAAGCTGCTCTACAAAAGCTTGTCGGGGGTTTCCCTCTCGATGCCCATTCGAATACAATTCTGGTTGGACTCCAATGTGACCGTTTTCAACGAACGTTCGAATCCGCAATGCGTGCATTGGTCAAGTGCCAGAGGTCACGGCGAGTGGTCACGTGTGGGCTGTCGCACGGATATCGGAGAGGACTGGTTTGACGTGCTCGAAGACGGTCCAATACTGGTCAACTGCAGTTGCAATCACTTGTCTACTTTTGGGGTGCTTGTTGATGTTGTCGATTTAGAAGTAGGTATCTTAAGTTGTGCGCCCAAAATGCCCATTATATTATACACTATACAGGGTGGTGACTATGCATCATAGGGATTTCAATTTACAATTCATAACATGCGATTATTTGGCTCCCCAAATTATTTTAGAGCAAAAATGTATTAAGGTTTTTTGTAGAAAAAAATTTTTTACTCCAATCAAACCGTATTGGTTTTCAATTTTTTGCATAATAAAGACGGAAAATTGGAAAAAAAACCTGCATCTTTTTCAATAATCTGTGATGCCATGGAATTTTCTAAAACAAAAAGATATCCAGTTATCAATTAGCAGGAGTTCGAAATGGATTTGTCTTGCAGTTAACGGTGACTTATTCGAATGTTTATTGTAAATTGTTATATTAGGAAACCGTTTTTAGTAATTTGGTCTTTCTTTATGTTGAATTCGTTGTTCTAAATATAATACTTTTTGATAGACTTTCATTTGTTTTATAGCAGACATTCCATGGCATGACGGATATTGGCGTAGTTTTTGTATTATAAAATTCCATGGCATCACAGATTATTGAAAAAGATGGGGGTTTTATGTTTCCAATTTTCCCTCTTTATTATGCAAAAAATTGAAAACTAATACGGTTAATTGACGTAACAAATTTTTTTCTACAAAAAACCTTAATACATTTTTTGCGCGATCGGTCATTTCTGACTATTTACCATGGGTGTTTCCATGACAGTAGGTAGAATTTACCAGTTGCTATGATTACGACGACGCCAAAATTACTTACCGATCTAAAAACAGAACAGCAAAAATACTTACCGACGCCTTTTTAAAAATCAACAGTCTTACATTACATTTAATCTTTAATTATTGTTAGGTACATTAAACGTACAATTTGTGCTGTTGTTTCCTATAGCAAGACGCTCATAAAGTCATAAAGGAAGTTCAAAGCTAGTAAACTACATCAGACACATGCACATTTTTATGAAATTATTAACTTCAATTTTGACAAATAAACTGGTTACCTAGTGATATACACCATACCACTTCGATCATTTCGATTTATTCTGCTCGTTAATTCTTAGTGCATATTTATATTGGTTGCATAAATTTAATTTCGATCGCGCAAAAAATGTTATAAGCACGTCGAACGTTAAGGGTTACCGTTCTCAGACAATAATTGGAGTCGTCGCTTCGCTCCTCCTCCAAACAATTGTCTTCGAACGGTAAAAATCCCTTACCGTTCTCCATACTTAATATACTATTTGCTCTAAAATAATTTGGGGAGCCAATAATCGCATGTTATAAATTTTCCATTGAAATCCCTATGGGGATTTACGATAATTCAACCGGTTTAACCGGGTTGGTAGAAATCACCATAGAAACAATTGTCTCAATAATTGTAACCATAGCAAAATCTACCAACCCGGTTAAACCGGTTGAATTATCGTAAATCCCTATGATGCGTTACGCAAGTCACCACCCTGTATATACAGGATGTCCATAATTGTCAAAAGCTTACGTGTATAAAACTTTTGCAGAAAAAATACACCCTGTATAATGTATAAAATTCCCATTAAAAATAGATCTTCTATATTTTAATAGCTTTAAACGCATTTTGGTTTTAATGCTCAATTGATTTTTCAGTACATCCCCGAACCCTCACTGTTGGAAGACATTTCGAGCTACAGCTGCTTCTGCATATCTCTTCCTTTACTTCTCGCAACCTACCTCATTCTGGCCTTAATCAGAGGACTACAAACCAACTCGAACACAGTTAGAAAAAATTTGATTCTATGCGTTTTGCTCGCCGAATCGCTGTACTTCGTCACGCTCAAGGCGCGGAAAACGGTCGTAAGCAGTGAGGTAAGCGGAATCAACCAAAAGGTCGAGATCTCAACGCGTTACTTCCAGTTCACCTGTAAATTAATAGCGATCTCCCTCCATTACTTGTGGCTGGCGGGTTTTTCGTGGATGTTAGTCGACGCCTTGCATTTGTATAGAATGCTGACCGAAATGCGTGATATTAACCATGGACCAATGCGATTTTATTATAGTGTAGGTTACGTATTGCCCGCCGTTGTAGTTAGTCTGGCAGTCGGCGTGCGCGCGCATCAGTACGGCAATTACTACTTGTACGTTTAAAGTCTCGTGTTCGCAGTAGATTACATCTTTAATTTCAGCTGTTGGGTTTCACTGTACGAGAGCGTAGTGTGGAGCCTCGTCGGACCAATTTGCCTATTGGTATTCATTAATTTAAGCGTGTTAGTCTTTTCAATACGTGCTGCGTTCACGTTACAAGATCACGTGTTGGGATTTGGAAATTTAAGGTAGTTAAATATTTACAATTTCAGTTTCTTACTTAATTCGATATAGGACGCTGCTCTGGGTGTCTGTTGTCGCCTTACCACTGCTGGGGGCTACTTGGGTGTTGGCTCTGTTGGCGGCGTCAGAACGTTATCCTTTGTTAACGCCTTTGCTGTCAATCGCAGTTTTGACGCACGCGGTTTTTTCACTGGGGGGATACTGTTTTGCCAATACCAGAGTGAGGCAAAATTTGTTGCGGTAAGTTGTCAGAACATTCAACGGAGTATTACCTTTGCTTCATGTTTAGATCGGTGATGCGGTGCATGGGGAAAAAGGTGCCATTACTCGAAACGACATCTACTGCTGCTGTAGTTAGTAGCAGCAGTCATAATATTAGCGGACAATCGGTAAGTGTAGTTTGTGTGTTTAGAGGAACTTTAACAAAGTTAACATTGTACAGTCATCTCCACACTACTGTCTAAAATAAAGATATGTATACAGAGTGCTCCAAATTGCGTGTTTTCGATGTTTTTCGGGGATATATTGAAAACTAAAAGAGATAGAGTGATGTGGTTTGCACTTCTTGTGGTTACTGTTCAAAGCTGCCTAGATTGACGATGTTAATTTTGACTTACACAAACGTGGCAACAGCGCAAAATTCCAAAAATGCAATAAAACGTTTTTGCTTTACAACTCGGTTATGTGAAGGGAATATCAAAAAAGTAGAAAGAATAAAAGTTTTCCATAGCCTGCTTGATTTTTTAAGATACAACACCAAACTTTATTTTTACCAAGGTATCATTGGGGTAAAAAATGACCCCCCCCCCCCATTTTTTGACGGAAATACACGTTTTGAACCAGAAATCTGAATCAAACAAAATCTCACTGATGTTGGCTGTACTCTCATTTCTGACTAAACAGTGGAACTAATTGGAACCAAATTTGGTACACATATTCTTAGACATAAAAGAAAAAGCTGGAAAACCTTTGGTCAGAACGCTCATGCGCAGGTGTGCGGTTGGTATTTGTGCTAGCCACAGCAAATTTTTCAAATGGAATGTATAATATTTTTTTGCACCAATAATTCCTTATTTTTTTTCGAATTAGGAATATACCGGGTGCTGGTCCGACCTCTCAGTAATAGCAATTTACATGTAAAATCACACTTTTGCAGAGATCAAAGTTATTCAGAATTTAAAATGCTATATGATAGGTAGGTATTTATTTTCAAAATAGTACTAATTGTAGAAGAAAACGAAGATATAAATTAGTAACAATTTGAAAAAAATAACAATAGCTATAATTTTATAACAACATTTTGCGTCATCAGCAACTATCAGTTGTTTTTAATAAAATCAAATTAAATGCTCAAAGATCATCAGCGGGGGCATATTTTTGTTTAATGGCAACTACTAGTTTTCATTACATATTCTTAAAGTGCACACTTTTTTGAATATGACAACATAAAAAATTTATTACGTTACATAATGAAATTTAAGAGCAAAATTTAAAGTAAGGAATGTAGTGTTAATTAATTTTATAATTTCACTTTTTGCGTTGAAAAAAAAACGTTATTCTTTTGCTAGTTATCACAAAGCAATTTATTGTATCAAAAATTATTCAAAATTTACAGGTAAATCTATATGCTTAAAGATTATTTACAGTGGCGTGCGTCTATAGAACTACGAGCTTTATAAAGAAAAGTACTATTTTCTGAGAGTGCGAGTAAACTATAAGCACTCTGTAAAAAGCTATCCCCTGTTCCCCCACATTCATATACATCCATCTCTTTTGTTATGAGTGACTCTAATCTATCTAATCTCAGAAAAAAGAAGTCATATTGATTTTTCTTTCGGTTTTTCACAGATAAAGCTCCAGTCTAAATTAGCCTTGATAACACCAGTGCGTCCCCACTTACTCCGAACTAATGCGCACATCGTTGAACACCGTTATAACAAAACCTCTTATCGCAAACGACCAGATGTGCCTAGATTAAAGCATCTTAACTAAATTGAATGAATTACAACAACCAATAATTCTAAAATGGAAAAATAACACTACAGAAATACAAATTCAAATGAAATAAACCGATTCTGTGCTTATTCGTGAATAATGTAAATGTGTTTAGCATGATGACCATAACGGCCTTAAAATTAAATGCAAATCCCCTTTCAGAGAACAGCTATGAATTACCGCGGCGCAGGATTTGACCTAAATCGTAGGAACATTGGAATTTCGGCGTCTAGCACCACTTCCAGATCAACTACAAAAACGGGGTCAAGTCCTTACAGGTGCGCCCCTCTGAAATAAATACACAAAAATGTGCACAATTTAAATTTTCAGAAGTGACAATCAGCTACGGCAGACATCGACGAGTACATCAAATTACAACTCGACTAGCGACGTGCCTTCTTATATGCACGGCTTCGAAAACGACACCGCCTTACAGCATCACAGAAGTATGACCGCGCCAAAACGCGAATTTCCCCTAATCGTACCCCTCTTTCAGTTGCAGAGGAAGAGGAGCACCGTCGAGAGAGACGACCGCAGAGCGATTCGGATTCGGACGCGTCCGACGGCCGCAGCTTGGAGCTCGCGTCCAGCCACTCCAGCGATGACGACGAGTCGAGCTCGAGGCGCCATCGAACTCGAAACGCCGGTGTCAGCACGATGCGGCAGGGATACCTACCCAATATAACGGAGCATGTCGCGTCGCGTTGCGGGACGCCGCCCTCGCTGAACGTCGTGACAAACTCGCAATTGTTTCCCGCCATTCAGCCGATGTACGCGACGCGATGGTCCAGCCAACTTCCCGAGGCTTATCTGCACAACACTAATTGTAAGGAGCCTTTAATCTTTATAGACTCATTAAGAGCGGCTTTTTTACGTTTCTTAAAAGCGCATGACGGCCTTTTTTAGTCTTTGAGAGTAGCCTTCATAAGTCACCAAATGTTTTCCCCAAATGGTCTCTCCCCAGCCTTCTAGTGGCTTTTGTGTATACAGTATTTAGAAGACGTATTAGTTAATATCCAAATTGTGAAAAATCTTTAGAGCTTTACAACCTTTATGGGTCTCTAAGTATTTAACAGCTTTTAAGAGGCAAAGTTTCTAATACTTTAAGAAGGGTCTCCAAAGTTTTTAAGAGAAAAAACAATCCAAGGACATCTTGATATGTCATTTATGTAAATATTAAACAATAGGGGTTCAATACTGGAACCTTGAGGCACTCCGCTAGACTTAATTGAGGAATGTAACATTTGCAGTACCGGAAGTTGGTCGTTGGTCTGCCGAAACGGGATCGGACAACGAGTTCTGCCAGAAGACGAGCTCTCCCAATCCCCTTCCGAATCCCGACGTCACGCCGGATACCTGCGTGCCCGCCAATCACCCGGAACAGTACGTGGGAAGGATGCACTACGATCCGCACTACATCATGAACACGGAGCCCAATCAGGCTTACATGGGCAAAATGATGATGCACCGCGATAAGGAGTACGGCGATTACGTCGAGGATCACTGTTCCGATCTCGAGGAGAATAAGCATCACATCAACGATAAATATTTATTTCCCTATACCGCCGAGGAGGATCACCTAAATGTGCATAACTATCCGCAGTCGGGTCGAATGATTTCCTCTGTTGGGAATGACGTGAACCATACAGGTGAGGGTTTTATACAGTGTGTTTCAAGTTAAGGTTAAGCATTAAGTTATTATTATTATTATTATTAAGTCGGTCGTAGTTCAACACTGTAATTTCAAATGTATCTCACAGGCGTCGACTATCACGGTTCAAGGATTGGTTCCCGTATGGGATCAGTTCTTGGTTCCGTGCACGAATCGATCTGTGGCAGTGTTAGAAGTTCTCCTTCTCCGCTTATGCCACCTGTTTCGATGATGCACGCAACTCACCATACGGATCCTCCACAGTAAGTGCTTGCAAATTTCTTAAATTTTAACGATTTCGTGCGCAGCTGAACCCTGATTATCGCAGCTTCTTGATAGTTTTTTCAGGTATCTATTTGATTATATAGGCAACACACAATACTAATATGTATATTTGGTTGCATAACTATAATACAAGCAAAGATGGAACATGAGAATATACCTGTTTACCAATTCTCCAAAGAAAACAAATGACTGTCATTGTAAAAAACAAATAATCAATATCACTGTAATTATTTATTTTATTTCTCAACTTATACAGGGTGTTCCAGATTGAGTGGGATTGTAAGTTTGTTTGCAATAATACATGGTGGGCCTTGTGAACCCTAAAATTGTGCAACAGCACAGTTGTTATTAATTTTTTTTTCAATTAGTATCAAAATAAAATTTGAAGGTCCAATGAGCATATTATTTCAGGATAATCAGGGTTCTACTGTACAATTAAACGCTTGAATTAACCACTCGTGCATTCTGATTTTGATTTTCAAAATATAGCTATTAATAATATTTCTTGGATAGATGGTGTTGGGAATATACCATTAACAATTAATCACAGGGTAAGCCCCGATTAAAATCTTTTGAATTTGAATTCAAACACAATCTCTGAAACAGGATCGCCAACGATGAGGAGACATCGGTATGAATTCCAACAGGACAGCTACACCATCGAATCCGTGTATATATTCAAGATGTTTACCGCTTATTCATTTCATTTCGTGCTTCCATTGTTCATTTGAAAGGTCCCCTACTTCACCCACGCACGTTCAGTAATTTATTACGAGCTTCACTTTGCGGTAGATGTCTTGTATCTTCAGCTTTATAAATATTGTGAAAAATGCACTGAAAATACGAAAGCTTTAATATTAGTATATTCTAAATTGAAAGTATATCGGTAGCACTCAATCTACTTTAATATTGATGTAGAATATATTGCAAATTATTGCGTTTTGACCAAGTGTTTATATATACTACGTACTTTTAATTTGCAACAAATTGCCATTTTGTGTAGTACAATAGACAGTCGCTTAGAAAAGAATGGACCTGTCAAGCTAAGTCATTGCTGATTGAATATGCGTTTGTTTCTTTGAGTAAAATCTGCAGTAGAGTTTTCCACAATGGTGCAAGTTTCATCTAGAAACTTTTGTAAGTGTTTTCCAGACCTTTTGGCAGCTTTATAGTTCTAGAACTTTTTGTTCACACAGGTCCATTCTTTATTGCCGGACGTACTGTACAAAGTTTTTTTTTAGTAATTGATGCGAGTTGCGCCGGTCTTCGACCATTTGGTCCGGTGTACTGCCTTTAAACACCCGACTAATGGAGGACACCGCAACCTACATCATTAAAATTTTGTTTTATTGACTGACTAGAGATGTTAGTTGTCTTGTACTTAGCCATTTGAAAGACTTACGTTTTATAATATATTATACCCAAAAGTATATTCGATATTTTACAAATACTCAGTATTTTTCCAAAACCTTTTGGAATATTTTAGAATAATTTTGTTTATATACACTTTGTATTTGAGAGAGATATTTTTAGTACTTAAAGCAGAACCCAGTGCCTGAAATTTTTGTATATTAATAGTTTGCTTTAGAAGCTAATTTAAAAATTAAGGGTCGCCCTCTAATTTTTAAATTGTAGAATTATCGTAAGATCTCATTTTATAGTTTGTAGTGTTAAATTGTACAACAACAACAATACTGGGATTGAAATAACCAAAATTGTGCAATCTTAAACATTCCTTATGTAATACATTCCATGTTTCTTATACACTCAAGATAATTGTGATTTTTTTTCAAATAAATACATATAGAACTCATATTTGTTCATATAGTTAAGTATCTTTCTAGGTTGGCTATTTTTTAAGAATATATTTAGAGCAGCTCTTTAAAAATTCTTCAGACATTTGAGATTCCTTCGATTATTTTTTCACTTTCATCAACTTCTTCGAATTCTTTACATTTATCAAAGTTGTTAATATCTGTGTGATTCTTTCCTCTCTTTCTCTCTATTTAATTTTTTTTTTTATGTCGAGGTACATTCACCCTCCTTGCGATAATGCTCGAAAATTAAAACTTTTTAATTGATTACGTCCTTCTCAGACAAAAAATACGGGAATTTCGAAAGCAAATTCAAAGGGCTGTAACTTTTGAACTAGTAGCCCAATCTTGGAACTGTTTGAAATTATGGATTCTACAGGTGACATTCTATAAGAAAATGTTTTTTCCCGGTCGATCTGAGACAATTTTTTTTTCGGGCCAAAAAAAAAGGCAGTGTATAACCTTCCTTTTTTACCAAAAATCGACTGCACCAAAATTTCTCAGGAAAACACTTTTTCTTATTAATTTTGGTGCGTAGAATCCAAAACAATTCGTACTTTTTCGATCGGACTTCTCAATCAAAAGTTATAGACTAGAAACCAATTTCGAAAGAAAATTCAAAGGACTGTAACTTTTGAACTAGTAGCCCAATCTTGGAACTGTTTGAAATTATGGATTCTACAGGCCACATTCTACAAGAAAAATTTTTTTCCGAGTCGATCTGAGACAATTTTTTTTTCGCGCCAAAAAAAAGGCAGTGTTTTTAACCTTCCTTTTTTACCCAAAATTAACTGCACCAAAATTTCTCGGGAAAACACTTTTTCTTATTAATTTTGGTGCGTAGAATCCAAAACAATTCGTACTTTTTCGATCAGACTTCTCAATCAAAGTTATACACTAGAAACCAATTTCGAAAGCAAATTCAAAGGGCTGTAACTTTTGAACTAGTAGCCCAATCTTGGAACTGTTTGAAATTATGGATTCTACAGGCCACATTCTATAAGAAAATTTTTTTTCCGAGTCGATCTGAGACAATTTTTTTTTCGGGGCTCAAAAAAAGGCAGTGTATAACCTTCCTTTTTTACCAAAAATCGACTGCACCAAAATTTCTCGGGAAAACACTTTTCCTTATTAATTTTGGTGCGTAGAATCCAAAACAATTCGTACTTTTTCGATCAGACTTCTCAATCAAAAGTTATAGACTAGAAATCAATTTCGAAAGAAAATTCAAAGGGCTGTAACTTTTGAACTAGTAGCCCAATCTTGGAACTGTTTGAAATTATGGATTCTACAGGTCACATTTTATCAGAAAATTTTTTTCCGGGTCGATCTGAGACATTTTTTTTTCGGGCCTCAAAAAAAGGCAGTGTATAACCTTCCTTTTTTACAAAAAATCGACTGCACCAAAATTTCTCGGGAAAACACTTTTTCTTATTAATTTTGGTGCGTAGAATCCAAAACAATTCGTACTTTTTCGATTAGACTTCTCAAAAAAAAGTTATAGACTAGAACCAATTTCCTGATTTTTTTGTAAATTATTAAATATTCAAAGCAAAAAAGCATGGTCCTGACATCTATCATTATTAATGAAAACTAACATGTTAACGATAAATGCTGGATACTTTATTATTACCATTATTTTAATTACACCTATTTCTGGAAGATGTCGCCAGAAAATTTTTAAATATAATTCATGAAACCAACGTTAGATGTCAGAGCGTTTTTTTTACCTACAGTAACCATAGATACTGTAACGTGATTTATAAATTCGAGTTCGATTGATATCAATATTTATTAAACAAAACTAAAACACTATAAAAACTGTACAATTTATATCGACTATTTATATCACACACTTCGCAATTTATATTTCCGCGCTCTATGTTTCATCCGTACTCTATCTCGTTCGGTAGTAGACTGCCGCGATGTTCGGTCCGCAACCATTTATACACGCAAGCAATGTAAGTCCAGAACACTCGTGAACAGTCTCGAATATTCCTACACAAATCCCACTATCGCGCGCGTAGAAAATTCCAGAGCGCCAAAGGCGACGTCATGTCTGGAGCGTATAGACTAGAAACCAATTTGAAAAAAAATTCAAAGGGCTGTAACTTTTGAACTAGTAGCCCAATCTTGGAACTGTTTGAAATTATGGATTCTACAGGCCACATTCTATAAGAAAATTTTTTTCCGGGTCGATCTGAGACAATTTTTTATTCTGCCCAGCTCTGCTCGTGGTAGTTCTCTAGTGATTTCTCCGATGACTGCACTTAAAGAATTTTCGTGGAAACTTTGAATTCTTAAAAATTGTCATAGAAATCCTTTTAGAAACCATTTAAAAACCAAGAAATATCTGGAACATGCAACCAAGGCAACTCTTTTACGATCATATGATGTTCATGATTCATCCTGTGTTATTATTTAATAACTACGTTTTCGTTTGATAAACAAAATTCTCATAATTGAAAATGGCATCTAATTGACATTAAACCTCCAGCAATTGCCATACCTTTTGAACGTAACGAAAAATAACCGACTTCCAGTGGTCATTAACAATTTGCAAGAAATTGTTAATCCGCCTTAACTAACGCATTATTCAATTGACAATATCCCACTATAAAAAAGGATTTTGTTCCGTATCTTTGCGATTTGCGAAACGATGCGTCTTCTGGCGGTTTTATGTTTGTTGGGTGAGTACGTTCCAGAACGCTAACTTTCCGTTGAAACTGTGCTTTCAGGTGGGGCTTCGTGTAACGTCATCAGGACGGAGCAGAAGACCGCCAAAAGCGATGGCGATCTCGGCGTTAAGTTTATCTTCGAGGGTTGGCTGAAGGATAAGTGCAGGAAGGTCGGAGTGGTCGATCCTTATACCGGTTTCTTCGTGAGTACGCGCACCAAGTCGGCGCAAAAAGTGTGTAGACTCGAGTTTGAGGATTTGGGGTTTCTTGTACCTCAAAAAAGAGGACTATGTACTTTTTGGGCTCGTAAGAGTACCATATATTGCTCTGCAAGTCGCATCTTTTGTAGCAAGCCTTAGAAGGTGCCTTCACGTGTGTCGGACGTCATCTGCAGAGCAGCGAAACCGACTCGAGTTCCTCAGAGGAGCTGTGCGACTACCACAAAAATAACATACGTCACTGTTTCGATGACATACTCGCGAACATCAAAGAATGCTTAGATCCCGAGGAGAAATATTTGCCGGAATTTATATTTAACGCCATGGACGGCTTGTTAAAGTTAGCTTGCAGTGATGACTCGATAGAAGACGGTGAGTTGCGGGTTTCTAATTTTGAATAATCACGAGTGGTACTTTAGCATTGGAAAGGCCGAGCGCAACGAAGTGCATAGACGATGCTTTCAATGATACCAAGCTGTTAGACGCCTGTTTCGACAATGTGTCGCTTCAGTCATTCAATTTTGAAGACAATTTTGTTCTTAAAGAGGAGGAACTGTGCTAGTAAGCGCCTTTTTGTTGGTAGTACCGAGGGTGTTCATCATTTCTCTTTTTAGCTACCTTTTCACTTTTTATAATTGCTCTGATAACTATTTGCGAAAAAGGTGTTCTTATGACAGAGAGGTAAGAAAGGTTTTGAGAAAGGTATATCAGGCAGTTACATCGCCATGTGAAAATATAGGAAGGCAAAGGGAGAAACGCTCAATTGTATAACTATCATATTACATTTTTGTTTATTACTGTATATGTGTCGCTTATTGGTCATGAATTAAAGCTTAAACGTTTTGAAAAGGTGTTAATGGGGGGAGGGGGGGGGGGATGGAACGCCCTCCAGTAAACGATAGTTCCAGGGCCATTTCCAGAATATCGCCATAAGAGTGCTGAGGTTTTAACATAATTTTTCAGAAATAGTCGTAGATTTTCTCATTTGCTGGGGGGTATTCCCCTCCACCCCCCTCCCGCCCCGGTTGTATGTTCTCTGCGGTACGAAAAAGAGGATCTCATAATCCTTCTCCTACAACTATCATAAGATCTGAAGACTAACCATTTTGTGAAAGATGGTGTTACTGGTGGCCTTGGGGGGGGGGTGATTATTCCATACGACAATTACATTGCCATGTCTAGAATATAATAATACCACCATAAGTGCATCAATTTCGTTAGTAGGTAATAATAATAGTAATAATAATAAATAAATAAATAAATAAATAAGAGTGTGTGAATTTTTATTTTATTTATTTATTTTATTTATTTTTTTTAGGACCCTACATAACTTCACCAGACACAGACACTAATCGTTACTTGATTTTAATCCGTGCGATTAGTTAACCAGGCTAGACCTGAGTTCTCACAAGATACACCGACAACAATAATAATAATAATAATAATGATTTATTGTCCAACAGATGTTTGTACATCCAATTACAGAACAATTACAGAAGTTAAATATGGCATGATTGAAAAATAAACATAATATACTATAAATTGATTATCAAAAAAAAAATAAAGAGATATTTAAATGTAAGGAGACATATATATCTACGAAATGACAAACCAATTAAAGATTAATGAAATAGATTAATTACATCTGATAATGAGCAGATATTTAAATCACATTGTGTGCAGTATTGATTACAATTTTGTGACATCAAACACACTGGCGATTTTAACAGCAAGTTCGTTTTGGGTGTAGGATTAAGAAAAACTAACAGATAGCGACTAGTACGGGGCGGAACATGAAAGTTAAATAAGGACAGGACGTTTACTATTACGAATTATGAAACCCAATGTTTGTATAGCTGACGCAGAAATAGCTTGAATGTGGTATGAAAAATTTAACCGTTGATCAAACACGACTCCCAAATCTTTTGCAACGGTCACACGATTAAGAGGAACAGAGTCAATACAATAATCATACTGAATGACATTATGCTTTCTAGTATAAGACAATATTTTGCATTTACCAATGTTTAGATCCAATCTGTTATCAGTACACCAATCATGGATAATATTTAATTGTTCTTGCAAGTGAACACAGTCGCTCTCAGAGCCAATCTTCCGAAATATTTTTAAGTCATCCGCAAATAATAGGCACTTACAGGAGAGAACCTTGGTAATGTCGTTAATAAATAGAAGGAACAAGAGGGGTCCCAAGTTAGATCCTTGAGGCACCCCAGAGGATGCAATAAAGACTTCGGATTTAAAATTATTATAGCATACATACTGTAGACGATTAGATAAGTATGATGTAAAGAGCAGGCTAAGAGAGTCGCTGAATCCAAAATTTTTTATCTTTTTAATAATTAAGTTGTGATCGATAGTATCGAAATGGTATAACAATACCAAGGTATGAATGGGCAGATATTGTAATCTATTTAGGATCTCTTGACAAAGATGTGTACTATAATTAACCTATGCCATAATGCAACCGTTGCGGAAATGGAGATAAATAAAAACTATTCCCAGATGGTATTTCAGCAGATTTTTGCCACGGATCTAATTTCAAGTACCTATGCAAATTAACAAACTTTCAAAACAAGAAAATGTGCCTTGTTACACTTTCTGGTTGAAGGCGCATTGAACCTGGAATGTGCACAGTTGGATACGTTAAGGTGGTTGACTTATTGTCACTTAAGCGTTTTATTAATAAAGGTGCAGGTCGGCAATATTAGTAATAATTCTCTTTTATGGTGGGCGAGATATAAAACATTACAGGTTGCCTATCGCATTGGCGTATCCAAGGGCTAAAGTTGAAGAAGTCGCAAACCAGAGATTCCGCTTTCCATTCTCCTGCGCTCGGGAGACATGAAACGTGCTAAAATAAAGCATCAAGGGGGTGCAAAGTGAACGTGATGAAAATGTTGCGCAGTGAAGAATCTGCCTTTCCTAGGTTCAACGCACCATAGGCATGGGCAAATTTGCTGCAAAAAATTGCTCCGTGTCTTGCCAAAATTGCACGTGCAAGTTCTTGCCGCAAGACATTCTCCAATTTTCTTGTTTAGAACTTGTGCTATTTTTCTTGAAATTTAGTAATTATTTTAGTAACATTTAATTTTTAAATTAATTAAATTGGTGCCTATGCTCTGGAAAACATTTCCTCCCTAGCTAGGTTTGTTACTTAAAACTGAAATACCTAGCTGATTATTTTTATACAAAAATATGAGCAATTTGTTAGTTTGCACAAATTCACCACTGTTAAATTACCCGCTATTTTTATTCATTTTCGAACTCGTAAAGGTTCCAAATCGAATTAATTACTTTACTCTCAAATAGATGCCCAAGAAAGAACTAAATATGAGCAAACAACAAAAGTTTCGGTATAGTTTTCATCACCAGATCCAACTGACAACTTTTTCTGCGTCCTAATCGTTTTCTAAGCCATTGCCATGGCGTTCTGTGTCTTTTCCATAACCGTTGAACTTGTCTTGGGTCGTATGTAGCTCCAGAAAAATTTAAATTGTCCCTGGAGGAAACAATTAAAAAGCTCTAAACCTTTCCAAAATCCAACAAGTTTTCTTCAGATCACTCAAACGTTTTGCAGTGCAATTAAATCCAGGTTTTTTTATAGCTCATATAGGCCTCTACCTCTTTTCCAGGCCCCCCTCTTACCAACATTGTTAGGACCTTTTTAAATCGGGAAAAGCCTTTCAAATGCCTTTCAGAATATCGAGTTTCCGAAGCAAAAAAACCATTCCAAGATCTATCGCCTTTTCATGCTATACAGGATGTCCCGCGAGGGAAGGGCCAAATTTTAGTACTACCTACTGTTGTTACTGTTCTTTAGGTGAATTTGGGTCAATAATTGCCTATCAATATAGCTCCGCAAATGTTTCGTTATTGAGATACGATTTTTTCCGAGGCTTGAAAGAGCTTGATGTTTAATTGGAGAAAACAAAACTTGAGTGAATCAAAATGCAATTATCTTGATTAAATCAAGATCTGGTGTACTTTAGAGAAGTTCAAATTTTACGCATTTCTCCATTCATTTTTATCGCTGATAAAAAGCCATATAGCTTGCTTTTAATCCTTTAACAAACCTTTGTTGAATTTTGAACTTTCTGTCCGTCCGTCCGTGTACATGATATAAATCGCGAACGGTTTCGAATTGTTTCCATCAGTATTATGTTTATCATCACCCAAGGAAGAATTGATTAAATTTTTTAGTGGCCCAGGAGCTTCTGCTCGTCCGTCCGTCCGTAACAAACATAATACGAACTCCTGGATCACAAACATTTAATCAGTTCTTCCTTGGGTGATAATAACAGAATTGGAAATCAGAGACAGTTCGTGAGTTATCTTGTACAACACAGGAAGGAAAAACTGATTAAATTTTCAATGACTCAGGAGCTCGCTTTTTATACTTGTTAAAAGTTTATTATTAACTTCAATAAATTTTCCAAAACGCGTATATACATTCTGCTGTGAACTAGTGTGGAGATACCGTGAAGGAGGCGTAAAGAAGGTTCGAAGGAAGTTTGAATAAGGCCTGAATGAGACTGAGAATGGAACGTAAAGGTACTTGAAAGAATCATAAAAAAATTTGATGTATTTGTGAGCGAGGAAAAAGAGGGAGGTCTTGAACTAAAAAGACGTGATTTATTGAAGGGGGGGGGGTAGAGGTGTGAAAGACATGTAAAATAAATGTTGAAGTAATGCGGAAGTGTTAGAGAGACTTCAAGACTTGAGACGAAAACGGAACTCAAAGAATAGTAGACATACACGGTTATGTAAATGTTAAGCAGAACAAAAGCGGGACGAAGGGGGAGAGAAGGTGTAAAAGAGATCTAAAGAAAGTATTGAAGCAAATGCAAGAGAGGCTTGACATGAGAAGGGGATGTCTTGTATGCACGAAGAAGAAGTGAAGCAGGTGAGACTCGAAGGAGTAAGGAAGAAAGCTTCAAAGAAGAAGGGCTGGTATATATTTCAAGCAGGCATCGTCATGGGGGCGGGGGTGAAACAGAACGGCGAACTAAAACCTGAAGGTGCGGCTACCAAGCCTATCGACATTGAGTGATTCAGGATGGATGTGGGCAGACCTCTAACGAGATAAGTGACCAACATCAAATCTTTTCCTCAAGGAAGAAAACAAATGATGCCTTAAATTGATTTTTCCATTTAAAATTTTAGGTCGATTCGATTACAATTACACAAAAATCTGTTCAATACAAACACAATTAGACATAATGATTAAACACGAAATACCCTAATTACATGTGTGATTAATTTCCGTAATTAACGTCCTATTTTGATCGTATTTGCGCTTTCGGGACTATTTCGTATACGTAAACAACACTTGTGCAATATTGAAAAAGTTAACTACCGCTGTTTTCGGAAAATCAATCTGCGCAAATGGCGGCGATACTCAAAACTACTTTCTAATTTGTGACGTAAAGGGCACGCTGACCAATAGAAAGACGAGGTAAATCAGTGCCACTCAAACGGGATATAAATACCAATTTTACGTGCACGAGATTTCCATTCCAGTACTTTTCGGCTTTCGCTTTACACCCCGATTTCGTTTTAGAGAACTAGTGCGTCGCTTTTCCACACCGTTGCTAGTTTTTTTAGAAATGCAGCTCGTCATTAATTTTCTGCTCGTCTGTATAGGTAATTATAATAAATTTCCAAGTTGACCTTTGTATTATTAAATTCAAAAAACAGAAAAGGCCCTTTTGTTTGTTTAGATTATGTAATTTACCCATTCTTGATGGTTTTTTTGTGTGTAATTGGTGGACTTGTTAATCTTTGAACCTCTAATCATAGGTAAGATTATAATAGTGATTTTGCTAGGCGGTGTGCTGTGTGACCAACCGAATTTGGCGACCGATTTGGAAAGCATACAGAATAAGATCAATGAGATTCCGGGTTTGGAACACCTCGACAAGGACGTACCGTCACAGGAGGAGATTCTTAACGTGACCAAATGGAAATGCGAGCAAAACGGCGGACCGCTTGCCTTTGAGAACTTGATGGTGAGCGAAAGTTAAAGTCGACCGTTTCTACCTTCTCTTTCAGGCGGCCAAAGACGAAATACAGAAGTGCATCGAGGACAACTTCGATTTCAGCAAAATCGAATCCGAGCTGAGCGAGAAACGGAAGACCGGGTCGATGGACGATGTGTTTGTGAAGTATTGCGGGAAAAAGTCGGTGGTCGATGCTTGCATGCAGAATTTCACCGAGGCGGTTTCGCCTTGTTTGGAAAACGTGGAAAAGTCCAGCCTGAAACTGCTTCTCAACATTACCGATAATTTGATCGATTTCGGTTGTCACAAGGATGGGGACCGAATTGCAAGTGAGTATAAGGTCATGGGAAGGGATGCACTTGGTTTAAATTTCCCCAAGTTTCTGTTTTTATCAAGGCTTAAGCGGTATTAGGTTATCCCGGTCATTATCAGCTTTAATAGAGAAACCACTGTTCAATCATTTCCAATTATTTAAATGAACTTGTACCTAATGATTTGTTTGAACTCCGTCTCCTTTGTAATTGGTAGGTGGAGCTTAATGAGGCTCGTTTGCACAACAATAAGTATTAATCAAATATGATGTTCTTTTATTTCTTGTTTGCATTTGTTTTCTTCTGATCCTTTTTTGTTTTCACAATTAGAGAGGTCAAAGAAAAGAAAAATACTGTCTACCTTCTTTCATATTTAATGAAAAAGTCACTGAGACAAACAGGTGTGTATATATCTCAAAATTACTTGTTGAGTCCCCTGTATTTATTTATAAGCAAAATATCAATACAGGCCACTAAAGCAAAACATCTTCTAAAAGGAAACCAGCTTCAATTAAATAATACCTGCTCTCGTGTAGAAAAAATCGCAATTCTGTTATGGGTTTGCAAACATCACTTTAGACACAAAAATTAAGATATGTCAAAAACAGCTAAATTTAGGTATAGGAAATAAAAATAATAATTTAATATATAGTGTGTTCCATTTCAATGAAAATATTTTAAGACTCCTTTTCGAGATACAGATAGCTAGCATTTGTTGTGGAACACCCTGTAGAGTAGTTCAAAATTGCGACTTTTGTATGTGTACGGAGTTGGTTAAAAAAATTGACACTTGGTGTAAACAGAGTTTGTACAGAGTAGGTCAAAAAGTGCTTTCCTTTCTTTCCAAACACAAAATTACTGAAAAAACTCGCTGGGGCAGTCAAGGTTTGTACAGAATGGGTTAAAATTGACACTTGGTGTAAACGGAGTAGGTCAAAAGGTGCTTTGCTTTTTTTCAAACACAAAATTAACGAAAAAATTCACTGAAGCAGTCGGGGTCTGTACAGAATGGGTCAAAATTGACACTTGGTGTAAACAGAGTTTGTACAGGGTGGGTCAAAAAGTGATTTCCTTTTTTCCAAAGACAAGATTAACCAAAAAAATTCACTAGAGCAGTTAGAGTTCGTACAGAGTGGGTCAAAATTTACATTTGGTGTAAGCAGAGTTTGTACAGAGTGGTTTAAAAAGTACTTCGCTTTTTTCCAAACACAAAAGCAACGAAAAATTCATTGGAGCACTCAGGGTTTGTACAGAGTGGGTCAAAAAGTGCTCTCCCTTTTTTTCAAACACAAAATTAACGGAAAAATTCACTGAAACAATCAGGGTCTGTATAGAATGGGTCAAAATTGACACTTGGTGTAAACAGAGTTTGTACAGGGTGGGTCAAAAAGTCATTTCCTTTTTTCCAAACACAAAATTAACCAAAAACTTCACTAGAGCAGTTAGAGTTTGTACAGAATGGGCCAACATTTATATTTGGGGTAAGCAGAGTTTGTACAGAGTGGGTCAAAAACTGCTTCGCTTTTTCTCCAAACACAAAATTTATTGGAGCAGTTGGAGTCTGTACAGAATGGGTCAAAATTGACGCTTGGTGTAAACAGAGTAGGTCAAAAAGTGCTTTGATTTTTTTCAAACTACAAAATTGACGAAAAAATTCACTGAATCACTCAGGGTTTGTACAGAATAGATCAAAATTGACACTTGGTGTAAAAGGAGTTTGTAACAAGTGGGTCAAAAAGTGCTTTCCCTTTTTTTCAAACACAAAATTAATGGAAAAATTCACTGAAGCAGTCAGGGTCTGCACAGAATGGGTCAAAATTGACACTTGGTGTAAACAGAGTTTGTACAGGGTGGGTCAAAAAGTGGTTTCCTTTTTTCCAAACACAAAATTAACAAAAAACTTCCCTAGAGCAGTTAGAGTTTGTACAGAATGGGCCAAAATTTATATTTGGTGTAAGCAGAGTTTGTACAGAGTGGGTCAAAAACTGCTTCGCTTTTTCTCCAAACACAAAATTAACGAAAAAATTTATTGGAACAGTCAGGGGCTGTGCTTTCCTTTGTTTCCAAACACAAAATTACCTAACAAACTCACTGGGGCAATCAGGGTTTGTAAAAAATGGGTCAAAATTGACACTTCGTGTAAAGAGAGTTTGTACAGAGTGGTTCTGAAAATACTGTTACAATTAGGAAATTAATTACGCAAAAAATGAGTTATCTATTTATACAAAGAACGCCACGGAATCACAGTTCTTCACCTTTCGCCGTTTAACAATACTTTCCCTTTTCTTTCGAACACAAATTTAATGGAAAAGTCCCTAGGTCAAACAGAGTTTGTACAGAGTGAATCAAAATTTATACTTTCATGTCTCCATTTACGTTTCTGTCTAAAAAAAATACTTTATCTTCTCCCAGATTGAAATTTAATGTAAAAGTCACACAGGGTACAAAGGGTTTGTACAGAGTGCGTCAAAATTGGCATTTTCGTATGTACTTCTATTTTATCTCAATTGTATTAAATGCATGTAGAGACATCTGTGATTATTTTAATGAAACTTGGCGATTGAAACAATTGATGGTATTTAATTTTTTTTTAATGTTTACTAACGCCCCTTTTTTAGTGTTTTTAGCCGAAGGCGGTTTGGAATGCCTCCGCAACAAGACCGATGGCATCGAAGACTGCTTCAACAAAACCATCCGTCATCGCATTCCTCAATCCTTCGCGCTCACCGCCTTGCCACTATTTGCCATGAACGACGACGGATGCGAGTACGTATACGACCCGCCGCCGATTTCTTTAGAACTAATTCTCTTAATTCCGCAGCGACTTCTCCAATTTGCACAAGTGCGTAACGGGCGTACTCGAGACATGCACCGATCATACGCCGGCGAATTTAGTCGACGCCGCCTTTAAGTACACGCTCCGTTCGACACCTTGTAAAGACCGAAAAAGGGCGGCGCCCGCCGGAACGCGTAAGTCTAAAGATGGAAACTCTTCGGTTGTACATACGGCCAGCTTCTTGTTAGTTTTTGTATTTTACGCAATTAATCATGTTTTATAATCGACCAGTACAACTTAAGTTAATTTTAGCCTACTGTTAAGTGTTGGCGGGTGAATTTAGCGTTGTCTAAATGCACTCGATGCCCTTTGGTCTTCCTAAACTAGTTACCATGACTGAACAACACGCAGCCTACAAGCTCTGTGATAAAACATAACATTTTTAGACATTTGTACGTTAGTATGAAGGTGAAAGCGATGTGATATGCAAACTCAAACTATTTTTATTTTGTTAATTTTATATTTACAACGAAGAGATTGTACTGAATCGGTTAATTGTGTAATTTTTGTTAGGATTAATAAATGCACTGTAATCCTTAGTGTTTGATTTTCTTTTTTTCCAGCTTTTTTGCACATCTGCATGGTTTTGTTTCCTTTACTGTGGTGTCTCTGGTTTTAGTGCTTTTCATTTACTTAACAAAAATTGCATTAACTGATTTGTCAAAGAGTATTAAATGTAAAGAAATTCAGTGTTTGCTTTCTTCAAAAGTATGAAGCCAACCCAGGCCGAGATGTACTTTGGCAACACTGCATTTTGCGTAATTGCACGAATCTGTATTTTGTTGGTACTGAACCATGTCAATAGAGGGCATAATTTCTAGCAGTTATTATTCTTTGATTTTATGATTATTGATTGGCTGCCATTAACTTTAATATTAACCGAATGCACTCATACAAAGTGGTGAGTATGACTAATTGCAACCTGTCGCAGGAGATCCCATCGGTTACACTTACCGTGACTTTTCGTTACAGGTCGTCGCATATTCAGAAGGGACACTCCCTCGCAGGAACTATTCGCCATACAGCACGCCTACGATAAGCTGAAGCAAAAGTTCGAGCCCCACTGCCTGCAGAACGGCGGCCAGAAAGCGGCGAACGAATTTCGGGTAAATTATCTCTCGATCTTTGCTTTCTCTCTCCAATCCAGCGCGTTTTTAGGAGGCGCTGACGTACGTCGAGCGCTGCCAGAATCAGGAACAAACGAAGTTCATGCGTAAGAACGAGGAGGTTCGTGGAATTTCGTACGATTACATGTGCAAGGAGTTTCGTCAGGGCTTGAGGGGTTGCTTGTCCAATTTGACGAAGAAGATGGAGGTGTGTTCGAATCCGGCGGAAAAATACGTCCCCAAGTTCGGTTTGGAAATGTACGATTCCGTTTTTAACTACAAGTGTAAAGATGATGCGCGCGCGCTAAAGAGTAAGTAGTTTTGTATCTTGAGTTTATTTTTACAGGCACCTGCACGCTAGCAACTCAAGTTCCTCCATACGAGGTGGGGGCTATACAATTCTTTGGCTTATTTTATGACTACAAGTTCACAAACTCTTCCGTTACCAATCTACAGGGTGTTATAATTTCACGATTGTTGAAGGATTTTCTTTATATCTCCTGCAGTTTTTGAGATATTTAGTTCAAGTTTTGAACACAAGTTATGGTTTACCTCATTGGTCATGTCAATGGTAGTGAGAATCTGCAGGCTGAGCTTTTTTCAACTACCGGATATAGGGAGATAAAAATGGTCCAACAATTTAAATCTGCATTCATTTCTAGCATCAGAAATAGTGGTTGCAATTTGAAAAACTGAGGTTTTTGATTGATATTGATACGTACTGAAGTGTTTCACTTTATAGATACTGGGTCTGGGAGAAGGTGAGAGGTATAATTATCCTTGTCTTACTACAATACTTAAATTTTAATTGTGTTGAATTTAGAATAAAATAATAAAAATTGAAAATGCTGTTTCTATTTAAACAAAAACAAGATGGCGCCACTTCCGGTATTTTCGGAAGCGGCGCCATCTTGAAATTATTTTATTTTAATTCGCAATGGTCGATTATGACTAAACCAAATTTCAAGTTTCTATTTCAACTGAAAGTTTAAAAACTTTTAAAGAACTTGACTCACCCTGTATAAATGTTTTCTTATTGAAACACATGTTTCTTTCAAACATAGGACAATAATGACTTCCTCCCCCTTAGCTCAATTTTTAGTGTATTTTCCAATGAAGATGGTCGTTGTCTGTCTGTCCTTTCGTCCACCCACCCCAGGCGTTATCTACTCCTACAGTTTTCAATATATTTAATTCGTTCTTTTTGTATTCGGTAGCTTATACAATGTGGGCCAAAAGAAGTCATCCGATGTTGTTTGGCTGTCATTTTTTTTCTAAATGAAAAACTTCGATTCTGTGTTTTGATTGTTTATTTGAATTTTTAGAATTTTATTGGCCAAGTCGAGAAGATGATATCGGTCAAATGCCGTCACAATTGATTGCTATACGGGCTCGTTTTATGGCATTTTTCATCACTTCGGCGAGAACTTCGGGTGACAAATTCTCGCATTCGAGTCGAATTTTGTCCTTGAGGGCTTCCAGGGTCTCAGGCTTGTTCATGTACACACGGGACGTCAAAAATCCCACAAAAAAAACTGGAACGGTTAAATCGGGCGATCTTGCGGGCCAGTGTAAATCGCCAAAACGAGAGATGAATTGTTACGCAAAAAAATAGACACGATTATTCGCATTCTTAGAGAGTGTTTCGCTCCATGGCTTGTTCGCTTGTATTCTAAACCTGTCTAGTTCACAAATGTCAAAACAGATTTGACATTGGCCGCCATTTGCAAAAATAAGAGCATCTTCCAATAGGGTGATTTCTTTTGGCCCACCTAGTAGCTCTGGCCCTTGGGCCATGAAAAGTGGCTCTGGCCCTTGGGCCATGAAAAATTTTGGGGATTAATTAATTAATTAAATATAAAGGTTTGCTAATTTCCTGAAAGAACTTTCTCAAAACAGTAGAATAAGTTAGTGTGGTTTGTTTTAATCTGTAACACAATTTTTTAAATTTTGATTTCAAGAAACATTTTGAAATTTTCAAGAAAATCTTCGGATGGATTTTAAGAAAATTCTGGGAATGTCCCAAAACTGTTTCCAAAGAGATTTCTAATGCATTATTATCTTGACGCCTCTTCTTTACTTTTTGTCTCAAACCCTTTTTCGAGGCTTTTTGAGCTTTCTGTAGACTTCCTTTGAGCCTTCTTCACAACTTTGTCTCCTTACCTTCTTTGATCCTTCTCGACATCTCCTTTAAACCTTCTTGACTTCTTCAGGTCCTTTTTTAAGTGTCCTTTTTTTCGAATGTTCTTTAGCCCTTTCCTGAACCTTTTTTACGTTTCGTTTTGCCTCTTTGGCACTTTATTGCCTTATCAGCGCAATCTCTTTTCTTCTTAGGGCTTCTTGACGCCTCCTTCGAACTTTTTAATATCACCTTCTTACCTACTCAGTGCCATCTTCAAGTTTTCTCAACGATTCATATCACGACGCCCCTTTTGAGCTCTTTTCTTGTCCCTTGCATGTAGTCTGGATGTTTTTTTTTGACAGTCCCCGCGTCTTCTTCTTGGTCTTCTCCAAGTTTCCTTTTTCCGATGACTTCTTTGAGTCTTATACACACCTCCTTCGCTCTTTCTTTTTTCTGCTGTACAGGGTGGCCAAATAAGAATGCGAGGTACTGTATCTGAAAACCTGTCCATCGCAGAGGCTTGCGGTAAAAAAATTTATTGCTAAAACGGCCACGAGAAAAACCTAGAAAATATTTTTAAGTTTCTGCAATGGCCGCTAGGGGGCGTAACTGCAATCTGGAATCTAAAAAAGTGATTTTTCTGTGAATTCCGCCATATTAACCTAACAAAAAAATGTCCGGTCTTTGAAGTTGACGATAATCTGAACCTTTTTTGTTTGACAATTTTTCCTGTATCTCTAAAAATGAAGTGGTGGGGGGTATTCAAAGGTTTCCGTAAAGAACACCCTGTATCTTCGAAACGACTGAGCCGATTTTAACAAACTCGGGTTAATTGAAAAGAGTTATTCTTCAGCTACAAATATGATAATATTTGAAGTTTTGTTAGTTTCACATATCGCCGCTTGAGGGCTTTTTTTGACATTCCGACAGAAATGGTTAATTTTCTCAAAAAAATTAAATGCGTTGGTTTGATTTTTTTTCATGAAAAAGTAGCTAAATGATGCCTAAAGAAGCTCGCGAAAATCGCATCTCGATATCTTGTTCCTAACTTAAAATTTAGGCCAAAGAAAATTTTATACCCTCAAAATTTTATTTTTTTAAGCTAATTTTTCAGGAATTATTTTTCTTATATAATTTGGTGCCCTAAGGTGGATCGATTTAAAAAAGGAAGCTTTTAATGCCGCCGTAAATGTTCGAAATGCTGGTCATCACGATATAAAAATATATATATATATCTCTCAAGATATCGAGATGCTGTTTTCGCGAACTTGTTTAGGCATCATTTAGCTACTTTTTCATGAAAAAAAAATCGAACCAATGCATTTAATTTGTTTGAGAAAATGAACCATTTCTGTCGGAAAAAAGCCCTCAAGCGGTGATATGTGAAACTAACAAAACTTCAAATAGTATAACATTTGTAGGTGAAGAGTAGCTCTTCTGAACTAACCCGAGTTTGTTTAAATCGGATCAGCCGTTTCGAAGATACAGGGTGTTCTTTACGGAAACCTTCATTTTTAGAGATACAGGAAAAATTGTCAAACAAAAATTGTTCAGATTATCGTCAACTTCAAAGACCGGACATTTTTTTGTTAGGTTAATATAGCGGAATTCATAGAAACATCAATTTTGTAGATTCCAGATAGCAGTTACGCCCCCTAGCGGTCATTTCAGAAACTATTTTCCAGGTTTTGCTCGTGGCCGTTTTAGTAATAATTTTTTTTACCGCAAGCCTCTACGATGGATAGATTCTCAGATACAGTACCTCGCATTCTTAGTTGGCCATTTCATTGTCATCGAGCCTCTCTTCTCTTCTAGGCGCTTCTTGATCATTTTTTGACGTATTCATTGAACCTTTTCGACGTCACCGAACCTTCTTGGCTCCTCCTTGCCTTCTCCACGTCTTCGCGTATTTTTAACGCATCTTTAGATTCTTCTTCACAACTCCTTCAAGCCTTTCTCACGTTTCATCTTGCCTTCCCTGCACTTTCGTTCACAGCGCTTCGCATTTGTTTCTTTCACGGCGCTTGTTTTTTGACGCCTGCTTTGAGTCCTCTGACACCTCCTTACTTTTTGATTTCAATTTCTTAGATTTTCTACGCCTTCTTGTTCCTTTTTGACGCTTCTTTCTTGCCTTTTTTTACGGCCCCTACTTGGAATTCCCGCATTTTTCCTCACCATGTTGACGTTTTTTTTTCTTTTGACGACTTCTTTGAGTCTTATCCAGGTCTTCGGCTCCTAAGTCTTTCTTATACTAGCTATACAATACACTTTTACTCCTCTTCCTTCATCTTCATCACGCCTTTTACTCGCTTTCTTCGCGCATTCTTCATGTCACTTTCAGGTCTCACTCTTCACATATCTTTCAAGTTTTTTTCATGCCCGTTTAACATGGGAACAATAAAAATTGCGAAAGGCATGCGCAGTTCAAGGTCAGGTGATCGATTGCTACACGAGACTTGTAATTTTCATGTGGCAATTGAAATAGAATTGCACCATGCGAAATGCAATGCAATTCCTTGACCTTGTAAGTTCTTGCGCGTTGTATTGTTTCATGTCAAGCGGCATCTAAGCCTTCTTCGCGTTTTTTAAATGTCTCCTTCAATTGTTTCACATCTTCTTTACAAGATCCTGCTTTCAGGATAAGCAAAGTTGTCAAAATAAAATTTCTTTTGTTTGTAGTGCTATTTGGGGAGCAAGATATCTGCACGAAGACCATTCTCGGCTCGACCGACGTTTGCATTGGAAAAACCAAACACATTCGCGATTACTCCAAGGAAGCGGTGGTTACCAAAACGGAATTGTGCAGGTACGTACACGTACGTTGACCTCCACAACTCAATCATTTTTTTACAGCGACATGAAACTGTTGAGAAATTGCTTCCGAGATATGGTCTCGCAGCATTGTCCGAACAACAACAACGTCAACGATCTCGTCAAGGGCCTCAGTGACGCAATATACGCGCCGTGCGCTTCGTGCGGCGCGCTCGCGAATTTGGCGCTGACGCTCGCGCTGGTAATTTTAAGTAGGCTATTTTAAAAAGACCAAAGATTTTAAACGAATGGGGATGAAAACGATTTTGTTGATTTATAAAGGGTTTACTTTTTGTTATTCTCAACTTTTCGGTTGAGAAATTGTATTACGCCGTTCGATTTCCTAACTTAAAAGGTCACCAGTTCAAATCTAGAGATAATATGTTTACGAAGCTACGTTTATCTCGTGTATACCTGATAAGATTTCCACGAAAGTGTACTAAATTGTAACGCTATTGTGAAGTATTTTGCTAGATGTATTGCCTGTATGTCCCACCAGGTGTCGTGCACCTGCGCACTTTTTTAAGATGAAGGTATTGTCTATATGGGCGTATGCCCCAGGCAGCTGGCTTGATAGTTTGTGCCTCGATGTTAATATACTCTGAAATGTACCTTAATAGTGCCTACGTATACAAATTCTTCGCATTTTTATATTGTCATTTTCTAATTTAGGGCTCTTGTGGAATGTTTACTGATTAAATGTCTTAAATACACATATAGCAAATGATGCATTTTTTATTAGTAATTAACGCAACATGCCCATACTGATAGCTTACAAGTCGGGTCACAATTAGTTTGACCTCCCTAATCAGTTAATTAAGTCCATTGAAAATATTTAATCGTTTAATCGGGCGATCACTGCTCATTCTCTTTTTGTCTGCACTGCACTTTGCTGCTCCAGATAAGACCAAGATGCAGAAGCTCGTTGGATTGCTGTTTTTCATTGGTAAGTTTAAAGCGTCCACGCTTTCATGTGACGACACGTTTGAATAGGGCTAGCATGTGCCGCCACCGACTTTATGCAACATCTGCCCGGATTACCCAACATTGACGATGTGGCTAATTTGGAAGGCGCAGCCAAGGAAAAGTGCATCCAGCATGGTGGTGAAGACGCATTTAAAACCTTGAAGGTATAAGCGGGTGGTTTTTCGAAATGCTAGCTTTGTTCTTATAGAAACTCGCAGTCGAATTGCAAAGCTTCATCATGCAAAACTTTGAGCCGGTCACTATCAGGCAGGAACTCGAAGAGGCCCGCAAAACCGGATCTATGGACGACGTTTTTAAGAAATACTGCGACCTGAGGCCCGATTTCTTCAAGCACAGTCACAAAGTTAACGACGCCATTGAATCCTGCCTGTCCGAAGCCGAAAGGCCCGTCTTCAAGCTTGGCGTCAACGTGTCTGAGAGCTTAATGGAATTCGTCTGTGAGAAAGACGGAGATCGTGTGGCCAGTATGTGCTAAGGCTTTTTTTTTGTTGTTGTAAATTAATGAGCGTTTCTAGTGTTTATCGCCGAGAACGGATTCGAGTGTATCAAATCCCAACAGGATAATTTGCAGAAGTGCTCCTCGGACATTGTCAACAAGCACAAGCCGACCAACTTCAACGCCATTCCGGCTCTCGCCAAGATCACCAAGGAGCAGTGCACGTAAGTTCTGTTTAAATTTGGAGCAGAAATTAACACACAACTTCACTAGCGAGTACCAATCCTTCCAAAAGTGCGTGGTCGACACTCTCGAGGGATGTACCGAGAAGACACCGGCCAACATTGTCGACGCCTTCTTCAAGTTTGTTTATAAACTAATTCAATGCAAAAATCTTTAATTATTGTACCGTTTCTCTTACAAGTAAATTTATGTCATAACGTTAGCAGTAAATGATGAATCTTATTTTGTAGTTTCAATTGGGCCAAGTTGTGCAATAGGTTGACCTTTGAATGTGCGCACTGATGCTGCTAGGTTAGCCTGTGCCTGTCCCAATTAGCATAAAAGCTTTTGTGAGATAGTGAACGAAAAAGTGTGAAATTACTTTAAGAATTTTGTATTACAGTATAGGTACGTATGCAGGTAATAAAGAAGTGGGACGTGCAACACATGTTCATAATTCAGTGAGTGTTTTAACACTGATAGTGCTCTGACAGCTTGACCTGCTGAAGAGATTTTGCAGTCTAAAACAAAGGAAATACAGTAGCAATCTAGATCTAAAAAGAAAGAAGCGTAGAAGAACTGCAAGGAATTCCGGGAAAAACAGATGACAATAACAAATGAAAAAGTTGAAAAAATAAAGAACACGAACAGAATTGAAGACAAAAAAAATCGGCATAGAATTATAAGAAAGGGATGAAAGAAGAAGGATCCCTGAGAAGAGTTGTAGGAAACAAATCAAAATTAAAAACAACCTCCCTTCTTGGTACTGTTCTTTCGAACCTTCTTTAACACCTACTTGCAGCCTTCTCGATACCTTCCTCAAGTCCTCTTGACTTCTCCTCCAAGTTTCCTTCACGCCAACTCATATTATGCCTTTAAGCTTGAGTGTTCTCAGGGCGCTTCTCCTTTGAAATTACTTGGACGCGTCTTTCAATTCTTTTATTGACGTCTTTTGAGCCTTGTTTACCAACCTTCTTGAAGATTCCTTGTATCCCTTTCAGTATCCTCAGGGCCTTCTTGACGCTTTTTTCCTTTGAGACTTCTTGGATGCGCCTTTTGTAGAATTTCGTCGCACCCCCTTCTTGCCCCTTGCCTTTCATCGGACTTTTCCTTCGAACCTGTTTCGCGTGTCAACATCTTCGTCATGATCTTGGGGGGCCTACCTAGGAAACATTTGAATTTTCGCGATCTCAATATTTAGCAAAATTAATATTTTCAAAAAAGAAGAAACCTGTAAAGTTGAGGTCACTCCTGATAGCCATAAAAGATGAATCTATTATTTTGTACTTTAAACCAAGCACTAATTGCGTAGTAGATCGATCTTGATTTCAGTTTCTTCGAATATGCGCATCCGTTTATATCTATTGTTATTACTGGGTGCGTCCGGAGCAACCTCCAATTCCAGTCCCCCGACCTTTCTGGATTTCGCAAACTTTACGGCGACAGAAGCGCAGATTAGGAACAAGTGTCCGTCCAGTTCCGCCTTTGACAAGTTGAAGGTAAAACCGAAACGCGATCACGCACTTAGTGAATTTGTTAACCTAGGCCGGGTACGCGCAAATTCGCGCCAACATAACCGAAGAGTTTCAACTGGAAACGATTCTAAATGAAGCGGAATCGTTCCGAAAGCGGTTTCTGCACGACGCCCTTTTGGGGTACTGCGACCGTCGGGGCTGGTACAGACGGGCGACCAAGAAGACGCTCCTGGCGTTGCGGAACTGTCTCGACCCCAGCGAAAAATCAGTCATTCACTTAGTGAACGCGGTCATTGAGGTAGTGAACGAGTTTATTTGCTACGAGGATGGGGCTCGAGCTGCAAGTAAAAACTGTTCAGTTTTTCGTCTTCTAAACCATTTATTTTTAGTGTTCGTCAGCGAAGACGGTTTCGAATGCGTCCTAGTCAAAGCGGAGAAGATGCGCACGTGTTTGTCTAATACGATTGCGATCCACCCAACACTGACAATAATCCTGGAGTAAGTCACATCCAGAGCTGGACAGAATACTTTCAAAAAGTATTTGAATACTACCTAAATAGTAAATACTTTACACCAATCAAAGGTATTTGAATACTAAATACTTTTACGTCCCGCACAAGCGAATACTAGATACAGATACATTGAAAAGTATTCAAATACTTTAAAAAAAATATTTGAATAGGTAACTTAAAAGTAGGTACTGCCTTTTTTTGAGGCCGGAAAAAAAAATTGTCTCAGATCGACCCGGAAAAAAATTTTTCTTATAGAATGTGGCCTGTAGAATCCATAATTTCAAACAGTTCCAAGATTGGGCTACTAGTTCAAAAGTTACAGCCCTTTGAATTTTCTTTCGAAATTGGTTTCTAGTCTATAACTTTTGATTGAGAAGTCTGATCGAAAAAGTACGAATTGTTTTTGATTCTACGCACCAAAATTAATAAGAAAAAGTGTTTTCCCGAGAAATTTTGGTGCAGTCGATTTTTGGTAAAAAAGGAAGGTTATACACTGCCTTTTTTTGAGGCCCTCAGAAGAAATTGTCTCAGATCAACCCGGAAAAAAATTTTTCTTATAGAATGTGGCCTGTAGAATCCATAATTTCAAACAGTTCCAAGATTGGGCTACTAGTTCAAAAGTTACAGCCCTTTGAATTTTTTTTCGAAATTGGTTTCTAGTCTATAACTTTTGATTGAGAAGTCTGATCGAAAAAGTACGAATTGTTTTGGATTCTACGCACCAAAATTAAAAAGAAAAAGTGTTTTCCCGAGAAATTTTGGTGTAGTGGATTTTTGGTAAAAAAAGGAAGGTTGTACACTACCTTTTTTGAGGCCCGCAAAAAAATTGTCTCAGATCGACCCGGAAAAAATTTTCTTATAGAATGTGACCTGTAGAATCCATAATTTCAAACAGTTCCAAGATTGGGCTACTAGTTCAAAAGTTACAGTCCTTTGAATTTTCTTTCGAAATTGGTTTCTAGTCTATAACTTTTGATTGAGAAGTCTGATCGAAAAAGTACGAATTGTTTTGGATTCTACGCACCAAAATTAATAAGAAAAAGTGTTTTCCCGAGAAATTTTGGTGTAGTCGATTTTTGGTAAAAAAGGAAGGTTAGTATTCAAATACTTTGCGAAGTATTCGAATACTAAATATTTGTGAAAGTATTTGAGTTACAAAAACAAATACTGCTTCCATAAAAGTATTTAATTACAATGGATTTGAATACTAAAAAGTAAAAACAAAATCGAATACTGCCCAGCTCTGGTCACATCATATATCGATATTTTATCGGCTTAATTCTGCTTTTAGGGATTATCTAAGCATGAGTAAGTGCGTGGTAAGGACTTTGGACGAGTGCGACGACGTCACCGCGGCAAATATGGTGCATGCCTTAATGAAGCGTGTCCACATATTCAGTTCGAATTACACTGCTACTGTTTGACTGTCCCGAGAAGGCAAAGCATTTGTGATGTAATTATTTTATTAAACTGTTCTTTGCTAATTGATTAATTGCGAGTGCCTTAATTAGGAAGTACTTCAAGATTTGAATAATTGTCATCTTGCATGATAATTGGTAGACTTTGTATTTTGTCGGTCTTGACCTTCGATTTATATCCAATGCAATTGAGCAGTTTACTATTCAATAGCATAGATTACACTATCTAAGTACCTAAATTTACACTGTTGTCACGAAACGAAACGAAAGCATATCCTTAGAGAAGGAAAGCGAGGCATAAGAGCATATCAAATTTTCTGATAAAGGTGTGCCCAATTTAAGTGAGAAAAAAAACTGATTCTAGTAAATTAGGACCTGGAGACTCCAAAACACGTGATTAGATTTAGGTGCAACCTGCAGGGGCTGTCGATCAAACAGTGTGGTCTTGCATTTGTTCGTAAGTTTCCACACTAATCAGTTTCGGGGACTTTGGAACTCACTACGTGGTGCGCCATCTACCTACTGTCCGTTGCACTACAGAAATTTTGAACAAAAATAATGATCAACAACGATTTTAATTTTAAAGAAGACGAACAGACTGCCATAGATAACTTTCGAGAATACCTACGAATACCGAGTGTGCACCCCAATGTAAACTATGGTTCGACACTAAATACTGAAGACGAGCATATTCTAATTGTCCCATTTGCAGATGCCTGTGTTAGATTTTTGCAAGCACAAGCAGAGAGTCTCAAACTGCCTTGTCGTGTGTATCACTGTAAACCGAACAATCCGATTGTCGTCATTTCGTGCATCGGCTCCGAGCCGAGCCTAAAGTCGATCCTGCTGAACAGTCATATGGATGTTGTCCCGGTTTTCGAGGTAGGTACAACATTGAATTTACATACTGAAACCTTTCATAAAATTGTAGGATAAATGGACTCACAAACCGTTCGATGCTCACATGGATGAGCGAGGGAATATATTCGCTCGAGGAACACAGGATATGAAGTCGGTCGGTATCCAATACTTGGAGGCCGTTCGGAGATTGCAACGTGACAATGTCGTCTTAAGACGAACAATTCACCTTTCGTTTGTACCTGGTAAAAGTTCACAAATCGAGGGTGGTGTCCACATGTATTGCAGAAATCGTATGATTTTCTTTGAACATTACAATTTGTGGGGAGGAATTATTGATTGAGTATTTATTTTTGAAATACAATTACAAATTCTATCCATATTTAAATAGGGGGTGATTAACGTAGGATCCTATAAGGAAACTATTCAATGGTATTTCTAAAAGTAGCTCTAGTTCAAAACTGCAGAACTTTGTACGGACAGACGGACAAAATGCAAACACGCATTTTTTGACATTTTTTCTTGGGCTCAAAGTACAATAGAAATTCTATTCCTATTTAATAACCCCCCCCCCCCCCCCACCCTCGTGCAGTACACATTAGCAAAAAGGATCAAATCCAACAAATCTCTGACAAATTGTTTATAACGATAGAAGTGTACCCGTATGTGACTTCTTCCATTATTTTAATACTTCAGCGATCATATACGAGTCTTGCGACCTTCATTTAGAATACTTACCCCAAATAGACTAGTCAAAATAGGTGGTTAAGGTAGAAAAAATTAGTAACAAAGTGATCTCTGCGGAAATGAGTACCCAATAGGGTCCTTATTAACCCCTCAAAAATCGCACTTTGTCGCAATGGTGGAACTTGGAAAAAAATGGATATTGGCGTAGTTTTTCTATTATGAAATTCCATGGCATCACAGATTATTGAAAAAGATCGGGGTTTTAATTTTCCAATTTTCCGTCTTTATTATGCAAAAAATTGAAAACTGTATACGGTTGATTGCCGTAAAAAAATTTTTCCTACAAAAACCTTAATACATTTTTGGTCTAAAATAATTTGGGGAGCCAATAATCGCATGTTATGAATTTTACATTGAAATCCCTATGATGCGTTACGCAAGTCACCACCCTGTATAGTGTGTAACGTAACTAATATCATGAATCTTCTTTGGACACCGGTACAGATTTAAAATAATTTTAAGTCCTGTTTTAATTAAAACTGCTATATCTGCATTAAGTTCTTGAAATACATTCTAAGTCTCGACACAGATGTGATAATTATCCAAATCATATAAATTTCAATAACTTTTTGTTTTTTGATCAATAGACTTAAACATTTTTTATCATAGGTAACTTTTGATTCTCCATAAAAAAAGTCTCTTGAGTTTTTTTGATATAATGTATACTTTACGAAATATTTAATAAATTCGAAAAAAATCAAGATGGCGGCCAAAGTGCGATTTTTGAGGGGTTAATAAGGACCCTATTGAGTACTCATTTCCGCAGAGATCACTTTGTTACTAATTTTTTCTACCTCATTTCTATAAATCTGCCTAGATTGACCAGCCTAATAAAGGATAGAACCAGTTTTTAAATAAGTAGATAAAAATCAGATGTTTTGAGAAAACAATTGCACTATTTTGGAAATGTCCAATAAGCCCCGATACAGGATACAACAGAGTACCAAATATGCTAAAAAATACCACTCGTGTTTTTGAAATATTCGAGGTAATTGCTTATAAATTCGCTCTTTTTCAGTCAAATATCGCCCTATTAGTTACTTGTTTACGTAAAAACCACACAATTAGAACAGTTAAATAATGATGAAGAACCGGCAATTGTTACATGGCTACTTGATTTTTTTAATTAAAACTTGGAAATTATCTCCAATATTTCAAAATATAGTATCATACTTTTCTAGTGTATTTGGTCTTAGAATTGCATGCTCTTTCCAAATTCAGCATAAAAGACAGGGTTTCCATAAAAAATTATGAAAGGGTTTACACGCACCCGTCCCCAAGGCTACCTCGATCCTTGCACTCATCCCAATTGTTTATCCGTATGAAAACCTTCTGAGTCTGTGCCTCCACAGCTAAGTGTAAAGGCTCCAGTCCCAGAAGTTGGCGTGGTTTTTAGGGCCCCAGTGACTTCCAGACAGGCGAGTCTCTGGACCTTTCCTTGCTGCTTCCTGTAGGTTACCCTACGCATGGCAGGCCACCATATACAATTGGCCTTATCACTACAGTGTAAAGCCAAGATATCAGTTTTGAGGGTTCAATAAGCTTCATGTACAACCAAAAGTCCTTCTACATGTCCATACACATGTAGTGCCCTTTTTTGCTTATTCGCTCGATGTGCCCTTTCCAGGATCAATGATGACTCCCAAATATTTCAGTGACCTAATCAGACCCAGTTGATAAAACATGTCGGCAATGATGTTATCTTTACTAGAAACATGCTGGATATCAGTTGAAAACTGACTGATGAAATCTAGTTGGCGGTGAGGATTTTCGGTTTTTTCGGTTTAAATGCCCAATCGGAGGTTTTTGATCGGGATGAATCGGAAGCAGAGACCCGGACCCAAATGAAATATCGGTTCCTGTTCTGTTTATATTTAAGCGAAAATATTTATAACGGTTCCGGTCCGGTTTCGGTTCTAAAAAGAAATAATGGTTCGGTTCTGCGCATTTTTTTCGGTCCATAACGGTTATTTGCGGTTCTAGTCTTTTAGAAAGTATGGCATTCAAAAAATTCATTATAAAAAAGTGATTTGTTAATAATAAGTGTGAAAAAGAAGTCATGAATACCAAAACGTGACGTATCGTCAGTGTAGTTAATTTATAACGACAAGGGGAATAAAGGAGGAAGAGGGAGATATGTATTTAAACTTAATTTATTACTAAAAAACAGAAAAAATACACAAAAAGTAAGAAAAATGTGTATTGTTTTTAATTTTTATTTTCTAAAACCTCACCCCTCCTTTTATTATTTACATTTACAGTAGTTGCTAAATTAGCGCCACCGCCACCCGTAATACCTTCAATTTCGACACCTTATTAAAAATTTATAACCCACCGATGGATCAAATAGAGTAATATTTTATCAATCTTCAGGACGTGGTTGCCGGCGCGTCCTTCAACTTCCAATAACCTGTTAAGAACCGTAAAAAACCGAAAAGAACCGAAAAAAGTAATCTGGGTTCCGGTTCTCATTACGTTTTCATTTCTGAAGTAATAACGGTTTCGGTTCGGTTTTCGGTCCAGAAAAAATACCGGTTTCGGTCCGGTTTTCGGTTCTTTTTCGGTCCGGCCCGGGTCCCTGATCGGAAGTAAGTAAGGACTTTTCAGATGGAATTATACTTCCGTCCGGATACTACTATGCATTCATCTACTGTTTCAAAAAGTCTAAGAATTCAAATGTTCTGAAAATCTCATGATTTTAGTCTGAACATTGTACTTAAGTGACTATACAATTTATGTGGGCACCCCCTCACGGCAAATCTTGATGTTAATAATCGCCTTCATTTCCAGACGAGGAGCGCGGCGGGGAGCTGGGAATGAGAGAATTCGTAAAAACCGAAAGCTTCAGGAAACTAAACGTCGGATTCGCGTTAGACGAAGGACTGGCTAGTGTCGACGATACTTACAAAGTCTATTACGGCGAAAGAACATGTTGGCGTAAGAATCCAGTCTTGTAGTAGAGCGTTCACAACATTTGATCGATCAGGTTTTCACATCCACTGCGTTGGTACCGCCGGACACGCCTCTTTGCTCACCGAGAATAACGCCGGTGACAAGATCAGGCACTTACTCGATAGGTTTTACGATTTTCGCGATGAAGAAAAGCGGAAATTGAAAGATTTGCGAATTGGGGATGTTACAAGCGTAAACTTAACGATGCTCCAAGGAGGCGTTCAACTCAATGTAATTCCGAACGAGTTGATCATGACTGTAGACTCGAGGATTGCTCCGACGAGAAATCTGGAGGAGTGGCAGCGGACCCTCGAGCGGTGGTGCAAGGAGGCGGGTGAGGGGACGTTCATCGTCTTCGATCAGAAACATCCCCAAGTACCGGTCACGTGCATAGATAACTCGAACCCTTACTGGGTCGCTTTTAAAAACGTTTTCGAGCAGCTGTAAGTGTTCAAAACCCCAAATCAATTTGCTACGCAATTTGTTTCAGGGATCTACGCATGGAAACTGAAATATTTCCCGCGGGTACCGATTGTCGTTACATTAGAGGAGTCGGTATTCCGGCAATCGGATTTTCGCCAATTTGTAATACGCCAGTTTTACTCCATGACCATGATGAGCACTTGAATGTTCGAGTGTTTCTTGATGGTATCAATATTTATTATAGGCTTATAAAATCTATTGGCAATTGTTAACAAATTGTTATCTACTATGTACTATATGCGATCAAAAATGAGTTTCTGTCAAGTCGCCTTTGAAATTTATGTTTTCATGGAAAATCGTACTTAACTTGAACTTCCAAAGGCGACTAGACAGCAACCCATTTTTGATTTATTTAAAATAAATATTTCTGTGTAGTCATATTTGTCAAAAATTAACATTTCAAGTCGAGAGGAACTAACTGAAGCAGTTCAAGGAAAGCTAGTACAATTAGAATAGTCTGTACTAGCGGTATAAGGGCAATTCTTGAAAGATACTGCATTTTGTGATACCAAATACTGAGTACGACGTCTTCAGAAAGTTTGGTATCTTGGCAGGGAAGCCTCTCATGCACTTCCGACTCCTATAGGTCATTTTTGTTAGCATAAATCAATTCCTTGACCCCAAAAACATAAATCTAGAACCTTACACGACCACGGTGTGTTTTAAAAATATAATTCAACCGAAAGTCTTGCTAATTGCTGATTTTGACGGACTTCCCCTATTCCCTATCCGGATTAAGTACATTTCTGGCGCTACCATTAGATTCCTCGGATTAAAATCATGTTAATCACCCCCATCCCTTCTAAAATCTACCCGTACGGAAAAGTCACGTGTTCTTCGGGCCAAATCGTCTAAATGATTCCAAGGAACAGCTGTACTAAGTGGTCCCTTGGTATCACAAAATGCAGTATCTTGGGGCGTACCGCTAGTACTAGAACTAACGTTTGAGGGACGATTTGGACATCGGAATAAGGAACCGACGAATATGTCACTTTGCGCTAGCTTTGTCGCCATAGAGCCTTTTTTTTTTGCTAAAAGTGTGTTTGGTAAATACCAGACGTTGGGTCAAGTAGATGGGGTAGTTTTAAAAGCATTTAGATTTCATTGAACTCAAAAATGCCAGTAGAAAACAGCGGCGATTTTTATTAAGAAAAATTTCAATTCTCAATTATTAAGGCATATGGTTACTAAAGATAACCGAGGTTGCGTCGACCGACGCCGACCTCGCCTCTTATCGCTTCACCTGTAACAATTCGACGCGCATTCCTTGGTGAAAGTTTAAACTGTGCGGTTAATTTGGAGTAGTTCCGATGGTCAATGGGGTGAATGGTAATGGTCTTTCGCTTGGAGAGACTGCAACTGATAAGGCTAGGGTGAGTTTTTATTTTTAATTATTTGGGATACATGCAAAACTCACTCAACCCCAAAAATCATCCCCTAAATCCCCAATTAAATTAATTTAGTGTTTTGAGTCCGCGTTTTGGGTCTTTGAGTGTAGCACCATTAGTCACTACGCATCATTCTAGAATCGGAATTTTGGTTTCTTATGAGACGCGACGTAAAAACCCAAAAAAAAGTACCTAATTATTGTACGCATGATTAAATTAAAACCCCATTCTAAATTTATTGCGATTCTTTCATTTCTTTCCAAAAATTTGGCAAACATGTGCCATTTACAAACAGGGCATTAGTCATCCATCAACAGATGTGCTGATGATTGTTGAAGAAAATGATCTCAAATGATCATAGGTATTTTTACTGCTAAATAAAAGTAAATTTGGTTTTATTGGATACAAAGTTTCAATTCTTCATTTTTTACGTGATTCCTGAACTCCGAGTATTAGCCAAAATGTATTTAGTATAAATAGAGCTTTGGGGGTTTGACTATAATTCTAATAATAATTACAGCTCCTATTTATTTAACTAGATTAAGATTTAGGTTTTTTTAAATCGGCAGCATTGTTATTAAAAAAGGTAGGTAATTATTGATTGGATTAAAAATCAAAATCTTCTCGTAAATAAATAAACTGCGATACTTTCTTTATCAAAAACTTCATGATACCTGCAAGTTGCAGATAAGCTATTAGTCATTAACGTATGAGCCGTTTAAATATACCTATATGTATTTGGATTTTGAATGGTACCTATACTAAGTACCTACAGGATAATTCCCGATAATTCCAAAATCATTACAGGTTACTATAAACAGTATAAACCAAGATCGGACAAATATATCACTTTACGGTAGCTTTGTCACCATAGAGCCTTTTTTGTTGCTAAAAGTGCGTTTGTTAAATTCAAGCACACCGAAGGACCGGCTTTTGCTGCCCGCAAATTCAACGATTTTATGAGTAATGTGGTTGGTATTAAACGTTGAGATAAAAAAATAAGTAAATGGGGTAGTTTTAAAAGTAGTTTAGATTTCATTGAACTCAAAAAAGGCTATTATTTCAATTCAAAATTAAGGCATATTATAGTGACTAAAGGTCAAATTTTCTTAGTCGCAGTTTGCCTAGAAAATTTCAAGAAATGAGAGGCGGGAACCTTACAAATTTTCTTAGATTTTTTTAGCGCATTTTTTAACGAGGTTGCGCCGATGCCGACCGAAACTGTTATCGCTTTGCCTGTAACAATCCGACGCGCATTCGTTGGCAAAAGTTTAAATGGTGTGCGCGTGTTTGTGGTGTCCTTCCAATGGTTAATGGGGTGAATGGTTATGGTTCTTCCCTTGGAGAGACTGAACTCTTTAAGGCTAAGGGTGAGTGGGTATTCCGTATTTGTTTAATTGTGAGCCATATAAACTTACCAAACCCGCAAAAATATCATTATTGCTGTACCACATTCCCAAAATTCTGTTAAAATATCTATCTTAAAATGCACTTAAGTTTTGGGTCTTTTAATACCTTACCCTCAATGCAGTACCATTATAGTCATTGCGCATATCGGAATCGGAATTTTGGTTTCTCATGAGACGCCGTAAAAACGCAAAAAAGGTACCTAATTATTACGTTCGCATGATTAACCTCATCCTAAATGTATTGCGATTCTATACTTTCTTTCTTTATCAAACATTTTGAACACGTGTCCTTTCTACAGGTATCTAAGTGTTAATTATCAACAGATGTGCCGTTGATGAAAATTATCCTAAATGGTCATATTTTTACTGCTGGTCATTTTGTATATAAATTTTGAATTTTTTTACGGGATGCCCTCTAAATAAGTATTTCCGGAACTTTGCCAAAAAGTACCTATTTTAATACCTAAATGCGTCTCCTTTTAGGGATTGACTAAAATTCTGATTACCGCTCCTATTTAATTAGATTTGACTTTTTTTAATCGGCAGTAGATAATTAGTCATTGTTAACGTGATTTGAAATTGATTTTTGATTTTCGTGAAGTAACGCAAAGACTAACAAAAAGGTAATCATTGATCGAATTAAAAATGAAAATCCTATCGTAAATAAATTGCGATACTTTCTTTACCAAAAACTTCACGAAACCTGCAAGTTGTAGATAAGCCATTAGTCATCCCTCTTCAACATATTCCTCGTTCAAAAATACGTCGCCTATCAAAAATCATTACACATGTTGCTAAATCAAGGTAGATTTGAATATAAATTTTCAAACGGAAAATTGTTGCGTTCTTAGTTTTCTCTGTTTTCCAAAAAGGAGCGAGGGTTAGCCAAAAATATATCAAGCAAACTAAGTTGCTTTTGAAGACTTACACGCTTTTAAATGAAATATTTTTTTATGCAGAAACGCAAATGGAGCCATTTTTGTTATATGGAAAGCCAGTGCATTAATGTTACGGACTTGCAATTTTAACCATTTAGGCCTTTGCATCATTGCCGTGTTTATTTCATCCGGTAGGATGAAATGTAGGAAACTTTAGTTAAGATGGACAAGGAAGGGCGGTCTTCTTCTTACGTAATTAACATTTGTAATTAAGTAAATTTTATTAATTTGTCGTTGGTCTATGTAACGGCATGGGGATTATTTGGATCATACGCGAAAGGGATCAAGGTTATTTTTGTTTACATTTTTATTTAAGGTAGACATTTCTGGGAATTTTATTTGGTTTTTATCTGTTATCAAATTTAAATGCTTAATTTAATTGACAGGTGGATGTGATTTATCGCCTTTTCTGAGTAGTTAAGAGAGAAGTTTTATTTTTTCCTAGAATTGATTTATAAAAATTAATCTACCTTAATTTTTCTTGACCTACTAACGTACGTCGAGGGGGTAGTCTTTGTTGTCAACTGTGTATTATTATGGTTGTTGTAATTTTGATTTTCGGAAGCAGTTGAAAAATGCGCAAAAAATATTCTAAGAAATTTTCTTAGTCGCAGTTTGCCTAGAAAATTTCAAGAAATGAGAGGCGGGAACCTTACAAATTTTCTTAGATTTTTTTAGCGCATTTTTTAACGAGGTTGCGCCGATGCCGACCGAAACTGTTATCGCTTTGCCTGTAACAATCCGACGCGCATTCGTTGGCGAAAGTTTAAACCCTGTGCGCGTGTTTGTGGTGTTTTTTCCAATGGTTAATGGGGTAAATGGTTATGGTTCTTCCCTTGGAGAGACTGAACTCTTTAAGGCTAAGGGTGAGTGGGTATTTGTTTAATTGTGAGCCATATAAACTTACCAAACCCGCAAAAAATACCATTATTGCTGTACCACATTCCCAAAATTCTGTTAAAATATCTATCTTAAAATGCACTTAAGTTTAAGTCACTGTTTTGGGTCTTTTAATACCTTACCCTCAATGTAGTACCATTATAGTAATTGCGCACATCGGAATCGGAATTTTGGTTTCTCATGAGACGATGTAAAAACGCAAAAAAGGTACCTAATTATTACGTTCGCATGATTAAACTCATCCTAAATGTATTGTGATTCTATACTTTCTTTCTTTATCAAACATTTTGAACACGTGTCCTTTCTACAGGTATCTAAGTGTTAATTAGCAACAGATGTGCCGTTGATGAAAATTATCCTAAATGATCATATTTTTACTGCTGGTCATTTTGTATATAAATTTTGAATTTTTTACGTGATGCTCTCCAAATAAGTATTTCCGTAATTTGGCCAAAAAGTACCTATTTTAGTACCTAAATGCGTCTTCTTTTAGGGATTGACTAAAATTCTGATTACCGCGTCTATTTAATTAGATTTGGAGTTTTTTAATCGGCAGTAGGTATTAGTCGTTGTTAACGTGATTTGAAATTGATTTTTGATTTTCGTGAGATAACGCAAAGACTAACAAAAAGGTAATCATTGCGATCGAATTAAAAATGAAAATTCTATCGTAAATAAATTGCGATACTTTCTTTACCAAAAACTTCAAGACACCTGCAAGTTGTAGATAAGCCATTAGTCATCACTCTTCAACATAATGCGTCGCCTATCCAAAATCATTACATATGGTGCTAAATCAAGGTAGATTTGAATACAAATTTTCAAACTGAAAATTGTTGCGTTCCTAGTTTTCTGTTTTCCAAAATGTGCGAGGATTAGCAAAAAAATATATCAAGCAAACTAAGTAGCTTTTGGAGACTTGAATGCTTTTAAATGAAATATTTTTTTATGCAGAAACGCAAATGGAGCCATTTTTGTTATATGGAAGTTACGGACTTGCAATTTTAAACATTTAGGCCTTTGCACCAATAAGTTAAGCTAATATTGCCATGTTTATTTCATACGGTAGGATGAAATGTAGAAAATCTTATTTAAGATGGACAAGGGCGGTCTCCTTCTTACGTAACTAACATTTGTAATTAAATTTTATTAATTTGTCGTTGGTCTATGTAACGGCATGGGGATTATTTGGATCATACGCGAAAGCGATCAAGGTTATTTTTGTTTACATTTTTATTTAAGGTAGAAATTTCTGGGAATTTTGTTTGGTTTTTATCTGTTATCAAATTTAAATGCTTAATTTAATTGACAGGTGGATGTGATTTATTGCCTTTTCTGAGTAGTTAAGAGAGAAATTTTATTTTTTCCTAGAATTGATTTATACAAATTAATCTACCTTAATTTTTCTTGACCTACTAACGCACGTCGAGGGGGTAGTCTTTGTTGTCAACTGTGTATTATTGGTTGTTGTAATTTTGATTTTCGGAAGCAGTTGGAAAATGCGCAAGAAAATATTCTAAGAAATTTTCTTAGAAAATGCTAAATAATTCGCAGTCTGCCTAGAAACTTTCAAGAAATGTGAGAAGGGAAAGCTTACGAATTTTCTTAGATGTTTTTAGCGCATTTTTTAACGAAGTTGGGTGGGAAAATTTCTTGAAGAACCTTTCAAAGAATCTTTTAGATAGAAAAATCGTATTAGAAAGCATATTTTTTACAGCAGCTGTAGGACATAGACACAATTCACAAACCATCCTAGGAAATCACATTAGAAACGGACTGGGGTTCTTTGGAAATCTTAATTTGGTTAAAAATTTTGCTCTTGGAAACTACTTAAAAATATAAGACCCCTTAGAAAGTCCGTCGAAGCCATCTTCCAAAATGTCTTAAAAACAACGTTAATAGAAGAAAATCGTCTTGGAAACTTGTTAAAATCTCTCTCGTAATTCTAATTGCCTTCTAAAATGCTCTACAAATCTTAAATTTAGAATTTATAAAGACATTTCTTTAAGATTAGCTATTTATTTGAAAATCCTATCGGAAATCTACAGGATTTTCTAAGATTTTGCTAGAAACCTGTTAAAGAATTTTGCTCTTGCTAAACGTTCTTTTCAAACCGTCTTCGCAATTATAGAAAGAATCGCAGTGAAAATATTCTAAGGATTTTACCTTCAATATCAATACTTTTAATAAGTTCCTCATCTTCATAATAATTTTTCTAAAAAGCAAATCATCTTAGTAACGTAGAAACGATTTTCTTAGAAATAATCTTAGACGTCATTTTAGAAAATAATAAATAGGTACCATAAAATGTCTTTGAAATCCTCCTAGAACAAATTAAAAATCTTAGCGATGGTGGAGATATTCTTCAAGATCTTCAAACCAACTCCGAAATTTTTAGGAAAGATTCTTTGATAGTATTCTTGGTTTTTTTTTGATATATTCGGCAGACTTTTCTTAAGAATCATTTTGAAAATATTCTCAGAAAAATCCCTAATAATTTAGTTTTCTTAAAAAAATTACATTGAAATCTTCTTTAAATTGAAACCGGTTCCCATAAACAATTTTTTTAGAGGCGTTATACGTGCTTTTATTAGAAACTTTCTCGTAATTTTCTTATAAAAACCATTAAGAGCTTTTATGTTAATTTTCTCAAAAATTGGATTAATCTCTGAGAAGATTTGCAAACGTCCGAAGAGATATTTCTAGAAACCATCTTAAAAGAGATTGCCTTAGAAATTGGACCCTGGAATCTTTTCGGAAACTTTCTTGGGAATCTCTCTAGGAGGCTTCTTAGGAAAATCTTGTTGAAATCGTTTTTAGAAATTGTTATAAAAATCCTTTATTTCCTTTAAAAATGCTGGAAGCCTCCTTATTTTGCCAAAGGTGACTTACTAGAAACTTTGGTCACGTATTTTTGTATACACATAATTTTGCAATTAGAATTTAAATTTTTAGTGTGCTTCTGGGGGAATTTTTGTCTCTAATTTTTGGTTAAATTTTCTGAATTTTGAAAATTCCTCCATTCTAGTTTGTTCAATTTGAATCACTGCAATCCCCAAAATTGATCTGCTGCTAAAGGAATATTTCCACGTGTTGCATGCATGTGGTCGAGGGGTATTAAAGGTGCACACCCCATGTCCTAACTATGAATCAATCCGCTTGATCGTTTTCATTACGGCATCCTGTATTTGTGGCTTTTTGTAAATTGGTTCTACTTAAATACGAAGAGGCGATTTGCAAAACTAACACACATTAATTACTATTGTTGTTTAAAAATCGCGTTTAATGTGAATTTACATTTCACTGTTAGCACATTAGCTAAAAATGGTTTTAAGGTTCTTAACTGAAATTCAGAAATTTTATTTTTACAAATTTGTAGGTTTCTGGACACTTTGAATTTAAGTTCTGGGAATTTTGAGATTATTCACTGTCTGTCGGTATTCCAAAGTTCCTAAAATAATTTGAAAAATACTGCATTATTGTTTTGACACCATTTTAATTAAAACGAAATTAAGAAATTTCAGCGAATTCTAGGATTTTCCCTGTATTTGGACATGCTCCTAGCAAATTAATTAGAAACTCTCTAAAAATTGTGTACTTTTTATCTTTTCTGAAAAAAAATTTTAATTCTTAAACTTGGCATTTTGTATTTTATGTAAATTTACAGTTTTTTATTTGTTTAAAATTTGGTTAATTTAAATTCACTTTCATTTTACAAATTTTGAGAGGCTCTGGGAACTTTGGAAAAGCCTCTAAACCTAAACAAGCTTAAAAATGTTCTATAGGAAAATCACTCCACAAATCATTGAATCTGTGGAAAATATGTATAACCAATCTTGGTAGGGGGTAGGGCCGTAAGGGGATGGGATAGAATACAGTTCTTTTAGTTGTGATCTTTCATTAGAGTACCTACATTTTTTAAATTTAATTATTCATCTGAAAATGGTTGTAAACCGCCGAAGTCGTTTTTGAGGGACAGACGGACGGACAAATATATCACTTTCCGGTAGCTTTGTCGCCATAGAGCCTTTTTTGTTGCTAAAAGTGCGTTTGTTGAATTCAAGCACACCGAAGGACCGGCTTTTGCTGCCCGGATCAACGATTTTATGAGTAATGTGGTTGGTATTAAACGTTGAGATAAAAAAATAAGTAAATGGGGTAGTTTTCAAAGTAGTTTAGATGTCATTGAACTCAAAAAAGGCTATTATTTCAATTCAAAATTAATGTAGGTATATTATGGTGACTAAAGGTAAACGAGGTTGCGCCGATGCCGACCGAACCTATAATCGCTTTGCCTGTAACATTCCGAAGCGCATTCGTTGGCGAAAGTTTAAACGGTGTGCGCGTGTTTGTGGTGGTGTTCCAATGGTTAATGGGGTAAATGGTTATGGTTCCTCCCTTGGAGAGACTGAACTCTTTAAGGCTAAGGGTGAGTGGGTATTTGCAAAATTTATTTCCAAAAATATCATTATTGCTGTACCACATTCCCAAAATTCTGCTAAAATATCTTTCTTCAAATGCACTTAAGTTTAAGTCACTGTTTTGGGTCTTTTAATACCTTACCCTCAATGTAATACCATTATAGCCATTGCGCACATCGGAATCGGAATTTTGGTTTTTCATGAGACGCCGTAAAAACGCAAAAAAGGTACCTAATTATTACGTTCGCATGATTAACCTCATCCTAAATGTATTGCGATTCTATACTTTCTTTCTTTATCAAACATTTTGAACACGTGTCCTTTCTACAGGTATCTAAGTGTTAATTATCAACAGATGTGCCGTTGATGAAAATTATCTTAAATGGTCATATTTTTATTGCTAGTTATTTTGTATACAAATTTTGAATTTTTTTACGTGATGCCCTCTAAGTAAGTATTTGCGGAAATTGGCCAAAAAGTGCCTATTTTAGTACCCACATGCGTCTCAAACAAAAAGTGAATCATTGATCGAATTAAAAATGAAAATCCTATTGTGAATAAATTGCCGATACTTTCTTTACCAAAAACTTCACGACACCTGCAAGTTGTAGATAAGCCATTAGTCATCACTCTTCAACAAATGCCCCGTTCAAATGTATACGTCTTATCCAAAATCATTACATATGTTGCTAAACCAAGGTAGATTTTTGAATACAAATTTTCAAACGGAAAATTGTTGCGTTCTTAGTTTTCTCTGTTTTCCAAAATGTGCGAGGGTTAGCCAAAAAATATATCAAGCAAACTAAGTTGCTTTTGGAGATTTGCATGCTTTTAAATGAAAATTTTTTATGCAGAAACGCAAATGGAGCCATTTTTGTTATATGGAAAGCCAGTGCATTCATGTTAAGGAAATTTTAAACATTTAGACCTTTGCAACAATAAGTTAAACTAATAAATTAAATTAATAAATGTTATTAAATCTTATTATTTGTATCATACAAGAAAGCGGTCAAGGTTGTTTTTGTTTACATTTTTATTTAAAGGTAAAAATGTCTGGGAATTTTGTTTGGTTTTTATCTGCTATCAAATGTAAATGCTTAATTAAATTGACAGGTGGATGTGATTATCGCCTTTTCTGAGTAGTTAAGACAGAAATTTGATTTTTTCCTAGAATTGTTTCTCTTAAATGCCTGATAACAAATTGATTTATAAAAATGAATCTACCTTAATTTAGCGCAATTGATCTTCCTAAAAATCTTAAAACATAATTCCAGAATTTTAACGAAATATGCTTTGAGTTCTTTGAGGAATCGTTTTTTAACATAATCAGAAAAGTTTTCCTAAAAATCTTTTTGGAAATTTTCGAAACTTTTAAGAAGGTTCTTAAAAATCTAAATTGAAGCTTTCGCTAAATCTACTTTTTTATACAGGGTGGCAATTTGAAAACTTACCACTCCTCATGTCTTAGTAAATAAACGAGATATTTTAAAAAATTAAAATCCGCTTCGGTAATTCGGAGTGGAATCACAATGACATAGTTGACGACGCACCCCCTCCAACCCCCTGCGCCCCAGCACCCCAACTTTTAAATCTTAATTAGTGCTCCCCCCATGTGTGATACGTCGTTGGAAAGCTCTGAAAAAATGCTTTCATATTTCGACATTTTTGAATTACTCTCTGTCTTAGTTCGCCGGTTGCGTTTTAAATACGACAGATTTCAAATGTATCATATTAGTTTATTTTTTGATTTGCACGATAATTACTAACCTAAATGTAATGCTATTTGGTATGGTTGGAAAGCATTTTTTCATAGCTTTCCAACGACATATCGCACATGGGGGGTCACTATTTAAGATTTAAAATTTGGGGAGGCTGGGGCGCAGGGGGTTGAGGAGGTCATTGTGATTCCCCCTCCGAATTACCGAAACGGATTTTGATTTTTTTAAATATCTCGTTTATTTACTAAGAAATGGGGGGTAGTAAGTTTTCAAATTGCCACCCGGCATTTCTAAGAAACGTTTTTAAGAAAATCAAGTTTTAGGGCACCTCTCCCTGGAATTTCTTTAATTTTCTTGAATATCCGAAAAGATATGTTGTTTGAAAATCAAATGAAAGTAAATAAATAACTAGACATGTGTTTGTGGATGGGGGGATCGTATCCTACAGCCCAACGTTCAATTAATTTAGCCCAGATCGTTTTCTTTGTGCCATCCTGTATTTGAGACTTAAACCAGTTGCGCAGAAACCAATAATTCTTATCGCAACAAACGAATGACTTATGTTCTCACTTTTTAGTCCTTTGTCTGTCGGTTCACGTTGTAGCCCAATCTCTTCCCTAGTGATAACTGTCAGAAATTGCTTTTTTCGTTGATTATATTGCAGCCGAAAAATATCAAACTTGCCATCTTTCTTAGTCCAAATCATTATAAATACAGGGTGTCCAAAAGAGACTGTTTAGTTAACTGGTTGTACTAGAAAATAAACCGAAATCATTATTTGAAATAGAATATCCTTATTTTTATCGTTTCCTTTCTAATTCTACACGTTAAATTTTAATTAAAACCTTGGTTTCTGAATTATTAACGAGCTCCTAGCGAGTTTATAATTTTGCGATGTCTGTCCGTCCGTCCGTCCGTTAGTACGATAACTCATAAACGAATGGACCGATTACAATGAAATTTCTTTATCAAATTTGTAAATCGGAGTTCGTGAATTGGCAATGTAGATCAAAAAATAAAGTAGGCCCTTTTGACATCTCCGTTAGTTATGAACCGAATTGCATGATATTCAATACGCGCATAGCTCTAGCCATATTAAACACAATTCCAAAAGTTGAGTCTAATCGATCAGCATTCACAGTGCCCTTTGCGCATCTCCACCATTTACAGACCGAATTGCAAAGTTTCTTATTTATGAAGTCATTTAAATAAAATTTGATACATAGCCACTTGGAATAAAACCCAATTTAACCCCAGTTTCAAAATTTGGTTTTGCGCATGCGCAGGGCCAACTTTCTTATTTATGGAGGCATTCAAATGAAATTTGGTATATACATATACACTTTAAATAAAAGCAAAACTAACATCCGGTTTAAAATTTGGTCATTTGGCCATACCCAAGAGCTCGTTTTCTATATTTGTTTAGTTTATTTAGTATGTATACCCTTTTTAAATAAATATACTCTTGTTTCGCAACTGTTTGACGTAAATTTTCTTGTTACAGATTCCAGAAGGGCAGCCTTATTAAGGTAGGATTTTTCTTTTTTATGCATGGGTCTATCGTATTTCTTTTTTTTTATGTATTTAGCAGTGAGAGTGGGAAGTGATTAGTGTACATACGACTATAGTGTAGTTGATTTTCGTATCATAGTAATAAGTGGAGTTGTAATCATCTCCTCAGTCGAGCAACTTGGTAAAGTAAATTGACTGCAATGATCCATTCGCCAAAATTCACTTTACTGTACATAGACCAGTATGACTATGAATTCACAGCCATGCCAGTTTTGTAAAGTAAACTGATTTTCCCTGAGAATGCGACTGTTGCAGCAAATTTCTCCTTTCCCAAGCGAACTGACTTTAATCAAATGCAGACCATTGCTTAACGTTATACCTCATTTATTATCTACACGAAAATCAACTTAGAAGAAGGTAAGTGCGATTGTGTTCAAAAGAATAGGTTTCCTAAAATAAGCCTACTATCTAATCTTTCCGTGTGTTCGCAGAGCCATTGCTGCCCTTATTGGAAGACTTGCGCCACTTGCTTTTACTGATGAAGATCCAACGCCACTTTTCTCCTCGATTCTGTCAAACGAGGTGAGTACACCACTGTCGTTACAGTTCTACAGCAACTGGCAACTGGATTTTGACTTCAAACATAGCACGACCAAGTGCCCATCATCCATGTATAAATTCTTCATTCTAAAATTTCTTCAATGCGGCATTAGGAGCAATAATATAATATTTTACCTTTCAGAGACTGGTAATGGTAGTATCACGTGCCTTTACTACAAGACCTTCGCGACCTGCATCTGCTGGTGAAGATCCAACTCCTGCCAGAGTCACGTTTGCCCTAAATCTCGTTGAACGAGGTGAGTACGCCATTGTCGTGATAAATACATCTCATTAGCACTGTGTACCTTCTTCATTCCAAAGTTTCTTGGCGGGATTAGAAGCAATAATATAATTTTTTACCTTCCAGATATCGGTAATGGGAATATCGTTTGCTCGTACTACAAGATTTGCGCGACCTGCATCTACTGGTGAAAATCCAACTTCTGCTAGACTCACCTACCCTAACTCCTGTTGAACGAGGTGAGTACGCCATTGTCGTGCTTCCATCATTTGATAAATACACCTCATTATCAGTGTGTACCTTCTTCATTTCAAAATTTCTTCAATGCGGCATAAGAAGCATATTATTTTTTACTTTTCAGATATCGGTAATGAGAATTATCGTTTGGCCTTACTACAAGACTTGCGCGACCTGCATCTACTCGTGAAGATCCAACTCCTGCCAGAGCCACGTCTACCCTAAATCTCGTTGAACGAGGTGAGTACGCCATGTCGTGCATCAGTGTGTAGCTTCTTCATTCCAAAATTTCTTGAATGCGGCATTAGAAGCAATAATAATAATTTTTTATCTTCCAGATATCGTTAATGGGAATATCATTTGCTCGTACTACAAGATTTGCGCGACCTGCATCTACTGGTGAAGATCCAACTTCTGCTAGACCCACCCACACCAACTCCTGTTGAACGAGGTGAGTACGCTATTGTCGTTCATTTATTTGATTTAACTAAATATCAGTGTTGTACCTACCTTCTTCATTCCATAACATTTTAGCAATGCGCCATTAGAAGATAATAATAATACTGTACTTTTCAGGTATTGGTGCACCTTACCATGCTCGTTTGCCAGGAGTCGGAGTGCGATTGTGCCTCCTGTGGATAATGGTCCTTCTCGGGAGAGTCCCAATTATTAAGGCTAAAGGTAAGTTTCCATTTTTTGCGTAGTTGTAAGCGTAGTCATTTACTAACATCCCTTTCAACAAACAACAATTTTGAATTTCCGGAAAGATTCCCAAAATGTCTGCAAGCCCTTTTCCCGCAGAAAGTTTTAATCCTGTTTATTTTGCGCTTACCATAGAATTTTCTGGTTTTTTTAACGTAAATCCTCTCCTTGTTTCAGATTTCAGATGAGCAGCCTTATAAAGGTAGGATTTTTTTTCTATGCATGGGTTTTTTTTATTTTTTATGTATGCGGCATCAGCGAGACCACTTGAGTTTTGCGTTTTTATTTGCGAAAATCTCTCACGCGAAATGTTTCGTACAACGGTATGCGGTCGAAATATCTTTTGAAATTTGAATTTTAACTGAAAAATTGACTTAACATTCTTATAAATTTGAAAGTTACGAAGGCCACCATCACCTTCCGTAAATTCCAATGAAATCTCTAATCAAATTTTGAATTGAAATTAACATTAGGATAAACATAAATTAGAAAAATCGACACATTAAAATAAAACTACCTGGATCCCAAAGTGGGATACAAATTGACACGTAATTAATTATTAAAAACAAATTCGTTTTCGGCCCATTACAATTTAGAATTCTTCACTTCACTCGAAATCTAAAAATTCAGGATAAGGGAGTCTGATTCGCTATCGTTTTCGGTAAATAAATCTCATTTAGAGATTTTGGGGCACACTTAATTTCTTAGAAATATAAGTAAGGTCCAGTAGCCTTTGAGAAATTTTCGTTCTGTAAAATTTAAAACACAAGAATAATGGACGTAGACACATATACCTAGGAGGAATTTTAGGGGGTTGAAAAGAAAGATTAAGGGGTACTTTTTTATTATTAACGGAAGATTTATTGCAGTGATTAAGTCTTATTTGGGGGTTCAGTGGGGCCACTTGAGTCATCTGCGGATGGCCAACGCCCACCCCCATTTTTTTTAGAATTAAAACTCTAAAAATAGGCAGATTTCTTTATTCTAAGGTTTGAGGACGAAAAAATAATCCGAATTGTATCTTGGGCACAGTTTATTAGAAAGTTTATAAATATCCATAGAACTTTCTTAAGTATTTTTGGAATATTTGTAGAAATCTCCTTGAATGAATTCCCTATTTCGAAATTTCAATACTTAAACTTCTGGAAGAAGTACACCGGGTGAATTTTTAGAACGTGTCTTGGACTTCGGTACTGTTCGAAAATGTCTCAGGTTTTTTTCAGCAATTCTGTAGAATTGTTCTAATTATACATAATTTCTATTATAATGACGCGGGTTCGAACCCCCCAAACGCGCGGTTTTTTCTATAATAGATCACGGTGAGGCCACTAACCGAATCACTGAGAGACTGAAAAGTGATAACGTAACGTAGATTTAGTATACAAACGACATATTGACGGTGAGAGTTATAAGACTGGGAAAGTTGAAAGTAATTCCAAGATATGATTGATAAATGAAATAATAAACCATAGAAAGAAATAAAATTCAAACTTAATTGTAATAAAAAGCCAGTATACATTTTTTGTAATTTTTTTAAAATTAGAGTAAAAATTGTACGGTAACCTTATCGAGAACCACTGTTGTAGCCGATTTAGAAGCCTAGACGAGCTTAAATTTATTTATTATATTTATAATAATTTATTTATTTATTTACAGCCCACCAGGCAAGTTTGATTGTATTGGGCAATTCGGGAGTTCAGTGGGGCCACTTGAGTCATCTGCGGATGGCCAACGCCCACTCCCATTTTTTATAATTAAAATTCTAAAAAAAGTCAGATTTTCTTATTCTAAACTTTGAGGACTAACAAAATTTAAATTACATTTTGGGCACAGAAGAATTTTGTTAAGTATTTTTTTGAAGAGAGAAATCTTCTTGGAAAGAATCTTACTTTTGAAGACCCTTAAATACCATCAAATATTGTCAAACCCATTAAGGACACGATACTGTTTTTAACGCCCTTAAAGCTGTTAAAGATTGTTTCAGACTTTGATAAGATTCACAATAGTTCTTAGGCTCGGTTTTCGAAGAGGGAATTTCAATAAGTTTTTAGAAAACTCCTAGGAACTCATTGTGGCTATTGGAAAATGTGCACGATCCTTTAAAGGCTCTACAAAATTTGACCAATCTTTCTTCTCCTTTTTTTTATTTTCTAACGGAAGGCATAGTCGGCTCGGTCTTTTTAGAACTATTCAAGTAGTAGACTACGAAAAAAATTGAGGGGTGCTTATTTTTCTGTTCTGTTGTTCCTCCCGTTCAAGGGCTTGTGTGTATATTGCCGTGTGCAATGGTCCGGCCAAAATTAACCATACACAAAAATATCTCAAACTTAGCTAGCTCACTAATTAGACACGGTCTTACCCTTACGTAAGATTTTAATGATTGAAATGTTCGGGGGTTCAGTGGGGCCACTTGAGTCACCTGCGGATGGCCAACGCCCACCCCCATTTTTTATAATTAAAATTTGAAAAATAGTCGAAAGTCGAAAGAAAGTCAAATTGCATTTTGCGCCCATTTAATTAGAAATCTTAGTTTGTAGGAACTTTGTTAAGTATTTTTTGAAAAATTTTTGAAACGTCTTTCCACATTTTTGAGGTCTCCTTGAAAAGAATCGAAATTTTTAAGATTTCATTTAAACTTCTGGAAGTGTGCGCCGTGCGCAATTTCTTAGCTTTTTAGATTGTTTTCTGTACTTCTGCAGTGCTCGAAAACTTATCAGGTTTTCTTTCTATAGAATTTAAAATATTTCATCAATGGACACTATTTGCTACAGAAACTTTTATTTAATGTATCTATGTATACAGTGGTATTTATTATGAAATAGACATAGGTGTAGTGTAGTGTATTGTAATTTTTTCCCTATGTCTACTTTTAAAAGATAAAATCTCTTTTACGCAACCAAAATAACTTCTCAGAACAAAGATCTGGCTCTCATATTAATGAATTTGAATATTGTCGCTTTTGGCTTCCGTATTATTATTTTGGTTCGTTTCTAGCTTTTGGTACCCAGTTCGAACTGTCGCACTGTCCCAGTATTTTGTCAATGCTTCCTTTTTCTACCACAGAATTCAAATCCTCCATAAAAGTACTGCAGTAGCCTGGGTCTATATCATGCATCTCTCGGGATAGTTTCAATTTTTCCATAAATCTCCTCGTGATCAGATAATAATAATAATAAATGAGTAGGAAATTCTTGAGACTACGTTGGAATATTTAGTATAAGAATAATTAATACATAATTTGTTCCGTGTTGTTTAACTACAGCCAATGGGATAGTGTTTATACAGGGTGTCCATTATGTATGGAATATAGTATATATCTCGGTAAATAACGACTGTATACATAATTTTTCTATATAAAAGTTGTTTCACATTTTATTTTCTCATAAGAAAAGGTAGAGCATTCAGTTGTTTTTATTTCGAAAAACAAGTGACTAACGAAAATCAATTGAATTTTTTTAAAATGTACTCTTTCATTAGGCTCATTTGACAGAGATTTTGTTCTCTTTTCGATGAGATAACATGCTAGCGCCCTTATCCAAAAAAAAATTCAAAACTGTTTATTAGGTAGTTACAGCAATACCATTAATCTAGATATCCTACATCAAAATAAAACAAATGAACGTGTACGTTTCTTAATAAACCTTGAAGGCAAAACGAAATTAGCAACCAATTTCTCCCAAAATATTCGAACGTTCATTTCAAGCTTTTAATGATAGGTTCGGCGACTGTCTTGTAGTTAATGGCGAATATTTTGGACACTTATTGCAATGAAAACTATTTTATTGCTAATTTCGATGGTTTTTTAATCTTTCTAATCGCAGATTTGGATTCAGTAGACAACATTCACAAATTTGGTAATTTAACCGTCTTTCTAACTTTACAACTAAGAAAGTTAGCAATAGTCTAGAATTAATTTGGAACAGACTGTATATTATATTCCATACATAATGGGCACCCTATATATAATAATAATAATAATAATAATAATATTTTATTGTTGTGAATATACAAACGTCATATAAATAACAAAAAGCTTAAAAATGTTTTCAGTCGCCTATCTTCATACTAGGGTCTTAAGGGGTGGTTATCCAGTGCTTTTCCCGTCTCGATGCCGTTGGTCTTTGTAAACCTCTCCGCCTTTGGGAGCCCATTTTCGCCGCCGGGACAAGAGAGTGTCCGCTCCGGCTCCTCTATGCTTCTAGGAGGTCGTGGCACTTGGTAGAGGGTTCACTCTAACGAAAATCATAGTCGACTACGACTTTATATTATGACTTTTTTGAACTATTCAAACTGAAAAAATTGACGCGTGCGCATTTGGAAAATAATACCTGAGCATTGAATAAACTTAATTTTTTATTCAATTACCTGAGTAAGTTCTGTCCGTCTTTCCGTTCGAGGGCTTCAGTTGCTTTTGCTTCCATTGTCCATTCCTTAAAAAGTTTCAAAATAAATATCGAGGAACATAGTTAAAAAAAATACACTGTGCGAGTGTAAAGTCTGCAATGAATGAATGAATGAAAAGCCGTTAAAAGCTCTTTGCTGAAGTTCTGAACATCTTGAATACCCTTCTTCATGCAATTAACTAACCTAGAGACGATCGCTTAGAAACCTCCATAAAAGCCTTCGACGCTTAAAGGCCAATAAACCGGAATCTCTAATAGTTTTTTCTATATAGTGCATTAAAGAGAAAATATACAGAGTGCGTCAAAAAGTAGATTTTGATAGGAAAGTTAATTTTTTTTAATGGAACAGTATTTTCGAGTTCTGTGTCAAATTCTATGCATAATAAAAAAATTCATTCTTTAAAAATGGATTTAAAAACATACTGATCTATTAGAAAAAATCAATTTTGTATGAAAATCTACTTTTCTGGCGCACCCTGTATACTTTCTTTTTAGCGCAAAAAATGCACAAGATTATGATAGGGATTGCGAGCATTTTTTTAAAAACCCAATACCTGATTTTTAAATGAATTTGTTCCATTTTAGCCGCGCCCTGTACACAACTAAATAAAAAAATGTAAATTTCTAATTGCTCTTTCGCTACCATAAAACGGATTAACTACTGAAATATTCGGTGCAAAAGCATAAAATAAAATAAAGCTAGGGCACAAAGTTAACTCTGCATTGCCACTCGATCTGAGGCACCCGGTATATAAGTATTTTGGGAACGATTTTGTTGCCCCCTATACATAACTTATGGAACTACATATCAGGAGAAATTCAAAAACGAAAAAAATAATATTATTTTATCTCTGATAAAATGACTCAAAGAAAATTTCAAAACCATTAAGTACTAATTGAAATTGTTGCTATACGAAGTTTGTTTATAACAGAACAACACAAGATAAAAATAAACTTGTTGAAACGTTACCACTAATCAGCTGTTTTCCATCACTTCAAAATGGATCAACAGGCAATTGAAAACTTTCGAGAATACCTTCGTATACCTAGTGTTCACCCCGATATTAACTACGGTAAGCACTATTGTGGTATGTGCGATTCATTTAACATGTGCACTTAGAGCCTTGCGTCGTGTTTCTCCAAAAGCAGGCGAAGAGCTTAGGATTGCCTTGCGCTGTACATTACTGCCATCCCAAAAATCCCATCGTTATCATCTCGTGGATCGGAAAGGAACCGACCGCTCCCTCGATTTTGCTAAACAGCCATATGGATGTCGTACCCGTGTTTGAGGTAAAAATACAGTCATTCCTCCCATGGCACTTATTGTCACTGTACAGGACAAATGGAAGTACAAGCCGTTCGATGCTCACATTGACGAGCACGGTAACATTTACGCTCGCGGTTCTCAAGACATGAAATGTGTCGGTATACAGTATTTGGAGGCTGTGAGGCGATTTAAAGCGGAAAATGTTGTCCTAAAACGAACACTTCACATTTCTTTTGTGCCGGGTTAGTATGGGGTAGCCAAATAAGAACGGTATACCACTATATTCTAGATAGTAAAGGGGGTAGAAATGTGTTCCTACTTTTTTAAAATCTATATAAGGAACAAAATTTCCTAAATTCAATTGTTTTTTGATGTTGGCAGTTACGCGTTACACTCATTTGTCATTAGTTCACTATCATTTGTTCATTAATAAATAGCCAATAGAAACAGGTTTATTGTGTATCAATAACCAATGAAACCTTACCTTTGTTTCTATTGGCTATTTCATAATGATGTAATGATAGTGTTCTAATGATAATGATTGTGTAGACCCAGCATTAGTTTCTTAAAGACTTTCACAAAACAAATTGCTTTTTATAATGTCTAAACTTCATACAGAGTGTTGAGGAATTCATATATCAGTTTGAAAAATGAGAAAACTCATCAACAGTTGTTTTTACACTGGAAGATGACAATTTATTAATACATCCCTACTTTTAAAATGATAGGTTTTTGTAGAAAGGGGAACAAAATGGAAAATGGTGCCAGTTATTGTTAAATTTTTAATTATTAATTAACTTGATTTAACAGAACAATGAAAAAACAAATGCTATTGTGTCATAAAACAAAACACAGATGAATTTGACATTTAATATATATGGTTTACCTAAAACCCCCCTAAAACTTTACATGAACCCCCTGGAAATTCAGTTGGGGATGGTTATAGAGTCTACTGGGATTAGTAATTCGACCCCCCTTATACAATACAACTTTCATCCTTGAATTTGAACCAGTATTTAGCATCTATTCCAAAATCTACATAGAAAATTTACTACATGTCGTCATGGAAACCCATTTAGGAATTTTCCTAAAAACCTTTTCTTCCAAGTTGTCTCCGAAGTAGAAACCTTCTTGGAAAATTTGATTGAAATTCCCATTTTTTTGTGGAAAAATGTGTTAGAAACCTAGAAATCTTCTGCGCACCTTCTTAGGAGTCATGTTCCGAATTTTCCTCTTTCTAGAAACCCGAAAACTATCTTTATCATTTTCTGAACTGTCGTAGTATGCCATTCTTATTTTCCCCTCCCAAACGAATCAATAAACATTTAACGCAGACGAGGAGGTCGGCGGCATCCTGGGCATGCAAGACTTTGTCAAAACGGATCAGTTTCGCAATCTCAACGTGGGGTTCGCCCTAGACGAAGGTATCGCGAGTGTCGGCGATGTAATGAGAGTATTCTACGGCGAGAGGACGATATGGCAGTTTAAGCTGCACTGCCCCGGGCAAACCGGTCACGGAGCCTTACTGCTTGATAACACGGCCGGGGAAAAGGTTCGATATTTAATGGATAAATTTTCGGACTTCCGCGCCGGGGAAAAAAAGAGACTGGAGAGTGACCCGAAGTTAACAATTGGAGACGTCACAACTGTGAACGTTACAATGCTTAGAGTGAGTGTTTCTTTTGTTGCTTGTCGCATTTTAAAAGCTTCTTTCTGTTTGCTAAGTACGGATCGTGGTATGTCTGTAGTCTTTGCGGACGAGCGTATTCTGATACTGATGCGTTTCAGGGAGGCGTTCAACCGAATGTTATCCCTGAAGAGTTTGTGGTGGGTATTGACAGTCGAATTGCGGTAACAACAAATTTAAACGAGTGGGAAAGTATGATTAATCGTTGGTGTAAGGAGGCCGGTAAAGATATTTGGGTGGAATACATACGTAAGAATCCGTGTATACCAGTTACAAAGATAGACGACACTAATAACGCCTATTGGAACGCTTTTCAAGCTGCGTTCGAAGATTTGTAATTGCGGGATAAATTCGTAGTTTGCAATTATAGGCCGTTTTTTCAGGGGATTGAAAATGAAAACCGAGATTTTTCCAGCAGGGACCGATTCTCGCTTTCTGAGGGAACTTGGAATTCCCGCAATTGGTTTTTCTCCAATTAATAATACGCCAATTCTGCTGCACGATCATGATGAGTTCCTAAACTCTGCCATGTTTTTACGTGGAATTGAAATTTATTGTAAACTTTTAACTAAAGTTGCAAATGTTTGAAGGTGCTATTACTAAAATTGCAAATTAATGGGAGTAATGTTAAGGGGGAGTGTATATTTTATACTTATACCTACTGGCACGGGTTGTCACAGGTACAAAAATCATAACCAGCTTCTCCCAGGCTCAAACCGTTTGACCAGTAGGGGGCGTTTCTTAAATTAAACAGATTTCTTTGCAGATCCAGAACTTTTTTTGTTTTTAAAGGTATTACTGTGGAATGTTACTTTGGATTAAAACTGTATTAAGAGAATAATTGTTTTTAATAACAAAAAAGATATGAGTCATCAAAGAAATTTTGGTCAAAATCTTTGAGACAGCTAAATTCGGTTTGCGTTCACATAAAATTTGAGCCTAGGAGAAGCTAGTTAACGCATTTTTTGTACATTTGATAGAAACGTGAGTAATAATATGGTGCTATAAATAAATGAATTAAACAAAATTATAATCTTTGATTTGATGGCAAAACTGTCAATGGACTTTGTCGTTTCTTCAGATCATTTTTTTGATGCTTGATTATGAGAATGTAGTTGGGGTTGTTTTAAGTGTCGGAATAATGTAAAAGGCGAAAAAAACCGAAAAGAAATTTGATTCGGTCTTGATAGTCTCTTTTTTAGTCAATCTAGCTTTGCATTTTAACACTACTCTAGAGTGAGAATATTTAAATAAATAAAAATGTCAATAAAAGTTCTCCACAAATAAAAATTTCACTATTAAGTGCCCATTTTGCGCGGTTAATTTTTAGTTTTCTACTTTTGGGGTTTTGAATTTTGATTAGAATTTTTGAACACCTCATCAGATTAATAATAATAATAATAATAACAATAAAAAATAACACTAGAGCCGCTGATTAAATCGCGTGTATTGATGGAAGCGGTTGGTAAACATTTGGGTTATTCTAGTAGGTTTTTAAGTGAAATTGTAATTCCTTTGAAAATGAATTGAATTTATGCTGCCTTTTTGGACATTCGAAAATATAACTCTTTAATCCTATCCTATATGAGAGCCCAATTTCTTAAGAACATGACGCTTAACTTAATTTTCTAATTACAAATTAAGATCACAGTTTATCATTCAATTTCTATAGTGCTCTTGTACAACCATACCACCACTCGCCGACGTTTCTTAAGTTCCCTTACATTATTGATTATGCTTTAAAACAGCTTAATATTCATGGCACAATTGCCCTGATCACATTTAAAATTCTTGAAAGTAACGTGATAAAAGTGGAGGTTTAAACCCACCAATAGTAATTACAATGTGCTGCCACCAGAGGTCTCGCTGTTAATCTGATACCATTTAAAAAGAACGTGAATGATTTTTATTTTTGATACTGCGAAATACAATCACATTTTTTGTGCAGAGTGGGATGTCTCAGTGGAGCCCCATAATAGTTCTAAAAGTGTTCGTAATTGGGATTGGTCATTACAAATTAAAAAGCTGCGTATTGTATCATGTAAATAAGTTAAAAGAAAACTTGTAAGTTCTGGGAATTAATGTTTTTAAAAAAGTCGCGAACATTCCTATTCGTTTTGATTCGCGATACGTTAGTCTCTATTGCGTAACAGCTCATATGAATTAAAATAATTTCGCGCTTAGCCATTTTTTTGGTTCTTTCCACTACCGTAGACGGTAGACACTTTATCGTTACAATCTCTGTAAGCCATTTTATTCGCTTTCTGTGTATGTTCGTAACCTTTGAGATCTCTTTTGGCCTGTATTGGCTTGTTTAGCTTAAACCGATCTTATACAGTGCTATTTATTAAGAAGTAGGGATTTATGTATATTGTTTTTCCCTATGTCTACTTTCAAAAGACAAAAACCTTCTGAAGGGCGCCTAATTTTATGCGACTAAAATGTCTTCTTAAAACAAATTAAGATCTGACTGCCACAATAATTAATTTGAATATCGTTACTTTGGCTTCTGTATTTTTATATTCGTTCGTGTGCGATGTATTCAAATGAAGAAGAAGTTGATATTGTCAATTGGTATAGTGCCGGTAACAGTTTAAGGAGCGTAAGAGATTTATTGTCTGTTAAATCAAAGCAACAATATTCAAACTAATTAATATGACAGCCAGATGTTTATTTGTTTTAAAAAGTTACTTTGGATGCATAAAATTAGGCGCCCTTCAGAAGAGATGTTGTCTTTTGAAAGTAGACATAGGGAAAAACAATACATATAAATCCCTATTTCTACTTCTTAATAAATAACACTGTATATCTATAGAGAGTATAAACAACTCAAAAAAAATCTAAATGTTCCTGGAGGTGAGGACCACAAAAAGACAGACCTTCTAAATTTTTATTCAAGGTTTTAGAGAGAAATTAAATCAAATTTTTGTGGGTCATGAAAAAACGTCCCTCATAGCCAAAGTGCAGTGAAACAATTTACGCTTGATTTTGACTCGGAAAGATAATCAGAACGCGCAGGGTGTGTATGATCTACAGATATGGGTCTAAATTCGTATGCTTATTTACATTCTTCGTTCTTGTCTCAAAAATACGACCCGGGCCTGATGTTCAGAGTCCGGCCCTATCCTATATTCACATGCCCGAGTGCTTCGATACGCCACTGAATGGGAAGAGAATAATTCTTCCCTTTAATATTTAAACATCGATAGATGAGAGCATTTTTTTGTTTTATTGTAATGGAACGTTATTGGTCCTTTGTAATTTATGAAAAACCGAATGCTACATAAATTTCAGTACATGAAAGTAGTGCCAATAATCGATGGTAGTTCAAACGCGTAGAGACAAACGAACTAAACTACATTTTGATCTACGATACTTAACCTCAATTAAATTTTCGAATTTCAAACAGAGACGTTTTTGATTGATGAAATTGCTTTTTTTTACAAAAAATATCAAAATCAAATACAGTGGAAACAATCCTTATTTTTACTACCCTGTAGATACAATCAATAGGAGATTCCCACTAGGCTGAGTATTGATTTACAGATCCTTGCTTCGAACCTTGCTGTTTTTTGCCCTGTTGCAGGCTGAACGCTTTTGGTTTTTTGTCAGTCCATTAATCGCCATGGCTTTACCATTTTGCATTCTCCTGCTAGTATTTAAATTCACAACCGGTTCGGTTCTCCTATGGAGCGGAAAAGATATAGTTGTACCGGCTTTAAGTAAATTTACTAATGACGACTTTAAGGAGCTACTGTACAGAAGCGATAATCCGCAAATTGTCGTTTTCGGCTCGAAAACCTTGGATTCCGCACATAAGTTTCAAGATTATCTCGCCAATGTGACGAGCAGTTACATTATTAACACACAACTTACGTTCGACAATGTTCACAGTAAGTGTACGTTAATGTTGTCAGACTTCTAATATATTCTGTAGAGCTGTTGGGTAATGACGATGATTCGAAAATAATCGAGGATGGTTTGAAGCAGCTTGCAAATAAATCTAACAAATTGGTGGTACTGGTAATAGACGAGTCTAAATTACGGGTTAGAAGGAAGACAGATTCAGTGTCGACAACAGAATCGAGCGAGGTCGAATATGTAGAGCCCATAACTGGGCCAATTTTGTACAGTGCCGTGCTGCCGACAGACAAAACAGTGGAGGCGATGATTTACTCGAGCAAACCACCGCTGCTTAAAATTAACGGGAATAATATCAACTTGGGAGACTCCACCATTTCCAGTATGGACATTCGTGACGCCTACACTCGACTTGTACTCACGATTCCGATATCTAACGGTAAAATATCGCTTCGTTTCCGATTCGATTGGCTCGGTGGATATTGGTACTTTAACTTCGTCGAGGTGGTTCTGGTGGATGCCGATCCCGAAGTGAAGAAGTACAATCTGACTTTGAACACGGAAGTTATGGCACCACGACGGTTCTCGTACCACTGCGGGGGTAGCGCGGTCTTCATTGATGCGGAAAATAACGTTGAATTGCACCTGTTCGACGTACAGGCACAACCGGACGCGCACAATCACCGATTTAGTGACGCCTACAATTGCGTGCCGTTTACGACCGTACCGATTTGGTCTGGAATTTTTGTTACTTTCATTATGGGTCTCGGTCTTCTTGTGGGACTGACCGCTTTGAATAGCATTAAAACTATGGATAAATTTGATAATCACAAAACGAAACAGTTATCCATTACAGTTTGGGAGTAGGTAGTCTTAAAATCGTATTTATTTCAATTTTCTACAGTTAATATCACAATTTTTTGAACCAAGGGCGGATTTAGCTAGGGGTAGATTAAAGAAACCCGAATTTTGGGAGTCTTATACCATTTCAATTGTTTTGCATACTTAAATGTTATATGTTACACTGCACAATTCATGGGTAGGGTAATTACCCCCATTCTATCCCCGTCCCCCTGCCCTCTGTAAATCCGCGCTTGTGGCTAACTTAATAAGTGCAACAACCACATACAGAATTTCGATTAGGGGCAGTACGATGACATCATTTTTTGTGGCAATGCCTCTGATAAAATTTCCTCATTCTTCGGACAAACTGTAATGCTTTGCCTAGTCTCCATTGCCTCAATCTGAACTTTGGCCACGTAAATTCGGGGACTTCTCATCAAGCGCCACGTCAGCGGGTTTATAACGCTGCTACGGTACCGCCACTCGATATCCACCGTTTTCAAATGTGAAACCAAATGGCCGGACACAACGGCCCGATACTGTAGGTCAGGTCCGTGATAACCGCCCTCATTTAGAATGACCTCTCCGGAATGTGGACCCTTTCCGTCGCGTGTACTGTGAATTTTGAATACGAATTGTCCGACTTCCCCTCCGTGTCGCTTACTCTCCGTCGAATTGGAAATGTCGACAGTAATTCGATAGTGGGCCCCTAAAATTTTCCGTAAGCGACTGTAGCAGCTACGGTGGTACTTACGGCAGAAAGGCTCATCGCTGCCCGTTATCAGGTACTGAACCAAATTTTTGTGAGGGCTAATCTCTTTGGTTTTAATTAAATGGTCGTACAGCTCTCGCCCGTGGTAGCCGAACTTGAGGCAATGCTGCCCGTTTTTGCCGCACTCGAAACAGGTGCCGCTTTTTAAATCCTCGTAAGAATTGCAGGCGATACTCGTGAAGGGACATTTCGAGTTGATACTTTCTATAAAGTAATTGTAACTTCTGATGTGATTGCAGCCCAAAAACTTTCGAATCCCTAAAACAAAAGAATTTAATGATTAGGTTCCACTTCCAAGGATGCTTCAGTATTAATTATCGATTAATAGTTAATTAATTTGATAATGGAGTATTTGATTATAGATTAGTTGGGTAGTTGGATTATTTGATGAATCTTTGGTGAGGAGTGTTCGTGTGTATCTTCTGGAAAGGGGTGGGCCATTATAAGTTCGATCATATCTATCTTTCGGTCCAAAGACGTGCTCAATATTCATGCTTGAATATTTTTATTACGGAATTTACTTGTCATTTATACAATGTGATAGTGAAGAATACATTTAAAAAAATTACATTAAATTTTTGCAAAAATTTGAAATTTTGGAAATATTTTTGTCAAAATTCCTGATGTCCTTTTAATAAGGGCCGTCGGCCATACCTATGGAACCGTTAATTGTACGTACAGCTTAGGGAAAAAAGACTGAAAGAAATTGCTGGAAATTATTTTCCAGTTTCTAGGTTTGCTGCTGAAAGGCGTACGATTCATGACCAAGTAGAAAAATGATTTTTCTCCCAAAATACACCCCCCAAACATCCATATAAAATTCATACATCGCAATCTTGTAATAATTGTGCATCATTTTGATGCAACACATATTACTCAAGCTCATAAGATATAATAAGGGATGGCGGAAGGGAACATCTCTTTAAGGAGTTGAATGTAACTTCGGTTTAGGTATTCACATAATAACCGCATTTTGATATCTGTTTCATAAATAGAGATATGGCGAAAACACGCACTAATTTTGCAATATTCATCTAAGTTGGCTTTGAAACAAAAGAACACATAATAAGCGATAATTAAAATAATAATTAAAATTAACACTCACTATAAAGTTTTTAAATTATGAGCAACAAATAAATTATTCAAATTTTCAGTCAGTGAAATATAAATTAATTATTAAATATTAAAAAAAACATAAATTATGGCTAACGTAAATGTTCACACTCTCTGTCATCATTTTCGATAAGACGACGTCTCTGCCGAGTAGTTTTTTGCGTGGAGTTGTGTTTCTTTTGTTTCAAAGCCATTTGAAAATTTGAAGTTTATGTTAATGTCAAACTGTGCCCTCTACCACTGATCACAAGTACTAAAAAGACTCAATTCACGTAAATTCTGATTGCACGAAGAGAGCTGTTAACCTAAACCGAAGTTACATTCAACTGCTTAAAGAGATGTTCTCGTTCCCCCACCCCTCGTATTTTACGAGCTAGAGCAATAAGTGCTGCATCGAAATGATGCAAAATTCACACAAGATTGCATGTTTGTTGTGTATATTTTAGGAAAAAAAATCATTTTTCTAGTTAACCATGGATCGTATGCCCTTTAGCGGCAAACCTAGAAACTTGAAAATAATTTCCAGCGATTTCTCTTGGCCTCTTTTGTTAACATAATCTTTTTCCCCACCCTGTACACTTCAATAAATAAGTTTATTATTAGCTTATTTAATCTTATACTTAGATATTGAGTTTACTGTAGTTATGCTGTAGGTACGTTCAGTAGTTAAATGGGTTCTAACCCCCAATAATAAGATTAGCAAATCTATTAATAATAATATCGTTATTTGGTACTAATTTGTACCATGGATATCAAACCGAAGTTGGAAAGAGCTGTCTTCGTGCAATCAGATTTTGAGATTGAGTCCTTTTAGTAATTGTGATGAGTGGTAGAGGGCACGGTTTGACTTTAACATAAACTTAAAATTTTCAAATGGAAGGAAAATACGCAAATTTATAAATTTAGATTGCAATATTAATCCGAGGTGGCTTTGAAACAAAAGAAACACAACGCCACGCAAAAAAACTACTCGGCAGAGATGTCGTCTTATCGAAAATGATGACAGAGAGTGTGGACATTTACGTTAGCCATAATTATTGTTTCTTTTAATATTTAATTTATATTTCACCGACTTAAAATTTGAATAATTCATTTGTTACTCATAATTTAAAAACTTATACTGAGTGTTAATTTTAATTATCGTTATTATGTGTTCTTTTGTTTCAAAGCCAACTTGAATGAATATTGCCAATTTAAATTTGTGAATGTGCGTATTTTCGCCATATCTCTCTGCTTGCATTGCAGTTGATGACCTTTTCTGAAACCGACTTGAATGTAATGGTCAGTCTTTGCACTTGATTAAGCCAAGAATGAATTACTCTTTCTAGGAGCTTCGAAATAGTTGATACTAAGCTGCTTGTTCTGAGCTGTTTTGATACCTTTCTTTTCCTTTCCCAGTTTAGGGAACATTATTGCATGTTCCTGTCAATTTGGGAAATACCCTAATCTTAGCCATGCATTCAAAAATTGTTACCAAATAGGCGCGAGTTTTTTAATATGATATTGGGCATTGTATCATTGCCAGGCGAGTTCTAAGGTGATATAGGGTTTTGATAATTAAAACGAGTTCCTTGGGTTCCTAGGTTATTAAAAGCCTGGTCGGTGTAGTTGTGAGGAGTGAAGATGGTTTGCGAAGGCCTCACTTGTTTCTTTAGTCCTAGATCACCAGGTTCGAGAGTTCTAATATGTTTTTGATATGAGTAGATTCGATATACTTTGAGCAGGTGTTTGATACTGTGCGATAAATTATTTAGTTTTTTGTTGTTGTGTTAGCTATTCCTCCATTCTCTCTCTTTCCCTTTTTTCTATCTCTACTCCCTTAATTCTTATGTTTTTCTTTTGTCTCTTTCTATTATTTCATTTTCTTCTTCTGTTTGTTTATCCGCTTCTTTTTCCTTATCATATTGCTCTTCCCTTCTCTTATTCTCTTATTTTTTCAATTTGCCCATTTGCCCCAAATAGGGACTTCTGATTATCCATTCTCTTCTCAGTTCATTCTTTCCTTGATTAAGTCAAGTAGACAGGGTCCTACAATAGTACATTGGTCTTCCCTAGCTCATACGTCTTAAAAAATATTTTAAAAAACCGTGGTGCATCTATAGAAACTATTTTTGAATGTACAGGGTGTCCCATTTTTACGGTTTAAGTAATTTTTTGAAACAAAACACCCTGTATATTTTTTACATGTTTTGATGTCATTTGTTTGAACGCTATTCACTTTTTGATTTTTTGTCAATGTTGCCATCTTATTAAGTTTTTTTCGAATAATTCCGCAAGCCCTACTTTGATTTTTGAACTTCGGAAATACCTTCGAGTAATGATTTTAATTCTAGTAAAGGGCTACACTTGATAATCAGAAAGTTGGATTTAGTGATGCAGGATGTTCACAAGGAAATCGTAAAGTTTCCGAATTTCAAAGTGCCATAACTATTTTATTTCGTTATTCGATAGTCTGTTGTGTTCTCCTCAATTTTTATAAAGGATGTTCAGTGTCTAAACCCCGTAGTTTTTAGAATATTTTTCACAAAAGTGCCTGCCCCTTAATTAATTACATGTGGGGCCATTTCTTCTAATCCACTGGTTGGGAAAAGTTTCATAAGGTACATTTACCGAAAAATGAGCAGGGGCCCCATCCTGTTGTAGCCGCATGTTATGTCTTGTGTATTGAGGTACATCGGCTATAATAGGCTGGGTCAGTCATATTGCAAGAAATTTAAATACATTCCCTTCAACAATTCCTCCCCATACATTGAAAGACCAGCGACGCTGATGGTCACGAATAATAGCTCTGATCTCTCACGTATTCCGGTTGCTTCACCGATGTTTTTTCGGCTCATATGTGGATACTCAGGTACAGTTGAGTTGAGTTTTCTTCTTTCGTGTTTACGTACTTCACACTTCCCTGTTCAATAAATCGATGAAGTACATTTCTGCAACTTTTTTCTTCTGGATGTATTCTTTTTGGATAACGTGACGCATAAATTCTACCCACTAATAAGCAATTTGTACCAGTCTCCCCTAGTTAAAGATCATATTGACTAGTTCATCTCTTTGATTAATCTTATTTTATTATGAAATAGGAAGTACACTTGCAGCAAATGTCAATTTGTGACACTTGTTTGGCATTCTTTTGTTTTTATTAGCACGGCCTACTTCGGTGCATAAGCATATAATTAATTTATGGGTGGATACTTTTGTAGAAAACAATTGAATAACATAAAAATCATAAACGTAAAAAGTACGGGGTTTAGACACTGGATATCCCTTATAAAAATTGAAGGGAACACAACAGATGATAAACAATTAATAGCGAAATAAAATAGTGGTAGTTTCATTTGAAAAAAAAAAATTATATAATTATTACTACAAGTTGTTAAATCACGAGCAACAAATAAATTATTCGGAAAAATTAATAAGATGGCAACATTGACAAAAAATAAAAAAATGCATTGTTTTCGCGCTGTAGAGGTTGACAAATGACATCGAACATGTAAAAATAACAGGGTGTCCTATTTAAAAAAATCATTTATTTACACCGTCACACCCTGTACATTCAAAAAAAATTTCTATAGGTGCGCAACCATCTATAGTTGATGCCCACACGGTTTTTTTTACATTTTTTTACGAGGAATGAGCTAGGTGATTGGTTGTCATTTTTGTTTTTTCTGTTTACCATATCTTTGGTAGGTAATTGTTTCATCTATGTGGGTTGGGGTTTGAAGTTTGGCGGGGTACTTGAGTTGTTAGTCGAGATTCCACCTCCAAAATTGATTTGATAGTTGGCTGGTTAAAAGGTAATCGTACAAAATGAGTACAACGTAATGAACTCAGAAAAATACTCATAATAAGAATAACTCAATCGATTATCAAATATCGATAATCAATAATGAAATCAAAACAGGGTGTGTTATATTATAATTAAATTTTCTCCCGAGTATCTCACCTCTAAAAAAACTCCCACTTCCACTTATATGCTGGGCCACCGCACGATCGCAACCCGGTTGACTACTTCCCCCATTCGGATAGTAATCGACGTGACCGATCTTTTCGACTATACCGAATCCGCCTCGTATAAAAGCGGACGCGTCCGTATGTATTACGTCGACGTAATCGGCGGCGGTGTGATCCAATCGCACCGGCGCCTGCGCGCGTGCGAAGTGAGGTTCGGCCGGATCCAAACCAGTTATTCGACCCAATCTCAAATTGAAATCCTACAAAATTACCGTGGAGTTGCATTCGAACCACTACACGCTCACCTTCTCCAGCGCATATCCGATGTAGCCGGAGAGATGTGCGCCGAGTGAGTGACCGATGCAGTGGACATGTTTCAACCGTTGCTCGCCGGTGTGTCGTGCCAGGTCGGCTAGTAAATGGGCCGTAATCGTTCCGACAACTCGAATGTTAGCCACCGCCTGTGAGTAAGGCGGGTCGGATCCGCCGTGCCAGTCGATTACAATTATATTACAGTTCTCCCTTATCAGCAGTTCCTTCACCAGTCTTTTAATCTGGAAATTCTCGCTCAATTTCACAAGGCAAACGGACTAAACGTACCCAAGTCTGTCCGCCGCCCTCTAGAAACCCGTGGGCTATTGTGTACGTCGGCAGGAGAGCGTCGATATTGTTACTTAGCACAAAATCAAAATCGTCCAAATCGATGTGCACCGCCTCTGTTGGATTAACGCGCGAGTAGTAGAGATAATTCGGTTCTATCTGAAAATTGAGGTTGAGTCGACCTTCTTCGGGCTCTTCTTGTATACCTTGCTTAAATCTTCGGGGTACAGTGCGATGGGACGGTGCTCCGAAATCCACGGCGGAGACAGCTCGAAGCAGCCGTAACTTCCGAAACATTTGCTCGCGTTCATTGCTGCAGTATAAAACACTTAAGACTCGGAAGTGGCCTTTACCCTTACCTTTATCTATGTCCGTGTAGTAATAACTATATGCGCTCTCCTGCTGTTGCACCGCACTTTGATTCATCACATAAATCAACGTATGCATAAATACAGATCCGTTGGCAATCATTCTCGTGTAGCAGTTTGTTTTCGTTTGAAGAATTGAAAGTGTGCTTTCGCTTGGACATTGTTATCTCCGGTTTCAAAGTTCAGAGGTGAAATGCCAGAGTAGACGTAAATATAAGATAGATATTTTGTTTTCCTTATTCTGATAGAGGGTATGTGTGTCTTTGAAATTGAAGATAGTGCGAAGAACTTATCTTAGAATTGTATTATTATGTCTACTGATTGACGTAACCAAAACACGTATGCTGTCAGTTAGGTCATAAACATGTTTTGGAAATCCGACATGTCGTTTATCAATGTGAATAGATTTTTGTTTTGCTCTTTTACTGACGTTATCTGTTTCTCACGTGTTTGTTAATGTTTCTTTGTGAAAATAAATGTAGTAGGAGTTTGAGAGTGGTTTTATTAAAAATTTGATCTGAGGGGTTGCTCCATGGCACCACATCACCTCAAAATTTCACTGCTAAGCTATACGTTTCAGAACAAATTGAGAAAGTAGCGACTTGTATCATTGTTATTATTAATAGGAATTTAAAAGCATTAAATGCAGAGCTGGGTAACTATTTCAAATATTTAAATATTTGAAATAGGTATTTAAAATACAAAATACTATTTTGTATTTTAAATAAAATTATAAAAACTATTTTATATTTGAAACATTTCTGAATCTATGTAAAAAAAAGCTAATTTTGTATCGTTCTATGGTTTTAGTGCTGCCTTTTTTGTTATTTGTTATTCGTTAACTGCACCTAACTTTCCTTAAGTAGATAAAACTTGTCCCATGACTTGGCGTACCACCGGCCATGACTTGGCCATTGATTATACACACTAAGTGTATATAGTGTGTATAATCAATGGCTTGGTGTACCACAGTTTGGGAACCGCTGCACTAGAGGAATTACAGCAGTATAGAAAGTCATTTTGTGCATCCAAAGAAACGGTCGCTATTACCTCATCTAATTACGAAGGATTTAAACAATGGGGGTTTACAGTGTAGTTGAATTCCGCAGTTCTAATTTAATAAGCGTGTACCTACCTGAAACCATAAAACATTTGTTTGGACAGTAAAAGTTTATTTAAAAATAGAGGCTGATTAGCAAAAAAATAATGAACATGTGCGGTTTTAAAGGTTTATTCAAAACGATATGATTGTGGCTGGCTCTGTGACGTAATAAGCCTGACCAATCAGCTCCTAGAACCATTCAGATGACATAACGACTTGGCAATATTGCAGGAGAATGGCATTTATAACTTGCGTCATCTGTCACAGGCACTTGTCACTTTCGTGCTAGATACAGTTAAACATCCCTCTCAAAACGTCAAATGTGACAAACGTCAGACCCTCGCGTAAGGTTGCCAGCTCACTTCTACGTGATTGGTTGTAGGTTTGTGACGTATTTAGTCTGAAGCGTTTCAAATTCGGACTAAAAACACAGCTTTTCAATAATTTATTTTGGGTTTATTTTACTCGCAAATAAAAATTGAGGATACACGGGTCTTTTTATTTTTAATGTACTTTGTGGATCAGAAATAAAAAATGAAGGCGGGATGACCCCATTTAAACAAACTTCGTACTCAAGCATACTTATTTGAAATATTTAGTGGCTATTTTCCATTTGGTATTTTTAATACAAATACCAAACCTATTTAGTATCTTGTATTTAAAATAAATTAGCATTTGTTATTTTGTATTTTGTTTTAAATAGTACCAGCTCTCTTAATTTTTAATCTAGTTTTAAAACATCTTCAGTCAGATTAAACAAATCTGTTTCTTACAGAAACCGTGTTGATTACTGAACATTAACTAGAAAGGAAATAAGTCTATTGGCAAAGACTTTTTCGAATGTTTTTGACAAACATTGCAGTATTGATATTGTGTTTTTTGGGAGCTTTAGTTAAACGTTTCTGGGAAATTAAAATAGGTAGGTTTTTGAAAAACTTTTCAAGTACACTAAAAGAAATCCCTATTCATTCTCTATGCACTGATAAAAATGGGTTGCCATGACTACCACCGTTTTCAAGTAATCAATTATCAAGATACCATCTGCATCCGCCATTTTTTTTCTTAAAGTCAAAATAACTTAAAAACCATAAATTGTAGATATCGACATGTCTATGAAAAGAACTGAAATTTCACGTAGAACCCAAAAATGCAATAAAAAATAGGGGTTGCCATTTAAAATATCGAAGTTACTATCTAGTTCCGGTGGTCCCGGAAGTGCGGCCATTTTGAAAATATTTTACATCGATTCGGCCTTCAAAGTAACTCCTAAGTACAAGTTTTCAAAAACCTACCTATTTTACTTTCCCAGAAACGTTTAACTAAAGCTGCCAAAAAAACACCCTGTATAGTTCGTCACTACATATTTTCAGCGCATTTTTAAGAATTAAAAAAAAATGTGCTATTGTTTCCGTTCGTCCGTACGGGACCCACTTTTCCGGTTTTGAACTACTTTTAGGGGAACGGTCCTGATGTAGTCCTAGAATTTTTTGCAATACGTAGCCTATACCTTCAAGGTGTGTCAGACGGTCACACAAAATTTCGCTGTCTGAAGGGGAGACTCTCCCTTTAAATATATTTTCATGAGATACTGTTTTTGAAAGTTTTGAAGGGGGGGGGGGCTGAACACACGTTCTACTTCTACCTTTCATGGTATTCTAAGGAAAGGTCTCATTAAAATGACAGAAACTAATTTTATCTGTCAGGGTACTCTCCAAGGACAGAAAGAACGTCTAGAGGAGACACATCTACCTGAGATGTCAAATCTTACTTGTGAATAAGTATTTATTTATTTTATTTTTTATATTTATAAAAACATAACGATCAAAGTAGGTGTAGGATCGAAATTGGACATTGGACAAAAAGAGTTGTTTTGAAAGTTTCAATGGCATCCTTGATTTTTCGAAAACTAAAATGTTACAAATTAGTTTCCAACCAATACGCAGGCCTGATCCTCAGAAGCTCAAAGTTCAATTCGAAATTTGTTGCCTTTTATAAGAGACGACCAAACAGTCGGGGATACACTGTATTTACGAGTAGGTATATTTTGAATCCCTCTCTAAGACTCTAACTGCGTATTTTCTATCAGGTTTTGCAAAAATAAGTTTAAATGTTTGAATTAAGCACAATTTTTTAAAATTTGGTAGTAGATATTATTTATACAGGGTGTCCCAAAAGCAGAGCTATACTTGAAAATTTCTAAATGGGAGACCCTGAATTTTATTCGATTATTTTTAGAATCTACGTTTTAAGATAAATTTATTGGAGTCGAATATTGCGGACAAACAAATATAAATAACATTACGTAAATGATCCATTGATTCTGCAAACTGAGAGATGGCACCTGGGAGCAGAGTGGGAATGGTGCCTAGGGAGGAGGGGATTCGGTGGTTTTTGGTTTCTCTTTCGGAAAAATTAGGGAACATAACATAATTAAGTATTTCATTTTAACTAGTCCAATATCTAAATTCTGTTGCAATCAATTTCTATTAACTTTTACTACCTGCAGGTTCCTAGGAAGGGCATCGGGTTAAAAAATGACCCCTCCCCCACTTTTTTTTTACGGAAATACACGTTTTGTTTATGTATTTATTGTCCCTCTCTTGTTCTGGGCAACAGATGAAAAATATTCCTATCTTAGATTAAAAAGAAGAGCTGAAAAACTGTCGGGTAAAAAACTGCTGCCCCACAATAATTTTCACCTTTCCAATATTTACAGCTGTCGAAAAAATCCCATTTGTTTTCCCATTGTCACGATTTTTATTAAGTCGGACTCTTCATAAGATCCTCTATTCTATTCTTGCTATTTTTCCAATTATAATGGATTTATCAGATAAATAATTGTTTATTTGATCATTCAGTATTCGATTTTCGATTATCTGAAATTATGTTGCATAATCAAATTTAAGAGAAAAGCTCAAATTAAGCCCCCTCTTGACCATGCAGAAGTTCAGCCACTGACCACAAATTTAAAGTACGTAGATTCGTAGCAAACGTTTTATATTTTTGGATATCAGAAAAAGCTTCTTTAAAAAAACGTTGTTTTAAAAATATGTTCATGTGTTCCAGACAACATTTTCACCCTGTACAGTGTACCTATATCCTAATGATTCTTAAAGTTCCTATAATCAGTGCGATTTTTAAAATTAAAGAAACCGTATCTTTGCTACGCGATTACGATACTGGAATTTCCACAAATCGGGGGGTTTCTAGGATTTTTGGAATTCTTATGGTGCTATCTAGAAACCATAGGTATATATTTTAGGAAGATTTGCTCCGGGAGCGATTTTCAGATGCAAAGTGGAAAATATTTCGAAATTACGAATCCTCATCCCCAAGATAAATTCGATCTTGGAAAAATTTGACCTCAGGCTATATTTGTTTCGGAATATTTGCCCATGACCCCCCTCGTCCCTCTTCAGGGGTAATATTTGTTCAAGGAAACCTCGCAGTTTCCCTGCTGGGCGCTAATATTCCGGTGTCAAATACTTTTCAGTGAACTTTATTTATTGGGGCAAATATTACTTATAGTTGAATACATCAGGGGCAAATTAATAAAGGCGCAAAGGGAAAAGGATGGTTTTAGATACCCATAAATATGACTTAGTAGGTGCATATAGTCCAATTTAGTGTAGGGTACTTGTAAATATCTCAAGCATTCCGGTTCATTCCCAATTAGGTACATTCCGCGTTCGTTGTTTTTATGCAAAACAAGGTTTTTTTGGAAACTACTGAATAGCACAAAGATATCTGGAGTGTTTTTAATTTATTTCAAAATATACCGGGTGGTGACTTGAACGACGCACCATAGGAATTCAATAGTAATTTTTTAATTTCCGATTATTGGCATCCCTAATTATTTTAGAAATAAAGTCTATTTAGGGTTTTTGTAGAGAAAAAAATTGCTTTCAATTTTTTTAATTTTGAAACTAAGAAATTGGCTAACTAAAAACTGGCGCTTTTAAGAAAATCAGTGGTGCCATGACAGTTCGAGATCAAACAAAACTAACTAATGGCAAATGCAGACGCTTTTGTTTGATTTCATAATTCCATGGCATTACCGATTTTATAATCGCGACACTTTTTAATTTTTAAATTTACTACTGCTGCACCTTTTCAAAGTTTGACTCTTTTTCCCTGTAAATTACATCTTTTTCTCATAAACAAAACGAAACGAGAATTACTACGTACCTTTTTGAAGACACATGTCACCATAGCTATTGCTGCCAAGCTTTCACTTGTGCAGTTTTTGTATCTTCAAAATTTCTTCTTGAATTTTTGAAAATACAGCATCGAAATCTTGACAGTCAAATAGTAAATATATACTCTCTATGGTGGTTTGGATTTCATTTTCGCCAAATAAAATGAATGTGATAAATATATTAAATAGCTATTACATTATAAACAATACTTATATAGTAACAAATAACAAAATTGGCAAATTTTTAATTCTCCTCTTCCAGTAGTTTCACCTTCATAACTTTTTCTTTAAGACTATTAGGTCGTATGCTTTGTCGTACTGGTTCCTCCTTACGTTGGTTTTGTAATTTCTTTAATTCGTTCATTCTGAAAAACACTCGTACAATAGAGGTACAACCGTTTCCGAACTTACTTCTGTTTTTCTAATCGTATCAGCTCCTTTTTCCAAATGTCCTTTGAGTCTTTACAGAATTGATACCACAATTCGAAAAAGTCACTAGGAGGCGTAGCCTCGAGAGATTCCGCTTTCGTTTTGTACTGATACATCTTCATCGTCTTCACAAATGCCTTTTTGCTTTGTTCCAAGTGTTCGAACTGCGATTTTAACTGATCTTTCGCGTTCTTCGTGAAGCGCTCCATTTTTTCCTTGAATGGCTGAACGTATTCCTCCGTCGATGATTCCAGAACTCTTTGAATGCGAGTTTCACACGCTGCAACGTTAAGCGATTAACGTAAACCGTACAATTACCTACTCACTTTTAAGGTTCGTCTGCAACACCTGTAAGTCTGCTTGGACATCGTCAAAATTTACGGCGGCCGCTCTTCGTATTTCTTCCGGCTGGGGCACGGGAAGAGGGGCGTTGATCAGCGTGAGATAGTCGAATTCCTTCATGTAGGTGGCCACTACGAAGTGCAAGAGGGTCACTTGGGCGTCTTTCGACTTGACATCCTTGAGTTTCGCCAGGATTTCGAGCCCGTAACCGTCTGCTTGTCCTCTGCTCATATTTCCACCGTTCATGTAATTACCAAGGGTTAGAATGATCGATAGCAGCTTGATTAGGGATTCGTTATTTGTGAGGAACTGTCGAGAATTTCTGTTAAACCACTGGGCACTCGATCCGTACTTACGTCACACGTTGATGTAATATTAGTGAGGGTATGTTCGATGTTAACGATCGAGTCCTCGAATTCAATTTGTACCATGAAGCACGAGACCCTTTCGGCAAAGTTCGATATTTCGGACAGCTCGTAGAGAAATTGCTCGGGTTTGTCCAACGGTATGTCGGGCTTGGTTTCGAGGTGCTCGCGGATTTGTCTCAGTTCTTCAGGTATCGCCCTCTAAAAATAAATGAAAAGCCGCAAAGCGGTGAAAGCTCAACGTACCACTTCGTAAATTTGCTGCAGGGCCTCCAGACTGACGATGGAGGTGTCAAATGTGTAGACCGCGTTTTCGATTTCGGCGAATTCGACGTGTAGACTCTGCGCCAAAATTCCGACGTTTTGCGATCGCTTGCTATCTAGGATTTTGATCGGTTCGATTTTCGATTTCGTTTCGACCTTCTTCTTGGGGACGGATCGCGCGATGACCTGTCGCGAGAATAGGTCGGTGAATTCGGTGATGTTGTCCAGGTGCAGTTCGTCGACTTGCGACCAAATTGGTTCGGCCGACGGGCTCGTAGGTGCCGCCGCGTTTGGCACTATTAGTCGCGTCCAGTAGAGTGGTTTCATTGGAGCCTTGGGGGTTACCACTTCTTTCCTTAACACTTTCAAAATGTTTTAGAGGAGTTTGTGGGGGCATTGTGTCGGTATACTTACTGGATTTGTAAGGGTTCCATCCGCCTACTGGGGGAGTTGGTAGGGGAGCCGGTGATTGGGCGGTGGGTTGTGCAGGTGGGGGTGGAGCGCCGTGGTTGTGCAGGTGGTGGAGCGGATTGGTGGCGGAGGGTACGCCGCCGAGTGGAGGAGGTGCGGCGGAGGGGCGCTGCCGGGTGGAGGAGGGGGAGGCGGAGGGGCGCCGCCGGGTGGAGGAGGAGGCAGTGGTATTCCGGAGACTGGCGGCGGCGGAGGTGGAGGCGGTATTGTAATGAGTGGGGGCGGAGGGGGCACGCCGTCCAGTTGTGGTGGTGGTGGAGGCGGCGGCGGCGGAGGTATGTCGTACATTTGCGGAGGCAGCGGGGGCGGAGGAGGAGGTGCCGGTGGCAGGGATTTTGCAGGAACTTCCTGTATTGGAAGCGGGGGAGGCGCAGCAGGTGGATGGCACACTAAATCGGGTAAATCAGCCGGAGGGCTACACGGAGGTGAAATGTCTGTTGCGGATATATGTAAGTTAGGCGGCGAGGTTTCATCGAGATCTGCAGTTAATTGGTTCCTTAACGATATTGCCGTAAGCGTGCAGCCATTCTCCTTTTGGCATTGAAACGACGTTGGAGGAGTATGATAGTTGTACAGTGAAGGAGAGGCTATTGGGAAACCATTTTGCGGCATTCGCACGGGAGTATCCGTTAAGAGTTGTGGTACAGGAACTTCGTTGGGTACGAACGAATCATCTGTAGAATCCTACAAACAATCTAATTAGAAGTGTCAAGCCACACGGTGCCATGGCAAACCCCACCTGTGATGCATTTAAAATTGGCGAGGATTGTGCTACAGGCTGTGCTTCTCCGATGAATTGTGCGCTTGTTTCACTATGATCATCGGTACCATTTAACTTATTTCTACAAATATCACAGCGTTGGCAAATAATACTTTTATTTTCGTCATCGGGCGAGCCGAAATCCTTAACCGCGTTACTAGTTAACGTTTGGATTTCAATTAACGTCTTGTATTTTTCTATATCTTGCCTCAAACACCTAACTTCTTCCTCTAATGCGAGTATTTCCGCGTCTTTCGCCGAAGATTTAACATCAAGGATCGGCGAGGACTCCTTAGGGGCGCCATTGGGACTCGAAGTGAAAACATCGGAAGGACAGGGAGAAGTGGGAGGCCACGAGAGGGAATTCAAACGGCCCGGTGTTTGCGGAACGGAAGCTGGAGTTTCGGAGTGCGCCCAGTAATACATTAAATCCGGCTGGAAAAATAAGGCCATAGTTATGGAAAATTCCAAATCTAACTCACCTTGAAAATATTATACATCGGCACGTCTTTGTCGGGAATTTGATGTAAAACTCCTGCCGCCAAGAGATGAGTGCAAAATTGTGTCGCTAGCAATTTTAAGTCTTGATTCTGCACCAATTGCTTCAATTGATGATTTTCCGAAAACTCGGATAAGTACCAGTTGATTAACATGTACCCTGAAACGAAACGCTGCTGCGGTACCACCGAGGAAATATGCAAGAGTGAACTTGTAGATCTATTCAATGAAACTAAACACCAGAACCATTATTTAAGCGAACCACGCTTATTTTCTAACTCAATTGTATGACTTATCTTCTTATCTTATGTTATGACATGTTTGCCCACGAGATCACGATTGCACTTACCTTCAAACTTTTCGTACAATTTAAAATCGAGCTTTTCCGGTACAAACTTTGGCTTCGTAACCTTATTCTCCATAACATCTTTATCTAAAGTAAGCGAAATGACGCGTTTTAGCACAAGATTACCCTCGGAAACGTCGGGGGATGCTGCCGGTACCGAGGTCGGTCGCTTATACTCGGGCGGCCCTAGACAATAAACTCAATATTTGCCGAAGATAATTGAATCTTACCGGATGAATAATTGGCCATTCCATCACATCGCTGGTTCAAAGGTGACGAACTATCGCCGGGCCGTTCCACGCATTCCACATTTTCGGACACGAAGCAATCGCGCAGGTCGCTCTCAAGGCTGATTTGGCTCGTCTTTGATAGTCCGAGCTTGCTCAGTTTCTTGCCGAGCTCCTCTTCCTTGCGCCTCTTAAACTCGTTCAGCTTAAAGTTGTTCAGCGGCAGCTCCATGAAATTCTTCGGGGCGGAATCGGGAATCACCACGTTTATGCTGTTTACATTATCGTCACTGTAGTAGCATTCGTTAATTTCGGTCGAAAATCCAACAGGTGTTAAGGCCGAGGGGTCCGTGAAAACCGATTCCGAACTTGATTCCCCACTTGTTGGAGTCACGAACTTTTTTTCAATTTCGTCCTCCGTCGGTTTTTCGGGAGTTTTGTCGCGCTTTTCGGGAACGATCCCTGTAAATGGGGGATCGTCCGGTTTGCCGCGCTTTCCCCGTATCTTCATCAGGGCCTTGACTTTGCTGGGCGATTTGCCGGATTTTGCCGTTTTTATTTCGCCCGCTTGAGTGTTGCCCATTTTGAAAATCGACCAGTTTCCGTTCCAATTACTCAAAGAAGCGTCGAACGCAAAAGTAATGCAGTTCTCCACCGAGGAACATATTTAGAACAATTTAAATGGGGAACATTCAAATAAAGTGTCTTTTTACTTCGTTGCACCATAACTAACGTCGATGTAAACAGAACGAGAATACGCGACTGCGTCAATCTCGCGGGCGTGTATAGATATCGATTTGAGCAGTTCCCTCCAAAAGTTGAAATATTTTCGAAAGTTTCGTTTCTGATCAAATTGGGACATTAAATCAAACGGAAGGGCGATCTTCAACGTAAATTTTGGCCATTGTTCACTTCTAGATTTTCCAAAAAAGCTTCACTCAAAATTTAAAGTGCCATTTTTCGGATGACGTTAATTGACACCTACAGACCATGTATTGCAGCCTTTTCTAAAGTCACTAAATATAGAAAGTACCGCAATCCATTGGACTCGTGTGTTAGAGAGAGAACGCATGATTTTTGCCCAAAAATGGCGGAAGTTACCAGATTCTAGTAACTTTAATGTTAGGGTTTGTTCCACCTGTTTGGAGATATCTGTATATATTTTTATAAAACATGACAGTACTATGAATTTAGGTTATAAAAAATGACAGCTATTCAGTTTATTTGTCAATTTTTTTAAGTTGGCAGCAAATTTGCCCAAAAATGGCGGATGATTGCGGTACTTTCTATATCTAGTGACTTTAGCCTCTTCATTAAGAATGGCCCCCAATGGCATTTGGGTGGAGGTGGTAGTGTGCGAAACTTTTTTGGAAAAAAAACCCATTTCTTTTGGGGAATAATGTCCTTATCCAAAGTACTAGATCCCATCATATTTATAATTCGTCTTTTCTATAGATTCCTTCTGAGTTATTATTAAGAAAATTCTCTATTGAAACCCTTATATGCTTTTAAATATGTATGGGATGCATAATTCGGGTATATTGCAAAGCGAAAATTTAAAGAAAGTACCTACCAATATTCCAATCACGATTTCAACAAATAATCGAATAAATTCAATTCAATTTTTGTACATCTCACACATCTCACACATTGCCTTTTCTGCAAAAATAATGCATCTTTCAAAATCTGGTTAGATGAACGTGCGTGGTCGATATCCAACACTCTTACAAGAGCCTTAAATTATGGTGTACTCAATTATTTAAAATTGGTAGCTACTAACGATAAAAAAAAAAAAGTTAAGTTTTAATCGTTTATGAAACATTTTTTTAATCGATACCATTGAATAACGATTTTTCTCTTAACGTCAATACCTAAAGTTGGGGGACTACTACACACTTTTATTAGCTGTAATACAGCCCTTTTTTTTATTTTGTACGCAAAAGGAACAACCCAGAAAGGTATTGGGGATGACTATCAAAGGTTCTTGCAACATTTTTGAGATTGCCATTATGATTATAGCTTAAAAAGTCGTGTAACTTCTCATTATACGCCTCGGAAACTCGACCCAGTAAATTCTCCCCAAGAAAGATTCTCCTCGGAAGATGCGCCCGAGCAATTTACCGGCAGGATTTCGTTCCTAAGCCAAATTCACTCCCGGGAACTTCATCGTGCTTTAAAGACAGTATTAAACATGATTTTGTTTCCAAGACCTCTCCCCCCGAGAATTTTTCGGAAATTTTGAAAACACGTTTTCTTGTTTGTTATCCGCTATGCTGCATTGTTAATCTAATTTTTTATTTAAAAAATGAGCGATTTTATACTTGTTAGCTACCTTAAGTGCCGAGGAACGGGGCATTTGTATCCATCTTGACTAAAGCAAAACTTCTAAAAATTTTCGTCTAGTATTAAGGAACACTTCTATAGACTCGATTCTTTTGACTTTTGGCAGGTTCATCAATTTTATAGACTCTTAAAAACACTTTAACATTTGTAAAAGCTCGTAAAAGTTCGGATTTTAAGTAGAGGAAACAGTGTCAAAGATTCTAAAGGTTTCTAGAGACTCTTTGATGCTCTTGGAAAAAAGAGACTTATTTAGCACACCCATTAACACTTTTTTTTATTATACCTGAAACACAATCTTCGCTTGCACACTGAAATGCGTATGAAATCGGGCCTTTAAAACACAAGTGCTTTAAAGGTTGCTAAGTATTTACTTCAAATATGACTTATGAAACTGTCATCTCGGGTTAAAGTAAAAAATCTTCTTAGGTCGCTTTGTGTAAATGCAAAAGATTCTTTGGCTTAATCTATCTTTTGTTTAAAGCTTTCACAAATACGTGTAATTCTTCTAATCGCACCATTGTTTGAAGTTTTGAATGAATGCACCAAAGGATAGAGATACCTTTGATATTTTCTTCATATATGTCAGCATTATTGATGCATTTAGGACTTTGTTCGTAAGATGCTTCCTATTACCTAATCCACGATAACAACTTTTCATATTCTTTATCTTAGACTTAATATTGGATTTGGATTTTGCATCTACCAACTTTTCTTCTGCCTCTGAAATAAGTCATTGAATAGACGGTGTATTATCTCTTTCAACCGAAGTCATTTTATATACAAAGCCGGTGATTTTTATAAGCAAGTCAAGTGACATTTCCATGGCAATCCTGGAATTACGAATAAACATCCCACTGAATTACACATGTATTATGAGTTCATCTTATTTCCCTTAGTTTTAAATTATTGCAGGTATAACAAAACATACTATAAGAAACGCGTGTATAATTGGTCTTTAAAGCACTTGCAACGTTTAAAGGTGCTCCGCTACGCGTCGTGCCATTATATACTTGTCTCTTAATATACCGTTTAAGTGTTTAACTACTCTGCTGCTAAAAGGTGCAGTTAGTTATTGATTGTTTTGCTGTAATCAATCTTTGTTTCGGGAAATTTAATTACAGTAATAGTTATTTACATAACAGTCAGGAAACTGCCGCACTTATATAGAAAATAATTAAAATTTGATGGGCGTTAAAGTGTTGGTGCCGAGTACTTTTATTTCCGAGGCAAGTATAGTCTCATTTTACTAACGAATTTTCAAGTGTTGTATTCCATTTTTATCGAAATCGTCTTTTTTGTATAAAATTGAACTTGTTATTAATGTGTCAGTTTTGACAGGAGTCTAGTAAAGTGACAGGAGGCAGGAAAAGTAGTTAGGTAATGTGTCACTGCTACTGTCATGAAAAAAAAAACAAAAATTCGAGTGGATAAAAATTGTGGGCTCTTTAACCGTGATCACTTCAACCGTAAGGATAGATAAACTGAAACAGATGATTGTGCATTCTAATGACATCTGTCATTCTTATTTCAAATGTCACGCGAAGCACGATATAAAATGACGTTCACAACATATCACAATGCTGTTTCTATGGAAACGACCGCGACGGCAAAACCTAACCTTGCTATTTTTGACGTCTAGATTAAATTCAGAATGGTCATAACTTTTACTTTATGGCTTCTGCTATAAAATAAAGTTCCGGCCGCTCCTGTTACTTTTCCGGCCGCACCCGTGACCCGTCACATTAGTAATAATGATTCCTGTCATCACTGACAGATTGACATTAATCAAAAGTTCTAATACAGGGTGTCCCGTGACTCGATGGACATAACTTAACACCATTTTCATTGGCCAATTTTAAATCGAAATTCCAGGCAGTATTAAATTTAACAATAAATGGATCTAGGAGACCATGTAATTGTTTTGTCATATTGTGTATGGTGACATCGTTTATTCTTTGACCTTGTAATTTTAAGATTAGATTGATATGGCTACGTGTTCAAATCAAGAATATGCGAATTTTATTTACGGATAGCGGAAGTGAGGGAATATCAGCGGAGATTTCTTGATCAAAGACTACCTAATAGGCTAGTGACTATATATCAATTTAATCTTAAAAATTAAAATTATAACGTCAAAGAATAAACAATGTCGCCATAACAATATGACAAAACAATTACAGGGCCTACTAGATTGATTGAGTTTTGGACAAAAGTGTATAAGGGAATTTCGACTTAAAAGTGACCGAGGAGTATGGTGGTAAACTATGTCCATCGAGTCACGGGACACCCTGTATATGAAAATTGATTAAAAATACGATTTAGGGTAAAATTTGATACAAAAATCAGTCAGTAAAATGATATTACTTGACTAAGAAAAGTGCTGGGCTCCAAAGCTTCAATATTTCCTCTCCATTATAATCATTTTTACTGACTTTTATGTACATAACTCATATGTTGGGATCTTTACCTCGTTTATGTTTACACTTTGCCACCTAAGCAGGAATTTGAAGCTAGAAACATTTTTAGGAACGTTTTTTTGCTACAACAATCTTTAAAAAAACATTTCGGAGCCACTAGGGTCCTAGGAAAGTTTCCAGGAGTCTCCTTTTAAAGTTAAGACATTCGCGATTATTAGCCTTTAAGGATTCAAGGTCTTTCTAAAATTTTCTGACGTATTCTACAATTTTCGAGTTTCTCGAGTTCAGCATGAAGAATCTTTAAGTTTCGAAATCTGTAGGTAAAAGCCTCTAAAAGGCTATTATTGCTATTAAAAGGTTTTTCAAACAAGTTCTGTAAGCCTTCCGTCAGCCTTTTATCAGTCTTATAAGTGGCCTTTCTTTAAAACCTTTAGCAAGTGCTTGAAAGCCTTTTAGTCGCTCTTTAACAGTAAGGATAGATAAAGTGATCGCTTTAACCGTAAGGGTAGATAAAGCAAAACAGATGACTGTGCATTCTAATGACATCTGTCATTTTTTTTAAAATGGGACGCGAAGTACCATATAAAATGAAGTTCAGAACATATGGGAATACAGTTTCCATGGAAACGACCGCCATTTCAGAACCTTAGCTAAAGTAAAAAATAAATAAGGTACCTAATACATGCCATAGTTAAAATATCTCTTTATCGTCTTGTGTAAAAAATAACCTATTAATTCCCGAATAGCCGTTAAAACGCTTTACAAACTATAAGGATATCTAAGTGCGTTTACGGATCTTTAGGATTTTAGGATCTCCCAGATACTCGAAGAATCTTTTAGAGGCTTTAAGAGCTCTTAATTGGCTTGACGATCTTTAAAAAGTACTTAAAATGCCTTAATTACGCTTCATTGTGTTTAAGAGGTTGGGCTTATGAGCCCTTAAACGTTTTTACTGGTCTCGAAGGGGTTTCTAGTTCGCCTAAATGCTTTAGGGTCTTTATGAGGCTTTTAGTATCTCAACAGCTGAACTTTAAAAGTATAAAAGTAGCCGATTTTTGAAATAATTTCTTAAGAGCCTTTGGTAGGGTCGCCAAGATTCACGAGGTTTGTTTTACGGCCTTTTTTATTAATCTCTAGAAGGTCAGAACTTTTAAGCATCCTCGAAGGTTTTTAATAATCCTTAAGGGCCTTGAAGAGCGTTATAAGTTTGTGATTTTAGATTCTTGAACACCGTTATGAAAGTATCTTCAATACTTTCCGAAAGCCTTTACGAATTGATGGAGAAATTGGGAAGAATTTCGAATATATTTTGAAAACATTTTAGAGAAAAATTGTAGTTTTAAGATTTTGGAGACTTTCAAAAGGGCAGTTTCAAAGGAATGCTGAAAAGATAAATTTAAAAGGTATTCAGGAGGAAGTGGCCATGAAGGGAGACACATTTTCTGTAAGACTAGTGGATTTTGAAAAGAGTAAGATGCAGATGTTTGAAATCAGGTGGGTAATCACCTTTTTGGAGATAGTGATTAGACCTGGAAAAATGTTTATAAACATTTATTTACTTACAAAATAAAAATTACAAAAATATTTACATAATTAAAATTAAAATCGAATAAAATTAGTCTTAATAGTCTTTAAGTTATTTACAGAACGAATGTACACGTAAAACATCATAAAAATAAAATAAAATTTGTATTTTAAAATCTTGATACATTGAGATCATTGCTACCTAATCGCTTTTTTTTTGATAAAATTCTCGGGCTCATTTAACATTGTGCAACATGTATACACTGCTTATGCTTATGTTGATCTGTACATTAAAATTGCACACTTTAAGCAAACGTTACACTATACAAAATAGGATTTATATTCTATTTACATAAAGTATAAAAATACGAAAACTAAACATCAACTGAGAGTAGGAAAGGATAGATGTTTAAGTACCTTTTATAACAATTTGGCACAACTAACTACTAATAATTTAACAATTTGCGAGTTGTAATATTTCTCAGTGGTGAGGCTGAGAAGTGTTACAGCTAGTCGGGGGGTGGGTAAAAGGTACTTAAAATCTGAAAAATAATTACGATTAAAAATTGCAGCGTCATAGCACAACAATCACTTATTGCAAAATTCATCACAATTTATAAAGTTATGTTTATTATATTGCTATATGGCATAGGTATATTCAACGTCCACATACCTTCACGCGACACAGACACACACTCACATTTCGTTGCATAAAATGAACATGTACGATCAGAAATAACTGTTTATCAGGTACACGAAGATAAAAACGTTTTAAATTAACTACACTAGGAAACTTTTACATTTAGAACGGACAGTGATCGAAAGAACCGAAGCGCGACACATCCTTACACAATTATCTCGCGAATGACTCTTCGCGTTCGCGAGTTGGGAGTCGAGTATCCGCTTTCGAGGCTCTCTTCGTAACTGAGAGACATATGTTGGGGCGGTTTTTCGTCCTCTAGCTGCTCTAGGTACGGATCTGGAAGGCCACTTACGTCATGGTAGGGGGAATCTGCAAAAATTACGATTGTAGTCAAATTACGCATTTTGGAGAAAAGTTTTTTGAATAAAATAATAAAATTATCCAAAAAACTTTTCTGAGATTCAAAGATACTAAGAATATGTGTAGCGTTAGGGTTGGAAATCCTAATGCGAACCCAAGTAAATCTTACAAGAGATAAAAGTCGGTCGGGCATTATCGTACAGGGGCGGACTGGGTACTTACGGGCCAGGTGGAATTGCATACGTTACGGGCCATTACAGTATTAGTGTAGGCGGTGGGGGGGGGGGGGGGGAGGGGAGAAGCTTCATTTAGTACTCTTTTTCGAAATCAATTACAATTACAGTTTTTTAAATTGCCAGGCTGATAATTAAAACTTTTGATGATGAAAGTTCCGATCGAAAAAGTACGATTGTTTTAGATTCTACGCACCAAAATTAATAAAAAAAGTTGTTTCCCGAGAAAAATTTATATAGAGTGCGCAGTCGATTTTTTGTAAAAAAGGAAGGTTCATTACACTGCCCTTTTTTTGAGCCCCGAAAAAAATTGCTCAGATCGACCGAAAAAAAATCTAAAGAATGTGCCTGTCAGAAATACACATTAATTCAACAGTTCCAAAATTGGCTACTTATGTTCAAAATTACAGTCCTATATAGAAAAATTATTACTTATACGAATTAAAGGGTCTAGTTCAAAAAAAAAAAAAACATAACTTTTGATTGAGAAGTCCGATTGGAAAAAGTACGAATTGTTTTAGCATTCTACGCACCAAAATTAATAAAAAAAAAGTGTTTATTTCCGAGAAATTTTGCGTGCAGTCGAAAAATATTGGATAAATAAGGTAAGCTTTCACTGCCTTTTTTTGAAGCCCCGAAAAAAAATTGTCTCAGATCACCCGAAAAAAAAATTCTTAAAGAATGTGGCCTGTAGGAATCCATAATTTCAAAAACAGTTAATATTTGGGCCACTAGTTCAAAGTTACAGCCCTTTGAATTTTCTTTTCGAAAATTGGTTGTAGTCATGGGCGAGGCCAGGGAAATTGCATAGGTTACGGCGCCATTAAGTATAGTGAGTAATGAAGGCGGCGGGGGGGGAAAAAAAAAAGAGTAGCTCTGCGGTGCACCACAAAAACATTTTTTTGCTTCATTATATATAAAAAAAAAAGTACTCTTTTCGGAAATCAATTACATACAGGTTTCTTTTTTTAAATTGCAGCCTTGATAATTAAAAGTAACAAATATATACAATCCAAACGAGGCGAAAAACGGTCGCCATATCATTGTATTCATCACTTTTCATGCCTTACGACAAAAAAATGATAAAATTCATTGTAAACCCCCACTTCAATTAAAACAGAATTTCTTAAATTTTTTAAACAAACCTAAACAAAATCAACACCACAATTAGCAGAAACGTGTTAATAATTTATTAATAGTGCAAGAAAACAAATACAGCACATTACTTATTAAAAATTTCACAACGGGCCATTATAATGAAAAAACAATAAACAAAGGCCAAGGTGCAATTTCGCCCCCCCCCCCCCCGGGCCAGTCCGCCCCTGCTGTCTTATATTCCAACCCGGTACGTTACCGAAGATAATGATAATGTTTATTGTAAGCGTTTACATGCTATTTATATCACAGATATTAACTTCCTTAATCTACGTCAATTATGATAGTACACAGGACATGCGTCAACCTTGCCAGCAATGTGTTATTCTTTTACTATCTTTGGAGTTTACTTCCTTGTAGTAAAATACTATACACACTCCATTTCCATGTTATTCTTGAAGATTATATTTTTTAAATTTTGGCAGTCGCTTTAAATCGATTCTAATATGCCTAAAAAATATTCCACAAGAAAAGGAATGATTCAAAAAAATGACTTTCAAGATTTCTAAGATCTCTAAGAAAATATTTAATTTCTCTAGGACGGTTTTAAAGAAGATATCCTAGCAGATTTCTTTGTATGAATTTCAAGGATAAGAAGAATTCTTTTCTACAAAAGTGTTTGAAGGAAAAGCGTCCTGTGAGTTGCCACTTACCAATATGTTGATCGACTCGTTTCTTCGGTTTATGAACTGCGGCGTAAGGATCGTTACAATATTCCTGTCGAGACGGATTATTACTACTCCTCATGTAATCATCGCCGTGATTACTTTGCGTGGTGATATGCGGATACGGTGCGTAATCGTCGACGGCGCCGTACCCCCCGTGCGTAATCGGATCGTAACCGTACGAATTTTGCCTATCTAAGTGAGCGTTTTGTAGCTGAGTCGCCGAGTTGTTCGCCGCGGCCGCCATCTTCATCTGCCACAGGGAGTCCTGGGAGTTGACGCTTCCGCCGTTGTTCGAGTTGGAGTAATTCGAGTCCATGTAACCGACGTTCGCCCCTAGAATGAAATGAATGGGTAACTCGTTCGAGATTGAGGACGATTAGTTACATTCGCCATTGTTGATGACCTGATGGGTTTGGATGTTGGGGTTCGGTATGTAACCGTAACCGTTTTGGGATGCGTAAACGGAATTCTTCGGATCCTCCATTGCCAATGCCAAATCCAAGGAGTGTTCGAGAGCCTTGTTTTCCATGCCGTTCGATGGGTAATAGGGGGGAGGCGCTTGGTTCTGTTGGGCCATAATGGTTGGACGCACCGAGTCCATTTCGTAATCTTTAGATTGCGATTTCTTCGACTGGTTGCGTTTGCACCGGCAGAACATGAACAATACCACTACGAACAGGATACCTACGATGCACGAGACGATAATTGCGATGAAGGTCGAGGTGGTTACGGCCGAAGCTTCTTTTATATAAGCCGAACCTACTGTAAGAATGGGGTCATTCGGTTGTTCAACAATTAAAAACTGAAGAACTTACATTCCGCTTCCAAAGGCAGTCCACAGTGTTCGTTATGGGTGCGCAAACAGAATTTTACGCGAACTCTCGTGTTGAAATCATCATTGATTCCGATGGGTTCCTCATCGACAAGCGAGCGACCCATTCCTTTGTAATTTCTCGAAGTCATCTGATGTAAGATCGCCTCCTTGTACGTGGGAGACAACCCAGAAACTTGCAGGGCGAAGGTGTCGACCACCTGCCAGTTGGTCAAAGGTAGATGTTCGTTGCTTATCGTCTCCACTACTGCCATCAGTGGAAGGCAAGTGACCGGAATGTTCACAGAGAGACGGTGAGAGGAAGGATCGTAAGCCACGCGTAGCGGTAGAGGAATTTTGTCGACTCTCGTTGTAATACTTATCTCTTGAGAATCTTCACTGTTTCCTTTAATGTTCAGAGCTTTTACCTGCAATTGAAATGAATTAGATTGAACAAGTTGTGAAGAATTATTCAAAAGAATAAAAAAAGACTAAAATGTGAGATGTGAATATAAAGGAAAAGAATGAAGAAAGTTTAATGTTCAGAGCTTTTACCTGCAATTGAAATGAATTAGATTGAACAAGTTGTGAAGAATGTGAAGAATTGTTCAAAAGAATAAAAAAAGACTAAAATGTGAGATGTGAATATAAAGGAAAAGAATGAAGAGCTAGGGGAAAAAAGTTGAAGGTAATAGACGAGGGAAGGAATTGCGAAAGTGAGTTGAGGAAAAAAGTATTTCTGTAAGAAAGGGGGCATGGAAGGAGGTTCTATGAGAAAATCATGAAGTGATATGTGAAGGAAAAGAAATGTGAAAAACGGTGACGTGAAGGAAGCGTAGAGCAAGCAAGCCTAGACACAAAGTGGTAAAAAAACGCGTCATAGGGGAAATCAGGAGGATGTGACGCTTCGTCCAGGGCCGTAACTAGATATGACCGTGCCCTTGGCGGCACTTCAAGTTTGCACCCCCCACACCTGCGCGTGGGGGTATTAAATACCCCCCAACAAAAACGCCGAAAATTTTCCAAGGTTTGAAACTTTTTGATTCGAGAATATCACTTCTTTAAAACATGGAGAAAAGATTACAAAATACAGTGTGTCCAAGATAAGAATGAACATCATGGACACAACGGAAACCATAAGAAGTACACAGTCGGTTAAATTAGAAAGAGTTGCGCATTTTACGGCTTAATAAAACGATGTTTTAAAAATGCGGAAATTCCGATCAGTTCCGAAGATATTAAAAAAAACCAAAAGTAACTTTTTAAGCTCACTATTTTACAAGATTTTCGCTGCGACGTTTCGTCTTTGACAAACCATCATCAACTTCATATTTTTATATGGACCGGAAAAAGAGTATATAATGTATTGAGTAGCATTTTTTAATACGAATACAGTTATGTATGGTACAATATGTCATTTAGAAGAACAAATCATTTTGACATTTTGTCAACGCCTACTAAACCAAAAATGTTAAAAATTTAGTAACCAGCCATTTTTCTGAGCTAAATTTTATTTTTTTACTGTAGTAGGCGTTGACAAAATATCAAAATAATTCATTGATGGTTCCTTTAATGATATAGGTGATAAAAAATCTTATTGTGCCATACATCGTTATTGATGGTTTCTCAAAGACGCCAATTGTACAGATTAAAAAGTTCCTATGAGGAAGTGTTATTTGTTTTTTGATATCTTTTCAAACAGGGCCGGCAAAAAATAAAACCGAATATGATTCATTTCGTTTTTTTTTCGGAACTGATCGGAATTTACAAATTTTTAAAATATCATTTGACTTGTTTGCTTTTCCTTCTTATATTGGACACACTGTATATATTACATTACCATAAGGAGGCAAAAGGGGGGAAGGGCAGAGATGAAGGTATATCACTTTGTAACGACCCAGCTATTCACAGTCACAGTACGTACAGTATTAGGTAACAATCTGGAATAACATTTGTTTTAATAACCTGAATTTTTTTCCTAATGCACTAATGTAAAATGAAAGTTTTGCGCCTCCCCGGCAGCTGCGCCCTAGGAGGGGGCCCATCTCGCCACCGCCTACATACGGCCCTGGCTTGGTCTGCCGAAACGTCACGTCCACCCAAACGCCTCGCCGCCGAAACGTCGCGCACCGATCAAAAGCGTTTGAAGAAAACGAAAGGAAAGCGCCAAGACACGAATGAGGTTTTATTGGTCATAAAAGAAAGAGGCATAAAGGGAGAACGTGCTAAGGAAGAGAGTGAGAAACAAAAACTGAACAATCCCGAGGCGCGAGGCAATTGCGAAAAAATGAGTCGAAGAAAAAGTGAAAGGAGTATGGTGATCGAATGAAGAAATCATGATATCGGATGTGAAAGGCAGAGAGATAAAAGATGCTTAAATGGTCGAGGGGTACGGAAAAGAGAAAGATTTAAAAGGTCGAAGAAGTGAAAGAATGAGAGTGTGAAAAACACGGAGGCGTTAAAGGAGGAGGCATTAGAAAAGTGAAAAGGAAACAAGGTCTGCATAAGAAGACGAAAGGAAGCGTGAAGGAGGTGAAGGAGACGTCAAATACGTGTGAAGGTGGTGTAAAAGAGACAGGAAACGTAAAGGGGTGGGAAAAGACAAATCGGACATGAAGGAAACGTGCCCGAGAGAGACATGAAGAAACAGTGAATAAAGGAAACCGTCGTGAGAAAAGCACAGAAAGAATTCCTCGAGGAAGAAGACGTGGGGAAGGTTAAGGATTGGTGTGAACGAAATGTAAGCCAGTTTGGGAGAGAAGTGTGAAAGAAGGGAGACGTTAACGAGGGAGGAAGAATAAGGGCATATAAAATGATAGTGAAAAAAGCGTTAGGGAGGTACTATGCGATTAAAAATTAGTTTCTGTCTAGTCACCTTTGGTCCATGGCGTACTTAACTTCCAAACTTCCAAAGGCGACTCGACCGCCATTCAACTTTGATTGTTCAAGCACGAACTTATGGACTGCTAATGCCGAATTAACAAATGACACCTACATGGAGGCCGCCATGATGTGCACTCACTTGGCGCGAAATTCAAATCAACTAATAAACAAGCATTAACCTCACGTTTCCTAAATAAATTACTGTGACACATGTCATTTTCCAAGGCTGCAATCCTTTCAAAACTAGAGCACTAGGAAAATTCCCCTAGAAAATAACTAAAACGTGCACATCATGGCGGCGCCCATTCTAGGGCCATTTCTACCTCTATGCAACTGTTTGATCAGCAGTCCATCAGTTCGTGGTTATAAGGATGCGTGATGGAAAAGGTGTGACGAAAAATGCGAGGAAAGCGCAATCAGTGGGAAGGGCGAAAGAGGCTAAATGAAAACACCCCGAAGGAAATTTCAAGGGACGTTTCTCTGACTCACCTTAAAATTATAAATTTGATGTTGATCGAGATGCGTAACATTACACGGAATATTCTGCTGACAATCGACTTCGGACCAGTCCGTCGAGCGCGACACGGTCCCGCATCCCTCCACCGACTTATCCGCGTTATCGTCGCCGCCGGTCGCCTTCTTGTACGACACAAAGTACTTGGTGTTGAAAATTCCCCCGTTGAATCCCGGCTCCCAATTTAGCGTGACGAAGTTGGGACCGGTGTAAATCGACGCCACCTGGGTGGGTTTCTCTGGGGCTCCCTTGGGCTGCAGGCGAATTTTCGCCTCGATGCTGCCCAGGTTGTTGATGACCTGGCAGTTGTAGATGCCGTAGTCGGCCGGTTTTATGTTGGATATTTTAAGAATGCTCGTGTAGATGTCGTTGTCGTCGACGCTTGTGTTGATGATGTAGTGGCCTTCGGAGGAGGAGAGCAGAGGGGAGGAGTTTAGGGCGTAGTACCACTTGAATTCGGGTTTGGGGTAGGCTTGGATTTTGCAGACGACTTCGGCGGTTTCGTGTAGGTCGTACGCGACCTTGTTGTATTGGTGGATGACGATGGGTTCATCTGCAACGGTAGTTGTCAGAGGTGCGCTTTACATATTGCTGGGATACTTACGTTCTATTCGAAGGTGCATGCTCGATTCTGCTCGTCGGACCTCATTTTCAAAGGCGCAGGTGTAGATGCCACGGTCCTGCGGGATCAGTTCGTTGTTATTGGGCCTGGCCTTGCCACTAAACTTGAGAACACTCTGTACATTAACTGCGCCGTTACTAATCTCTGTCATCTCGCTCTTGACCTCGTACATGTTAATATCGGCGGTGAGCTCTTCGTCGTTCTTCAACCATTTGACCACGGGTTTAGGCTTGCCTTTGGCACTGCACGAAACGGAAAAGTTGGGGTCACCAACCCGCTTAGTTTCGAGCGGCTTCAATTTGTACTTGAAACTCGGGGGTTGGTGCACTTCCAAGTTAATGGAGGCAACCTCTCCGTGTCCCAGTTCGTTCGTCGCCTGACAGTAGTAGTTACCCTCGCTGTTCAGGTTAACATTAGGAATTGTGTACTTGGTGCCCGTGGCCAAGACCGTCTGCTGGCCGTCGTTTCCGGGCCGAAACCATCTGTACTGTGGAGCTGGCCAACCTGGTGGAGTAGCCGTGCACGTTAAGGTAACCGGCGATCCTTCTGTTGCAACCGGACGGTCCGGCATCACTCTCGCCTTTCCCGGTTTGTGCCGGATTAGTAACGCAATTGAGGCGTTGCCGATTTTCTCATTGCGCCGAATCGGTAACGAGCTCGGGGTGATAACATTAACAGCCCTGCAGACGTAGGTTCCCGAATTTTCCGCATTAACGTGGCTCAATCGCAATGTATCTCCGGACTGCCGAAAGTCTGGTTTTCCGTCCTTGATCCACTCGATCGTGGTAGGGCTGGGGTTTGACGACACGTTACACCTGATCGAAACCGCCTCGCCCTCTTCCGCTTCCTGGGTCTTGGCGTCCAAGGTGACCACCGGAGCGTAGAGCACATCCAAAATGATTTCCTTCTCGCCAATTTTTCCCAGGTTATTGTCGGCGCTGCAGGTGTACTTGCCCGCATCTTGAATGCTGACACGGTGCAGAATGTGACTGTTCGAATTGCTGATGAACCGACCGTTTCGGGTCCATTGCACCGCGTTTACTTTCGGTTTGGCGTCCACCGAGCACTGAAGCGTCGCCGAAGAGTCCCGCTCCACCCTCAAAGGGTTCTCTGGGCCGACTTCGACGCGTGGGAAATCTAAAATTGTATTGTTTATGAAAATAGGCAAACGTAATTGAACGGAATTCAACATGTGAGACGTAAACAGAACAAGATAAACAGCCATATCCGGCGGCGCATGTGAGAACAATCCAGATGGTTTCCCTCTTTTTTTAAAAGCGCGCCCCGACACCCCGCAGAGCGACGCAATTGTTTTTAATAATCCCTCACAGAGTCACCTTCGTTTAAATTTCAAATATACACCCTCTTTATTGCGGCGGCTATAAAATTAATTAGAGGTCGCTTGTGTTACTCCCTAAAATAACCAAATAAGTCTATTTGGACGTTACTGCTAAAATTCAAAATGCGAATTCGCAGGGGAACGGAGGCATACTCGCAAATGTGGAATGGAACGTAAGCGAATTACAAAATAATTTCGGGACCAAAAACGAAATCAAACGCATTAATTCTCGAAATTCAAATTGGTGTTGTTAATTACGTTCTTCTCGAACTGTGAATAACACCGTGTCGTATTATTTTATAAATGACGCGCATTTATTATTTCCAACAACCCCACTCGTCATGAATAAAGAATTTCGACTCTGATTTGTTAGTGAGTGATTGCCTACGGTTGAGGATGTCGTTGCAAAATTAATAATTGGGGGATATCAATATTTGAACTGACGAATATGAAGTATGTCCAAAAGAGATGATAAGGGATCTACAGTAAAAAGTAGCCCCAAAACTACCCTTTTCTATTTATTGCAGTTCTTATCGGTACCCTTCACAGTTTACAGTAGATTTAATTGAATTCTTACTGACTCAACATCAGTAAACTGCCCGGACCAAAAACCCCAATAACATTGGTAGCTACAATTTTTTGAACACGAGCCCCTTTTTTGCCAGACAAGATTGGGATGCTATCGACGAGGAGAAAAAGTGGGGGCCTTATCAAATTGATTTTCGTATAAAGTATATTTTTGTCGAATTAATAATGTTCCCTTTCTTAGTTGACAATTCAGCAGTATTAATGGAGCGAGGTATAAGAAAGATAGATAAGTTTCGGCGACGCCTTTGTTAGAATAAATCGGGCCCTAACTTGACGCGATCGTTTTTATTCCTTTTTTCCCCCGCAAAACTCTTTTAATTCGCTGCAGTATTTACGGCGGCCGTTTCGGTATCCACTGCGACATTAATTAATATTGTTTGTCTTCCATTGTGGCCTATGAATTATAAATGCGTGTCCTACAATTTAAAATCGAAACCCTTTCAGGAGTCGAATAGAACCGGCAAACCTGGTCCTTCTACTATACACATACCAAAGCGAAACTTGTATGACAGATGCTCCACTCAACAACGAAAACTTCATCAGACATTTGCTATGACACACACGGAATTTAATTCAATTTGATAAAGTTTCCATCCTCATTTGAGAGACACCCTTGATAATAGTCGACCAGTCGGTATATGGGACGACCAGTCAACTTGCTCTACTTCTACATCAAGTGAATAGGCTTAAAATGTGGCAAATTTTATATTTCAACAGGGCTCGAAATTGAAAACATTCTAAAATTTTCAAAAAACAAAATAAAACATAAAATTCTTATAATGTACACTGTGTCTAAGATAAAGAAAAGTCTATGCGGGGGGTCTCGGAAACGATAATGGTTAAATTAGGCAATTAAACAGTTATTATATTCCGTAAAGAAAACCAGAAAATTCTGATTATTCCCGAAGATATGCCGGATAAACCGTGATTTGCCCATTTTGCTTTTAGTTTTCTTCTGATGTTATTTGAGCAGATATAGAACAATGAAAAACACTTTCTCATGATCACTGTTGGTTTCAACAGGATGGCGCACCCGCGCACAACGCCCTAGTCGTGCGAAATACCATCGGACAAATTTTGCATTTTCCAAGAAATTCGTCTTGTAGAGCTCAAGAAGTGGCAATGAGAAAGTGTTTTTTTACTTTTCTGTATCTGCTCAAATAAAAGAAAAAACAAAAACAAAATCGGCAAATTTAGGTTTTTCTGGCATATCTTCGGAAGTAATCGGAATTTCTGTTTGTTTTTCAGTCCATGATCGGCCTGCGTGTAAGGCAAGTTGCCTGACCGCAGGCGTATGAGTACCCACTTATTTGACGTAAAAAAGATATCCTTTCTAGATTCGTTATTGGACGTATTCAAACCGATTTTCGATAGTCCCTTAGATTTCAGCCCTTAACATATCGCGATTTTGAATAAAGTGAACGATAGAAGAGCCGCGGGGATTATAAAATAAGTGAAAGTAAGGCGCCTACTTTGAGCTCGAAATTTAGACACTGACCTCCGCTTTTAACTTATTCAGACAAAGAATTTCGACCAATAATATGAAATTTGGATTCCAAGTAGGTACTAAATTTCGACTGAAATGACAAGTTCAAAATTTCGAAATTCACCTCCACTTTTAAGCTGAAAACTTGTGCTTGAGACACGAAATTTGCATTTCAAGTGGTAAATTTCGACTGGAATGCATAACGTTAACTTTAAGCTTAAAATTTCGTCAATAACCTCCACTTTCAAACAAAAAAATTGGGCTTGGGACACAGAATTTCAACTAAAAATACAAATTTTGAATTTCAAGTACCAAATTTCGACTTAAATACAAAGTGTTGACATTCAGCTTGAAATTTTGACACTGACATTCACTTTTAAGCTGAAAACTTGCGCTTGGGACACGGAATTTCAACTAAAAATTACAAATTTTGAATTTCAAGTAGCAAATTTCGACTTAAATACAAAGTGTTGACATTCAGCTTGAAATTTTGACACTGACATCCACTTTTAAGCTGAAAACTTGCGCTTGGGACACGGAATTTCAACTAAAAATACAAATTTTGAATTTCAAGTACCAAATTTCGACTTAAATACAAAGTGTTGACATTCAGCTTGAAATTTTGACACTGACATTCACTTTTAAGCTGAAAACTTGCGCTTGGGACACGGAATTTCAACTAAAAATACAAATTTTGAATTTCAAGTACCAAATTTCGACTTAAATACAAAGTGTTGACATTCAGCTTGAAATTTTGACACTGACATCCACTTTTAAGCTGAAAACTTGCGCTTGGGAGACGGAATTTCAACTAAAAATACAAATTTTGAATTTCAAGTACCAAATTTCGACTTAAATACAAAGTGTTGACATTCAGCTTGAAATTTTGACACTGACTGACATTCACTTTTAAGCTGAAAACTTGCGCTTGGGACACGGAATTTCAACTAAAAATACGAATTTTGAATTTCAAGTACCAAATTTCGACTTAAATACAAAGTGTTGACATTTGGCTTGAAATTGTGACACTGACATCCACTTTTAAGCTGAAAACTTGCGCTTGGGACACGGAATTTCAACTAAAAAAATGAAATGCAAACGGTTGACTTTAAGCTCGAAATTTTGATACTGAACTCAAGCAGAAAACTTGAGGTTCCAACTAGAAATACGAAATGCGGATTTTCACTACCAAATTTCGACTGAAATACAAATCGTTGACTTTAAGCTCGACTCGACTCATAAAGAAGTCAAAATGTACACCATCCCCTCTCTATATATACATTCATTGGGAGTAGCTTTGAAAATGACGAACTAAATCAAAAGTTAAACGTCGTTTGAGAAAAGTGAAATGCCACAATGGCACAATGTCAAGGTTTTTAAAGCTAAAGAGGAACATTTTAAAAACAATTGTTTATAGTCTACCTTAAAAGTGATGTAGAGCAATATATTTTCACGACAAGAATAAGTGACGCGCTCTGCCGGCAAGAAATAACCCCTATTGTTTGCGATGACTTAAGGGTGTATTTCTGAGTGGAATATTTCTGTATTTGAAGTGTAGACAATAGCTAAAAAATACGATAACCTACACCAAATGATTTGTCGAGGATTTAATGATCACAATTAAAATGATCGGGCTTGACGAATTATGGTAAATAACCCTATCTTTATGTACGATCGATTCATGCATCGTTTATGTTAATGTTTTACGCTTATTGTGTTTGAAAAGCGGGACGAATGGGATTTTTTATTTCCCAATTTACTATAGATACATTTAAAAAGATTTACTACCGAAATACGCGCGCGGCTTGGTCAATTCGGCAAATGATGCGGCCCCGAAATTTGTATAAAGTTTTTGTTCGACTTTTTCGATAAATTGTTTCTGGGAGAGACTTATTGATTATAAGAAGTTTACGCATATTTTTATACGAGCACAAAACCTTTAATGGACGTTATTTGAAAGTTGCGGCGATATTCAAAAACTTTGTGATTTACGATGATCTCGTAAACGAGCGGCGAATTGGCGAAAATAATTACTACGGTGGTGAAAATGGGGAAAATGTATACGTATGGAACCCGCGAGAGTTTCGAATGCTTTTAGACACGTACGTAAGGTTTAAAGGGCGAAAGCATCGACGTTAAAAGGATAATAAACGGAAAGAAACTTACAGTTGACACTAAGAGTTACGGCCGTTTCAAGTTTAGTTCCCTCCGGCATTGCCCTGTTCCAGACCTCACATCTGAAAATGGCACCGTCGTCGTCCTTTCCAGGAGTTAAAAGAAGCGTCGCCGTCGTCGACTGATCTCGTGAGCCGCCGTTCTTTAATGCCGCTTCCAAAGGATATGTGGAACCTTAAAGAAATAACAACAACGCACTTTAACACACATTACGCAATTCGCATGCTTTATTAAACATTCAGAACACATTCTTAAAGAATATTTATTTAAATTTTGTCGCATTTCGCATTCGCAACCTCGACGTCGAATCGCAAGGCGAGACGGAAAAGTGAAAAATCGCTTTCTCTTCATCCCCCATTTCGGCCACATACGCAACGCCATGTTTTCATAAATAATTGTGCGATTTGTCACGTATCGAACCGATACAATTTATTACCTGTTGTAAAATGATATATAATTCGCAACTCGTCCTCATTTAGCTCTCCATGAAACTCTTCTCCCTTGAGATCACTGCCCAGTACCCATTCTATTTTTGCAACTTTCTCCATATCGTCCAATTTTGGTAATTGTTGCAAATGAAACCCTCGTATGTTTAATCATAGTTCGCAGAAAAGCATATAAAAATTGTTGATATAGAATAAGTCGGCAACCGCCTTAATTATGTACTGTCTTCGCTCTGAAGCTCTGGAAAAAGCCTCCGAAGGCACTCGAGAGACATTGGAAAAGGCTTTGGAAACTACAGTCTTCCAAGTAATTTGAGACCAGAATCACATGTACTTTGCAGATTCTCCCCGATCCGTTACAAAGCAGGTCATGCTCACTTCTTGCCTTTCTATAAGCGTTCTTCTACGGGCTCGCACTTGCTGCCAGTCAATAAATTTGCAAAAACCCGTTAAAAAGTTATGCTGTTTCAAGTGCAGCTTGAGCATTATTTAAATTATTTCAGTATCCCTTATAGATACAGTGTGTCCCCGGATGGACTGAACAAGAGGGAAACATTTTTAATTTTAACTTTACGCAAACATGTAATTCTTTATAGAAATGTTACAATATACAAATGTTAAAATATACAGCGAAAATTTTTCCAAGTTGCATGTTTTTGATTAAATCAGACTATCATTGTATCTTCCATGGCAACCTGATAAGCAAATCAAGTTAAAAAAGACACCTTAGAGCTTAAGAGAAACATTTTATTTTATTCAATGTAAAAAATGTAAAGTTAAACTTAAAAATTTTTTCCCTCTTGTTCAGTCCATGCGGGGACACACTGTATATACCGATTTGAAACTTCCTTTGGGAATTTTTAAAACGCCCGAATCTTGCAATTCAATTGGACGATTGAATTTTTGTTAGAGTGGCCATTTTTAATAAGTTTTGCGGATCTTTGGCAACATCGAAATAAAAAAATATTTCTTAGTGTCGCAAAAAACCTCAAGTGGATACCTGAAAAATTGAGAAAGTCGAGGCGGGCGTTCGGACAGACGCGATGTCCATTTTTTTTAGTCTTAAGGGAGGCCCCATAGACGTATCTGTGGTTATTTTTGAATTATACGCACCCGATTTACTATGGAATGTCATTTGCTACGGAGAGATATTGGGGAGCATTTAAGGGCCAAAAAGTGGGCATAAATTTGATAAGATCCCAATAAACTGCCTTGTTTGCTGAAATATCGACTTGTTTTTGTAATGGAACAGACCAAAAGAGGGCACCTGTCACACCCTACCCAAAAGTTGAGGATAGTTTTTTCAGGAATCTTAGGTCGCTGATATTTTAAATTACACGCTCTCATTTCCCCTCCGTCGAACCGCAAATCGATAGTTCAAAAAGTAAGAGAATTAAGGCGTTCGTAAGAGGGCCATGCCTATTTTTTGGATTTTTTACTTTTTTGGGTCCTCCATTGTTTTTTTTTACCAAAATTTTGAAATTATTTGGTTGGCACAATTTTGAAGTTTCTGGAATTTTCTCATTTTTGTAATCTTCTAGGATTCCTGAAACTTTTTTGAGTTCTTTGGCATTTTGTGAAATTATTTTGGTATTTCTTATAACATTTTAAAATGTTTTGTTCAAAGATGTCATGAATTTACGTCCACTATTTGTACCATTTGGACCTGGAAACCTCTAGTTCTTGTAGGACGTTGTTATGTTTGTTTAGTATCTTTTGAATATCTTTCCGATTCTGCATATTCTTCTTTTTATGATTCTCTCGATTTTCTTCTAATCTTTGCATCGTGTAGCAAAATCACACTGTGCACATTTTAAATAGATACGCCTTCTTAACATGTCCATGAACCTAGCAGAGCAAAGTCAGCAGAACACAATCAAACATATAACATAATTAGGTGCTAATTTTAAGTGCCCTATTCCCGAATTAAATGCTCATTTTCTTTAAAAATTATTACATGTTTTGCCAGGTTCATATGAACTCAGCAGAACACTACCTTTAAAGCGCAAGTAAATGAAAAGTGAAGTAACTACGTGCCCTATTCTCGAATGAAATAGTCCTTTTTTTTTAATTATTACAACATCTTCTGTCTGGTTTTTTGAGGTAGTGTTCTGCTGAGTTCATATGAACCTGGCAAAACATGTAATAATTTTTAAAGAAAATTTAATTCAGGGATAGGGCATTTAATTAGCACCTAATTATAGTTAGTTCATTTTGATGGTTTTTTAAGGATAAGAACAATAAACTTCGTGGGAAGTTATTCGCGTTACCCTACTTTAATAATAATAGTAATAATAATAATAATGTCTTTTATTAGTTACACATCTTGCAACAAAATTTATAATAGAAAAAAAATTATATTTATCGTGTAACTAATTGGGCGAAGTTCAGATGACAGTAGTGAAACCCACTGCCTCTGCTCTTCCACTTAACCCAGTATATTACTTACATTATAAAGGGATGACACATGGCTTCTAATTATAAATAATAAAATAATAGATTATAGATAATAGAATAATAGAAATAAATTTCCCCCGCTTCCTTTTTTAGGTGAGACGATAGATGCAATTAATAGAATATGAATGGTGGGGGTGCTGCGCCGGATACAAGTAGTTTGCTGTATAATTGCACTGTGCACATTTTAAATCTTTTAAGGTTCTGTTAAGAGATGGCGGTTGTTGTCATTAATTCTCGTATTTACTTTTATAATCATTTTTTTAAATATTTTTTTCGTGAATTTTGCGATATTTTAATAGTTATTCTGCTAAAATCGGATCGGAGACGAATCCAACAAATCAAAGATCATGAAAATCGGTCCAACCGTTCTTGAGTTATAACTGGTGTAACATGCAGGACGTTGTTTTATAAATGTATAAAGATCTTTTTGAAATTTTATCCACAGACGCTTCAGGTAAAGACAAACATATCGCATATTGTAAACATTAGGTGTGCGCATGCGCAGACCCAGTAATGTTTACTGATAAATTCATTGAAAATGCGCTAAAGTGACTCGCCTTTTTTTGAGTTCAGAACTACTTTGACTCGGGTTTATTGGATCCTGTGTATTCTTCACATTCTTGTGTTTCTGCGGTTTCTTCAGTGAGTACGAAGCGTATTCAGGAAATAATCTTCGTTTTGAAATAGATACAAATTTAATGTTTACATCAAAGACCGTAGCGCTATACGACGGCATTAGAACGAAACGCAACCTACTTTCCAAATAAGTCTCGTATTGGAACTTCTGCTATGTATTTTCAAGTTCTTCCAGTCCTGTATGATTCTTCTGATTCCCCAATTTCTTCAGTTTTTCAAATTGCATCAAATCATTCTCGGATTAAGCAAAGTTAATGAAACGGGCCCTAAAGGGATCCATATGGGTATAATAAAACGGAGGGAAAGAAGTACTGTTTCTGAAATTCGTTAATCAAATTGCAATTTCAAAAGTTCTGATGGGGGAGAAGACATACCTTTCCCTATAAAATACTGAAGGGCGACATATCTTATACATCGTGTGTCTTTTTCGATTCCAATTCCATCAGATGGCGGTAAGTGAAAACGTTATAAAAGGCAAACTTACCTTTTGAATAATTTGAAAATATCCAATTCATGAAATTCACTATTTTGCGAAAATGTAAAATAAATGCGTGGGTTTGTCTGCCGATCTCTCTTAATTAATTTAGTCTGGATCTTCATTACGATGGAAATGGAAGGGGCGAAAAACAACAATAAAACCATTTATTACTTTTGAACTGCTACTGATGAAATATTTACAATCTAAAACAACAATGAAAACGCTATCGTGAATTTAAGAGGTAAAATATTAAGTAAATCATAGCGTGATTGTTGGCAAATAAAAGTATAATCAACCTTTATTTCTTACATCCACAATTTCCCAAATTATAAAATAAATACCCCAAAACATTAATTTCCCTACATTTGCATACTATCAAGACATCTAAAAGACTATAAACTTCCTTTTTTTCCACATCTGATTACCGTTTCATTTCCTGACGTATTTACACACTGCACACACAACGAAAAATAAGAAAATTTATGATTAATGCCCGCGAAAAATCGAAAACAAATACTAAAAGGGACGCTAAACGCAAATATTGATAATTAATTTACATACAGATTGGTATTTTTACATTCGCAATTACCTCGCGCCTCAATTATTAACTCCGATCTACAAAAAGAATTGTCCAACTTCATTTTCCCACAGGTTCCCTAATTACTTTTTAATGTCGCCCGAGCAAGGAAAAAACGCGAGCGCCGTGCACACAAAGGATTTAATAATTACGACTTCCTTTCTTTTAGTTGACAAAATCAAAGTATATATTTACCTTCCTTGTACCATCGCACCAGCGGATCGGGAGAGCCTCCTATGCTCGAGCACGCCAGTTCTTGTCGTTTACCTTCTGTTACGGTAACATGCGTTCCGGGAGCGACGGCGGGTTGTTGCGGAAGAGTTAACACGGTAAGGGCGTACCTCTGGGCATGTAAATTAGCTCCGGATCCTCCGGCCTTAACTTTGCATTCAAATTTTCCGTTATCCCTGTCGTAGCTGGCGTTGGAAATTAGGAGGTCGTAGATGCCCTTCTCCGGATGGTAATTAATTCTGTTGGAAAATTAAGAAAAATTTTAATTGGTTCAAGTTTGCGTAGCGGAAGGGGAGGGGGTGTCATAAATTTTGAAATTATCTAAAACAATACCCATACAATTAATGCAATTTAAGAACGTCCACTAAAATTAAATCCAACATTTTTGAAAGGTCTGTAACCACAAAGCCGATATATTTTTAAAAAGGTTCTATAACAGATATTTTAAGTACACATTGTAAGTAATTAGAATTTTCCCCTAATGATCGCTTACACTTATAGGAATTATCGGTTTCACTTTTATATAACAACTGCATTCATAATTTATTATGATTTAGTTTTCAGTTGTTATTTTGAAAACAAGAATGTATAGTATATGCGTATATGCAAAATTCACCTTTTGAACCTTTGTTAAACCTAATTATTTCTAATAATAACGATTTTACAACACAATCACTAAATCTGTTTTTCGCTCATATCTAGTGAACTGTGGATTTTTTCAAAAAACAAAAGAATATCTTAAATAAGCTCTTAAAACAACTCTTTCCTCATTTAACCGAATCTGTATGCCTTATGGTTTCCGAGATCCCAATGCTTAAAATGAAAAAAAAACTCACCCTGTATAATATGCTCAAAACTATAGTTCTAAAATTATAAAAATTAATAATTCTATAAATGTGCAGAACATCTACGAAAAAATACAAATCATTCCCTGACAGTTCGCGGAAATCGCAATATTTAGAAAAAAATCATAAAATTTCCGAAATGCATGCACATCTTTTATAGCAGTGTTTCTCAAACTCTGGGGGGGGGGGGGGGCAAGGCGTGGTTAAGGGAGGCGAACCTTCGCATTGGCAACTTCCTCTATACGGGGTGTTATTATTATGTAAATGCGGAAGGGACTAATTGTTTGGCTGATTTTATGACTAAAATTTCATCAAACGCTTCGTTACCGATCTACAGGGTGTTATACTTCTACTGAACACTCGTCAATTCAAACCTTTCCTTTATAAACATGTAGAAACATGTACATCTTTCAATGCCAACTGTCACAACACTAATAAAAACAAGATGTGATCCAAATAAAGTCAGCGCCTACTGGACCATTTTAAAAATTATACGTTAATTTAGCTCCGAAAATTGATTTTTTTTTCGATGAAGGTCATAAATTCGAAAAAATACAAGACATCCCAAAGATCTAATGTACAGATAGAAAATGTAAGAGACCAAATCGATAAATATGGAGTAAAATGAACAAGAATCCAAACAGGATCATACAAGTGATTGAATTAATTAAAAAACATAACAAACAAATTTCCGTAAAGCTTTGATCTTTATTCGTACACAAAGTCGGCGAGGAAATGTAGCCAGTTTCGCATACAAATGTAACACGTAAATAAATAAAAAAAAATAGTCAGATGGCAGCTGCCGGAGTGCTATATGCGTCGTGTTTATTTTATTTTTTCATTTCGCGAAAATAAATGCTTTTGATGTACGTACTTAACCCAAAGTATCGCCGATTCAATTAGCTCTACTCTTTACAGATTGACGACGAGCTTTTTTGTTTCGAATTTTCCGCGGTTCAAGAAATTTAATTTGACGCGTCTAGACTGATTATTTTTATCGTTTGAATGGGTTTCCGGTGGTAGTTGGTTGTATTGTATTTTTCTCACGTTTTCCCACAGTTACTGAAGGCGGCCATTTTATTAGGAGAACCTCGTTCCCTTCTTAACAAATGTACTCGAACTTCTTCTCCTTCTTTTTAATATTAACAACACTTCCTCGTCTTTCCTTTTTGTTTAAACGAAATTAAATATTTCGAGTATATCTACTTTGGTTTGCTAGTAAGTTTTTTTTTCTCTTTCATTTTGGCGAAACCTCGTTTCCTGACGTGAGAAGGGAGTTCGTGGGAAATTAATTTAAAAGTAGAATGAGGCCGGCGTGCGAATTTTGCATCATTACACGCTTTGTTTTAAATTTCATTATTATAATTGTATTATTCTTCATTTCTTTTCCATTGTTAATGAAACCATTTACTGTCATTTGAGTTTACTCTGCCGTGGTCAACCTTTTCTTAGTGTCATTTGAAATTTACCTATAAGTACATCAGATACTGAAAGTAGTTCAAAATGTAAGGTATCCATCATAAAATTGATCCAGTTCCTTGGTATCTGTGGGAAAAAGTTTGTTTGCGTCTGTATATCTTCAACCTGTTTTATATGCATAGCAAATGGTTGCTTCCTTCATTAATGCATCACATTAAAATAGCGTAAAATCGTATTTACCTACAAATTTGTAGATTGCATAACTGTTCATTTATTTAATTTCCCATGCGTTTAGTCATAATATAAACCAGACCAATCCCTTCCTTTGATTCGTTATACGACATTAGTCGCAATACAAAAAAAAATACCTCAAATTTTTGACAATGATCGTAAAACGGACTTATGTCGCAGGCACCAAATTTGTCCTGTGACAATGACAGACGAAGACCTAGACTTTAATAGCTCACGACCATCGGGAGCAAATACATCTAGGTATAAGATGTTGGTTTTGAAGTACCTGTAAAGATTTTTAAAGATATTTCTCTCAAGTTTCCTCTGAGATTTTAAATAAAAACTGAAAATATTGCCACGAACATTTTTAGAAAACCTCATAAATTTAAAAAAATCTCAGATTCAAAGGATGTTTCTGGGAAGATTTGTATAGGAAGACCTCCAATAAGAAACGAAGAAACGATTTTTCTAGAGAATTTCTAGTAAACGTAGAAAAATAAGAAGCAAAAAGATAGGCCTGGTGTCCTATTTTCGACATTTTTATAGGATATCTCTCCAATTATTAGTGCTAAAAGAATTTAAAACGTTTTGTGCTCTTTTTCAGTGAAACAAAATTGTAAAATCAAAATTTGAAAATATTCGCTCGCTTAAGAGGTACGGGAGAAAATGAGAAATCAGTTAAAAAGGAAGACGTAGTTTCAGTTTTTTAAATGGAACACCCTGTATATTTTAATCAAAAAAGATAAAATTCTCTTTCCAAAAATATAACACTAAAAAAATTGAAAATATTTCAACATAGATTAAAAAAGATTTCAAAAATTAAATTTTTTAAGATTTTCGAACAATCTGAACTTTTTTTTGAATTTTTTAAATCTCAACCTGAACTCAAAAAGAGAACAACTTGATGGAGAAGGAACTGATAATCGACGCTCCAAGACATTCAGACTGTGAATTTTGAGTTTTTGAACGTCCTCAGTTTCGATTTCTTGCCCAAAAGGTATTTAGTATTGTTTGAGAGTCTCTAGGAGTCGCAAGAAGGTTTACTCTTTAACAACTTTTAAGATCACCAAGATGATATAGCCCTTAAGTCTGTCTAAAAACCTTTTTCTGTATATTTTAACCTCCGCTTATTTTTATTAATTTTGCGAACAAAATGGTTTCAAATAAAAGTTTTAGTGTGTTATCTGCACGGACTTTAGTAACTGATTGAAGTCAATGTACAGGAAGTGCCCAACAAAATACATTTTCAATATCTTTAAAGGAACACCCCGTATATTTTTATAGTTTTGAGTAGCCCTGTACCTATTTCCTGATCACAAATAATCTTGTATAACATTAGTTTAATTTTTTATTGACTTTTTGCACTACTAAGGGATATTTCACATGCAGTTCAAAACAACTGTATATACAGAGTGTTCCTAAATATGACGTACATACGGAAGGGACGCAGAAAAAAAGTCTTTTGAAAAATTTAATATAAATTTTGCCCGTTATTTTCCGTATGCCTAAGGTACAGTGTGTCCACGGATTTAGTGCATATAAGCTGTACGTGACAAATTTTTTGGATCTTCATATTCTGAGGATCCCTACCGCTTAGTCTCAAACTAAAAGATTGAAAAAATGAGTCAAATCAATTAATATACAGGGTGCTTTTTTGCCGAATGTTAAAAATTAGTCTTTTTTAGCAGATATAACAAAAGTTGTTTAGAATTAAAAGTTATGGAAGACTTTCAATTTGCATAGCAACCAACCTACTTTGATTTTTTCATCAGCATTGCCATACTTTTGAACTCTCATGTTGATATAATAAATTAACAACTGTTTCATTCTGAATCGCTTGTCGCATAGCCAACTATGTGTGACCCCTTAATAGTGCAAAAAGTCAGTCAAGGATAAACCTAATGTTATACAATATAATATATACAATATATGTAATCGGGAAATAAGAGAGCTACAACTACATACAGGGTGTCCCACTAAAGGTACTGAAAAAGGATATTGTTGGGCACTCTCTGTTTTTAATGTATTTCTGAGATGTTTTAAGAACCAAAAGATATAATGATGCGGTCTGAAGATGTCAATTTTGACGTCTGACTTGCGTGAACGTGGCAACAGCGCAAAAGTCCAAAAATGCAATAAACGGTTTTTGTTTTATAGCTTAGTTATTTGTGGGAATATGAAAAAAATAGAAAGAATAAAAGATAGTAAAAATGGTCTCTAAAGGTAATTTGAATCAAAATTTCATACAAAATTTTGAATAAAAAAATTTACTTCTGTCTGGCACTATTAACTAAATTTTGCGAGGAAAATTGTATTTGCGCCTGTACTGTTTGGATTAGTATGTAGGGAATTGTGCTTATTTTCCAGCACTATATATTCTGTGGTTCTAGTTTGGTTCAATGTCTGTGGTTTTCACTAATAGGTTTCTTTGCAACATAACCTATAAACTTTGTTTTTTAACAAAGCTATAAACGAGTTATTATGGAATTTGCTATAGTTACTGCAACTTCTATCATTTTAATAGCAAAGGTGTTTAAAACAACGGCGTAATGTCATTACAAATAAACAGATATGATCCGTGGCAACTTTCTGAGCAGTTTTTTTAAATAATTTATGCAGGTTTTAGAACACGTTCTAAATAATTTTTGGCCACAAATTTTGTTGAAAGTTTTCTTACAAAATGCGTATGACACTACACAAAATTTTGTACAAATTTTTGTCATAAAAATTTCGTACTAAATTTAGTACAGTGTCATACGGCCTTTAGTAAGGGTTTTTTAAAAATATTTTGCATAGCCTACTTAGTTTTCGTTTAAGATACAGCACTAAAGTTTGTTACTTCAAATGGAATGCATAATATTTTCTTGCACTAATAAATTCCTTATGTTTGTCTAATTAGAAAAATACATAGTTATCAGTATGTTTGATAAGAAAAAATTTGAGATAAAGAGGGAAAACCGTTATTCAGTCTTGAAAATGTGGATTAAATAGAAGTAGGCCGTGGAATATAAAGTTCATATTTCACGAAATGCTAAAAATAATTTGCTCATTTATCTACAATCTGACAGAAACCTATGTCTATGGTTTGCTCACTTTAGATTGATTTATATTGATTGCAGAGAGTAACTTTTGGATACATAGAATTTGAACTGAATAGGAAGAATGAGCAAAGTTTTTTATTGCATTTTTGGACTTTTGCACTGCTGCCACGTTCGCGCAAGTCATAGGTCAAAATTCACATCGTCAATCTAGGCAGCTTTGAAAAGTAACTCCGAGAGTGCAAACCGCATCACTATCTCTTTTAGTTTCAAAATATCCTCGAAAAACATCGAGAAAGAGTAATTTGGAACACATTGTTCACTGAATTTGTAGGGGGTACAGGTAAAATACTAACACTTTTATGTGAAACTTTTTTTGTGTTCTCAAAATTAATGAAACTAAGTGTGGGTTTCGTCTTGAAACCACAACCAATATTTTTATATGGACTGGAAGTTAATACTGTATTGAGTAGGATTTTTTATCACGCGTATATGGCACAATATGATGATATAATAAAGAATTTCTTTATTATATCGTTAATAAATTATTTTGACATTTTGTCAACGCCTACTACACCAAAATGTTAAAAATTGTTTTTTATTTAAGTCAGAACAAAGGCTTGTTACTAAATTTTTAACAGTTTGGCGTAGTAGGCGTTGACAAAATGTTAAAATAATTTATGAACGATATAATAACGAATCATATTGTGCCATATATGCGTAATAAAAAATACTCCTCAATACAGTATGCACTTTTTTCCGGTCCATATAAAAATATGAAGTTGACTGATCGGAATTTCCGAATTTTTAAATCATCTTTTTAATAGTTTCCGATTTCCCCATGCTGTTCATTTTTATCTTGCTAACGCTGTATACTGAGAAAGCCTGTAGATTGATCTTCTACGGTTTTTGAGAATGGTCACCATTCAAATAGGAAAGTATCTCCTTCGATAATGTTTCCAAACTGTTTACGTAATAATCTCAAAACTGCGCTTGTTTTATCAGGTCCAGATTAAATGTAGAATACACCAAGCTCTCTATAAGTCCATCCCCTATTCAAAGTAAATAATATATTATTTATTGCATAATGCTATTTCTTTAAATCTCGTATAGGTATACAATCTCCTAGAGGTTAAACTTATTTCTTAGGGGGTGGAGAAGGGGTTTACGATTAAAAAATACTAGAGTAGAATTCACTCATTCAATTATCGCACGATATTGCTATCGGGCTTTTTATTTATATGCTCTAAATCAATGTAAAAGTTACAAATGTTACCATCCCCATACACTCGTATTCGTGCAGCTCTACTTAGTAGATATGTTTCTAAAGGATGTAGGACAGAATTCCCCAATGGAGATACTTTAGGAGAAGAGGAAGTAACTCACCTATAGTTATTATCCAAAGGAACACTTCCAATGGCGACATTATCGTGCGTTTGTTTATTATTCCTCGCCCAATAGTACGTCGGCGTCTCCCTTGACGTTTGAGGAGAAAATCTGCATTCTAAGGTAACGTCTTCGCCCTCCCTCGTGTCCCTTACGTCCTCTCCCGTTGATATACTATTGACAGCGACTGAAAAAGAGAATATAAATGAAAATGGAGCGAAAAGATTATGAATAAATAAATATCAAAGTGTTCCATTACGTAAAAAGTGCATATAACCGTAATATAAAAATCGATCATTTCGATACAAAACGACTTTTTTTGCAGAACGAAAGGAAAAAATGTCAATAAGCGCTGGCACGAGATCATTTCCTGGTTGAGTAGTTCCTTGGTTTGCTTCCTTAATCAGGGGCTCGCGACAATAGAAAAACAAATCAGTAATACAGAAACGAATTTCACGCAACGATTCGTTTCAATGGCCGTTTTTTTTTATTTTGAAATTACAGATTAGGATTAAACATATATACATTTATTTCCGATCTAGTCTGGCGTTTCGCCTCGTTCTATGATAAATGGGCGCGTTGCGCGATCTCGATCGCCTTTCACGCACACGCCCTTATTGTATTCATCATTATTTTATCGTTAGGCGAAAGTTCATAACTCACCAGTGCAACAATAGAAAGTTGGATCAACAAATCACGACGTCATTCAATAAATCGGTCTATTCGGGTCGTATTTTTTTTTATCGGGCACGAATTACAATTTACAAATTTAAATACTTGGGGGCCGGAATAAATGGGGGCATACTAAGACGGGAAGGTCGCGTTTTAGGGGTTACCTCGTGTTTAATTATGGATCGTTCCATTAAATTTATTCCCACTCAAACGGCAAGAGTAATACTCTACTTAGGATAGACGTCTCTTTTTCTCTATGTAAATTTGAACATAATAATCGTAATTGCACTGCTTCAGCTCGGTTTTCTCTACAAAGACTTGGGTATTGTGTAACAGCACAAGAAAAAGGAAAACCAGTAGGAAGATTAACCTTCAAATTGCTTGTGTTAAACGTTCCATGTCTTTGCATGACGCACAATACGTTGAAATGTAAATTAGTCATTAGGTGAAAAAATGAGAGTGTAATCCAGTTGATGCCTATAAAGAATACTAAGCAAAAAAGTACTAGCATATCCTGACCGGTTTCTGTTCCAGTTCTGATCTGGTTATTGAACTATCGATGATATTGAAGATTTAGATGGGTTAAGTGTTAAATAATTCCGATATCTTGGAAATTCTGTCGTTATTTTGGAAATATTTATGTACTACCTACTTCTTCTACTTGTGTTGCGATTGCATTTACATGTGTATCATTCGTACTTCAACAATTAATGAACCGAAAAATGAAATTAACACAAAATACATCCTATTATTATTTGGATATTTTGGATATAAAAAAAGCATAGTATTTGAGCTATTAGATAATTTGGTAACCCGCAATTTCAAATCGATTTTCCGTATTTATTTGAATTATTCAATTCATTTTAATGTATTCTTTGATCATATACAATTAGTGAAATTATTTTGAGAAAAAAAAGCAAGCGTGCTTATTACTGGTGTGAAACGAAGATTAATGGAATTTCGGGTAATATTCATTTACATAAAAAAGAGGAAAATGACACATGGATTAAATTTGCATCTAAATCGATTAATAAATGGACATTTTCAATGTTTTCTAACACGTGCATTTTCATAGGGAAACTGTTTTCCACTTACCCAGGAAAAACTGATGCAGACACAAGCCCTAACATATATCAGACGCGAGTATATATATATACAGTCTGTTTCAAATTAAGTCGGCTAAATTTCTTAAGCGCGTTTTACAAGCTGGAAGTTTTTGTGAAACTTGAAATTTTCTTAGCCTTGGGTATGCGCAATAGGTGTTTTTCTTAAAAGTGAAATAATTGTCATCTATTTTCGGTTCAAACGCGAAATATTTCACCTTCAGCTGAAATTTGAGTGCTGACATCTCTAAAATTGGACATTTAAAATAACACCCTGTATATCATTACATCACACGGCAGCTTATTCAATTCTCTACAAAAGTTCTTAATGCACCAGACCCAAAATACTTCAAATAACCAAGATTTTTCAAGTATTTTCATTTCGATCTAGTTATCCATGAAAATGGTAAAATGACCTTGTTTGTTGTAAAATATCTAACTGCTAACTTTGAAGTTTATTATTACATAGTGCTATTGGAGTTTAGGTAGTTCCTAGAAAATATGCTTTTTACGCTCTACACTGAAGAAAATGGAAACATTTTTGACGACATTCTTTAGCATAGGTCGGTAATAATAGTAAGGCAGCGTTCAGTTGTTTTTACTGCAGAAAACAAATGAGTATCGAAAGACAATTGAATTTTTTTTAATGCTAATGTACTCTTTCATTAGGCTCATTTGATAAGAGTTTCAATGACGGAGCAACATGTTAGCACCCTTATACAAGAAGTTTTTTCAAGCTTTCAGTGGTAGGTAGAACATTTGGAACATTTATTGCGATGAAAACCATTTTATTGCTAATATCGTTTTGTCTTCAAGGTTTAATAGGAATATAAATAAATTAAAATAGGAAGTATACGTTCGCTTGTTTTATTTTGATGGAGGATAGCTGCGTTAATGTTGTTAGAGGTACTAACATGTTACGTCATCGAAAAGAGAAAAAAAATATCAGCTATTTAAAAACAACAAATTGTTTTCGTTACTCGTTTGTTTGTTGAAATAAAAACAACTGAATTCTGCCTTAAGTATCATCTCATCTCGACCATGCATTCCAACTATGATTTTTATTTTTATTGATACCTAACCGGTACGAAGTTCGCCAGATCTGCTAGTATAATGAAATAATCTAATAATGATGACAGGAGTCTGGTAAAGTGACAGGCAACAGGAAAAGTAGTTAGGAAAAGTATTACTGTCATGGAAACAAAAAACTAAAACAGGACGATTTCGGCAAAACAATTGCAGATTTTCTTGAAAATTTCAAGTGGAAAGATATAATTATTATATGATATTATCAAATAAGATGAAAAAGTGAAAACCGCATTTTGATATCTGTTTCCTAAGCAGAGATATGGCGAAAATACGCACATTCATTGCAATATTTATATTCATCCAAGTTGGCTTTGAAACAAAAGGAACACAATGTCACAAAAAAACTGAGGAATGTATTACCCCCTCTCTTTGAAGTTTGGAACCTTGGAAACCAGGTGAATCATGTATTTTCAACACGATCGGCGCAGGGCAAATTTCTCGGTAAATTAGTTGAATTTTGTATCCTGGTAAATTGAAGGATTAATAGGACCTAGTCTTTCAAACAAGGCCAACTACAGGATGTTTTCATACCGTATTTATGGCTGAAATTGATAGTGCTGTTCTCTGTACTGTATCGAAATTGAACATTTACAGTTCTAATTATTGAGAGTTTCCTTTATTATTTAATTGAAGTATATTTTTCTTCTTTGAATAATTTATTTGTTGCTCATAGTTTAAAAACTTATATTGCGTGTTAATTTTGAACTGCCATTGTTTTATTCACTTTGACGTAGTAGTGCTTATGTGTTCTTTTGTTTCAATGCTATCTTGGATGAATATAAATATTGCAATTTAAATGTGCGAATGTCCGTATTTTCGCCCTTTACCACTCATCACGTTCACAAAAAGGAAACTATTCACACAGTGGCGGATTTAAATTTTTTGTTCCCCTAGGCACACCGAAAGATATGCGCTCCAAAATAATCTTTAAATTGCAATAAATTGTAAGATGCTAATAAAAATCAAATTATAACTTGAAATTTTTTAAATCAATATGAAAAGAAATACAGTATACCTAAGATTAAGTTTTCACACACTTAAAAACTTGCATTGTCGATGATCGTCCTTACAGTTGCGATGAATGTATTTTTTTGTGCATGTTTGTTTGGGTTTGCGCCCTCTAGCGGGAAACCTAGAATCTTGAAAATAATTTTCAGCGATTTCTATTGCCCGCTTTTGTTGATACAATCTTTTTCCTCAAGCTGTGCAATTAATGGTCCCATAGATATAGCCAATGACCATTATTAATTTTGGATGTGTACATGTATTAGGCATACGGAAACGAAAAATAACGGGCCGGATTTTTGAAAAAAATTGTGGAAATCCGCAACGGTATCCAATTTTTTTTCAAAAACAACTTAAAATTTTAATTAAATCATGTTGAAGACCTTGTTTTTCTGTGCGCAACCTAGAAAAATTGTAACAGGTTTTATTACAAAAAAAAACAGAACAAAATGTCAAAGTGAAAAAACTAAAATATTTTTGACGCCAAAGCGATTACCATGATTCCTTTAAAATTAATTAATAAAAATTAAAAATTAAATTAAACAAAAATAAAAAGAACTATTAACAAAGCACAGAATCTTCACTAAAAAATCACAAAAAATTATTGCTGAAAAAATGTTGGGATTTTTTCAATATTTATATTTCTCAATCTTCTTAAAATCAGAACACTTTTCCAACGGAAATTATATTTTTGGATTTTTAGTTGGACTTTTTTAATTCTACATCTGAGTTTTTAGCGCCCTGACGTCATACAATATAATTGTTACTAAATTATCCAACAGATTTTCTTTTTCATACAACTTACACAATTTATGCTAGGTTTGAGCTCGGAAGCTGTTCTGTCAAGAATTTGGTACTTGGTTTTTAAGGTGAAATCTAGTAGGTGTTTTCCCTTCTTCAAATTTTGTCAACAATTACATGACATAGAACAGTTTTACCCTGCTTTACCTTTCAGATTTTGTCAAAATAACGTATTCTTAAATTGGGGGTGTTCTATCTCGACCGCTATTTTTGAGTAATTGCACTCAACGAAACTTTTTTATTCATTCCGCAATGATTTATGGGCATTCAAATGCTTCAATTTGACGCGTACATTCGATTAATTATTTCAGTCTATGGCAATAACGTTTTTTTTATCAAAGAAACGGGGTGGCCGTGGCCTGAAGTGGATTATTAATAGCGGCACTCAATAAAATTTCATCCCGACTAAGTGGAAAAGACACGAAATGAATGAGAGTAGTCGGGCGTTATTCGTGTAGAAATGTTGCATTTCATCCATAAATTTAATAAGAAATGCATTTTCCGATATATACGAAAT